CCCATTCGACGACCCCGTGGTCCTACCTTGAATCACGATGTCCATGCCCCCGCATCTCGAAGCAGGATGACAAAGCGGAAGCGCCGCTCGTACTCTGCCTCGGAGAAGTTGTACTGGCTTTCCATGTTCGATGCTCAACCCGACCTCTCTGTGCGTGGACTCGCAAAGCTTGCAGGTGTCCAGCCGGTGTCGATTCGGGAGTGGAAGAATGCTCGCGAACGCCTCCGTGTCGCCGCCGGCTGCCGCAAACGCCTCGTCGGTGCCGGACGTCCCGCGAAGTACCTGACGATGGAGAGCGCCCTCTACCGACAGTTCCTGAGGCACCGCGGGAGGGGGCTTGCCGTCTCCGTCAAGCTGCTGCAGAAGTGGAGTCGCTCGTACATGCGCGTACATCATCCCAACGTCGACTGGAGAGCGTCGAGTCGCTGGACGTTCAGATTCCGCGCGCGCTGGGGCCTTACGCGTCGGGTAAAGACGAAGATGGGGCAAAAGCTCGCCGACGGTAAACTGCCGTCCCATCCTTGTTATTGATTCCCTTGCCGCGACTTTCAATATTTGATTCTTTTGATTGTCTTGCTTATCGCGTGTTCATGCCTGAATTTGTTCTCTGACTGTTTTGTTCTATGCAGACATGAGGACGAAGATCGAGAAATTCTGGGAGTTTGTCAAACAGATGCGGATTCTCAACCGGTACAACCTCGACCACATCGTGAACGCCGACCAAACCCCCCTCTTCATCGAAATGCCCCAGGAGAGGACGTTGGAGCACAGAGGCTCCCGTACGGTGCATGTGAGGACGGCCGGCTATGAAAAGGAGCGGCTCACCGTCATGTTGGCAGTCACCGCGTCGGGATTGAAGCTCCCGCCGTATGTCATCTTCAAGCGGAAGACGCTGCCAAAGATTCAGGTTCCCCCGGGTAAGAATCGCCTTTGCTTTTCGCTCTGTGCATAGTGTACACCGATGCATACCCTCTGACTGTTGTTGTGGCTTGTGATTGTATCCAGGTGTCATCATCCGAGCCCAGCCGAAGGGCTGGATGGACGAGAAGCTTGTCCAGGACTGGACTACTCAAGTCCTGAACCCGTTCTTGCGCCCGCTGCGCGAATCGGGGAATAGGCGCAAGGAGGCGCTCGTCATCCTGGACTCGTACAAGGGCCACCTCACGCAAGCAGTCGGGCAGACGATGAAGCTGTGCAAACTTACCCGCGCGGTCATCCCAGGTGGTTGCACACCTCTCGTTCAACCGCTGGACGTCGCAGTGAACAAGAGCTTCAAGGCCGGCGTGCGCGGCGACTACGGCGCATGGTTTGAGCAGTTCGGCATCGACATGAAGACTGCGGCAGGTGAGCCCCTTCCTAGTCGCTTCCTCAGTAGTTTTTAGACTTCTTGCTTGTTGACGAATTCCACCGTGCCCGTTCCTAGTCGTCATCTTACCGTGCCCGTATTCTTCTCCTCCCATTATGCTCCCATCCCATGTGCAGGAAATCTGAAGAAGCCCCCGGCTGAGCTCATCTTGAAATGGATTGCTCGGTCATGGGAGGCTGTGCCAGAGGAGCTCGTGCGTAGTTCATTCAAGACGTGCGGTATATCAAATGCGCTGGACGGCACCGAGGACAACCTCGCTCTCCGCCACCTCCGCGGCAAGCCCGACCTCGAGGTGATGGACGATGTCCACGTCGAGGAGGGCGAGAGCGGCTACATCAACCCCCTCTACGACGCCTTCATCGATGTGGACGGGGACGTCGCCGACGACGAAGAGGCGGATGCGGCGTCGCTGGCGGCTGACGACATCGACTGTGCTGAAGCGGCAACCGAAGCAGCTGAGACGAGCGCAGACAATGCAGAGACTGCATCAGCAGCAGCAGCAAGTGTTGATGTGTGGCCGGCAGAAGGCATTGCAGAGGAGGATGACGACAACTGCTGGTGGGATGAGCTTGCAGATGGGAGCGACGTCGAGATGTGGCAGGCTGGTGATGAGGAGCCTGAGGAGGACGACTAGAGCAGTGGCAGAGGCATGAGTATCTGGCGTAGTGTAAGGATTTAAAGTGTAGTGGATAATTTAGGTTCTAGGCAGAGCCAATAGGTAGAATTCAAGCCCTAGGTGGTGCCACTAACTAGTTCTATGGTTAATTCTGTTGAGTAGTAACTACGTGTACTCTAGTTGTATTGCTAACGTCTAATTCAAGAAGTTGTATACAGGAAAACGTAGAAAAAAACGTTTTTTCATCTGTTTAGAGTGCATAGCATGAGCTGTATTACCAGGCCAAACATTTATTAGCCCTTGCGCTTGTTCTATCACGATTCACCATCACTTGGTAGACGCCTGAGCAGGGAGAGCCCCTTGGGACAGGCTGCCGCTGAAAGAAGCTGCTCTGTCTGCCCGTGTGCGTCGCCCGCGTGCTGCCAGGTGTCTGTCTGCCCTTTGTGTTGGGTGGCTGTAAGGGAAGAGCTCAAACGGCTCGGTCTCTGCCACGGCTGATGTGTCGGCCATTATGCGCAGCAGCGCCTGTGGTGTGGCACAGGCAAACGAGGGCGGCATGGGAGATGGGATGAACGCATTGAAAATGCACCTGGGCGGCATGGGAGATGGGATGAACGCATTGAGAGCTGCCCTCTTCTTTCCAACAAGGGCCAAGTCAACAAGAGTCACGTCTAGAAGGGGGTCCGAAGGGATTTATGCAGCCAGACACGGTAGTCCCTCTTGAGATGGGTGAAGATGGCTCGCAAGCCCATCTCCCAACATTCAACCGTCCATTCAGGTGGCTTGCCGACCAGGCTTTCAACGGCTGGCTGCAGTGAAGCCCTGCAGGCAGCTCTCGTCGGTATCAGGGCAGCCCTGCACGAATCACACGGAATCTGGAAAGTGCTTGTTCCCTCCTACCCCCCTGCAGCAATGCCCATGTCAACTTCTATGCACCCAAGCACCCCATGCGCCCCGCCCATGCGGCCATGCGCCGGGCGGCTCACCTGGCGGTCGACGGCATCGTGGGAGCAGAGGGCATCCACCACCGCCTGCAGCGTGCGGCGGTTGCACGACAGCAGGCTGTGCGCGCGGTCAAAGGCCGCGTCGTGCAGCTGACGCAGGCAGAGAGGGAGGAGAGGACAGAAAGCAAGGTAGGAGAAAGGACCAGAATGTGGAAAGAGTTCTGCTGACGGGGGAACCTTGAATTCTATGCATTTCAGTTTCATTCAATCAACTGCGCACCAAAGTGAACACGGTTTAGTGATTTTGAGTTCAGCTGCGGCTCTCAATCAGCCATGCACACTTTGTACCTCCCCGCATTTCCATGTTATCAGAGTGGGTCCTCTCGCTACCCTCACCTGCTGCACCCTCTGCTTCAGCTCAGCCTCCTGCCTTCGCCCCAATGCCAGACTCTTGCGCTGCTCACAGCGCGGGGGGCAGGGCAGCAGGGGACGGCAGGTAACGACCACGAATTGGCGAGGGGGGAAGCCATGGGGAGCGCAAGGATGGAGGGCATCAGTGGCAGAGGAGCAGAAACAGCATGGTCGACAGCATTCACGACGTTGTGGATAGCACTCACAGCGTTGTGGATAGCACTCACAGCGTTGTGGATAGCACTCACAGCGTTGTGGGTAGCACACAGAGTTGTGGGTAGCACTCACAGCGTTGTGGGTTTGGAAGATGAAGGGGGAGTCGTCAGGTCCCCACCCCCACTCCATCACCATCCGCTCTGCCAGCTGAAGGCAGGCAGGAGAGGAAGGCAGGCAGGCAGGGAGGAGAAGGCAAGCACAAAGCATGGTTGTGTATGGGGTCGGAGAGGGAGAGGACTGGTGGTTGATGAGACACCCTTAACCCCACCAAAGCCAATCTGCTATGCCCCCACCCACCCACACATACCCATGGGACAGTGCTTCCCCCTCCTGCATCTGCCACCTTCTGCCACTTCCCCCCTTTGCCCTCCCTCTCTCCATCTCCCTCTCCATCTGCCACCTCCCTCTCTCCATCTCTCCCAACCCCTCCAATACCTGGTAGGCCTGCTGCAGCTGCGGGGTGGCCAGGTTGTTGGAGTGCCCCCAGGGCAGCAGCAGCGCGGCGGCGATGTGCGACCCGAACAGCGCCACCAGGCTCTGCTCCGTGTACGCGCGGCTCACCACGCCGCCCCCCGCCGCCTCGCCGCTGCCATCCGCACTGCCCAGCGAGCCCTCGGCAGCGCGTGTGAAGCGCGTGAAACCCACGCCCTGGGGCCACGCGCACCGCCATGCCCATGAGCGCAGTGGGGGGAAGGGGAAGGGGGAGGTGTAGCGGGTGGTTTCGAGTGGCATGAAAACGGCATGCCGCATGATGGATGGTCAATACAGGCGCCATCGTCTGGCTTCCCTCTGTTGTGATCAGCCATGCGTGCCTCCCAGCTGCTGGGGTTGAGCCATGCATACCTCCCGTTGCTGGGGTTGAGCCATGCATACCTCCCAGCTGCTGGGGTTGAGCCATATGTTGTCAACGCGGTCAAAGCTTGGCAGAAGAGCTGCCAGCACGCCCCTCCCTGCTGCCCACACCGCGTGTGGAAGCTTCTCAGAACGATCCCACTGGAAGAGCAGAGCGGGGTGTTGGGAGGACATGGAAGAGGAATCAAGACAGCGAGGCGATGAGGGGCAGGTGCCATCCGAGGTAAAGACGAGGCAAAGGCGATGAGGGGGGATGCCAAGTGAGGCGATGAGGGGGGATGCCAAGTGAGGCGATGAGGGGGGATGCCAAGAGAGGCGATGAGGGGGGATGCCAAGTGAGGCGATGAGGGGGGATGCCAAGTGAGGCGATGAGGGGGGATGCCAAGAGAGGCGATGAGGGGGGATGCCAAGTGAGGCGATGAGGGGGGATGCCAAGTGAGGCGATGAGGGGGGATGCCAAGTGAGGCGATGCGGGGGGATGCCAAGTGAGGCGATGAGGGGCAGGTGTCATCCGAGGTAAAGACGAGGCAAAGGCAATGAGGGGGGATGCCAAGTGAGGCGATGAGGGGGGATGCCAAGTGAGGCGATGCGGGGGGATGCCAAGAGAGGCGATGAGGGGGGATGCCAAGTGAGGCGATGAGGGGGGATGCCAAGTGAGGCGATGAGGGGCAGGTGTCATCCGAGGTAAAGACGAGGCAAAGGCGATGAGGGGGGATGCCAAGTGAGGCGATGAGGGGGGATGCCAAGTGAGGCGATGAGGGGGGATGCCAAGTGAGGCGATGAGGGGGGATGCCAAGAGAGGCGATGAGGGGGGATGCCAAGTGAGGCGATGAGGGGCAGGTGTCATCCGAGGTAAAGACGAGGCAAAGGCGATGCGGGGGGGTGCCAAGTGAGGCGATGAGGGGCAGGTGTCATCCGAGGTAAAGACGAGGCAAAGGCGATGCGGGGGGATGCCAAGTGAGGCGATGAGGGGCAGGTGTCATCCGAGGTAAAGACGAGGCAAAGGCGATGAGGGGGGATGCCAAGAGAGGCGATGAGGGGGGATGCCAAGTGAGGCGATGAGGGGCAGGTGTCATCCGAGGTAAAGACGAGGCAAAGGCGGGAAGGTGCCAACGTGAGACAACAGGAAGAAGGTGCCAACGTGAGACACCAGGAAGAAGGTGCCAACGTGAGACAACAGGAAGAAGGTGCCAACGTGAGACACCAGGAAGAAGGTGCCACCGTGAGACAACAGGAAGAAGGTGCCAACGTGAGACAACAGGAAGAAGGTGCCAACGTGAGACAACAGGAAGAAGGTGCCAACGTGAGACAACAGGAAGAAGGTGCCAACGTGAGACACCAGGAAGAAGGTGCCACCATGAGACAACAGGAAGGTGCCAACGTGAGACAACAGGAAGAAGGTGCCAACGTGAGACAACAGGAAGAAGGTGCCAACGTGAGACACCAGGAAGAAGGTGCCAACGTGAGACAACAGGAAGAAGGTGCCAACGTGAGACACCAGGAAGAAGGTGCCACCGTGAGACAACAGGAAGAAGGTGCCAACGTGAGACAACAGGAAGAAGGTGCCAACGTGAAACAACAGGAAGAAGGTGCCAACGTGAGACAACAGGAAGAAGGTGCCAACGTGAGACACCAGGAAGAAGGTGCCACCATGAGACAACAGGAAGGTGCCAACGTGAGACAACAGGAAGAAGGTGCCAACGTGAGACACCAGGAAGAAGGAGCCAACGTGAGACACCAGGAAGAAGGTGCCAACGTGAGACAACAGGAAGAAGGTGCCAACGTGAGACAACAGGAAGAAGGTGCCACCGTGAGACAACAGGAAGAAGGTGCCAACGTGAGACAACAGGAAGAAGGTGCCACCGTGAGACAACAGGAAGAAGGTGCCAACGTGAGACAACAGGAAGAAGGTGCCAACGTGAGACAATAGGAAGAAGGTGCCAACGTGAGACAACAGGAAGAAGGTGCCAACGTGAGACAACAGGAAGAAGGTGCCAACGTGAGACACCAGGAAGAAGGTGCCACCGTGAGACAACAGGAAGAAGGTGCCAACGTGAGACAACAGGAAGAAGGTGCCAACGTGAGACAACAGGAAGAAGGTGCCAACGTGAGACAACAGGAAGAAGGTGCCAACGTGAGACAACAGGAAGAAGGTGCCAACGTGAGACAACAGGAAGAAGGTGCCACCGTGAGACAACAGGAAGAAGGTGCCAGGTGTTGTGGCAGATGCAGTGACAAGGCGGGTGACACGGTGAGGGAGGTGTAAGGTGGAGGGGGGAAGGATGGAGGTGGCTTTGGAAGCAGAGCAGCGGGGGGTGGAATGTGGGGTGGCGGGGCACCTTGCCGGTGTCGGGGAGGGTGAGGTCCATGCCCAGGTCCGTGAGCGACGAGAAGTCGATCTCCCCCACCACGCCCACCACGTCCGCCGGGGTCAGCGCCAGCCCCAGGCGCTCCACGATGCCGCTCTCCCAGCGCTGCAGCAGCGGCAGGCGCCGCACCAGGGCGGGCACCACCCAGTGGTACAGCTGCCAGGGGGGGCGGGGGGGGGCCATGGCGCGTGGGGTCGAGTCACAAGACGAGAGCACACAAATGACAGCATTTCATTCTCTTTTCAGAATCCCTCTCACTTAAATCTGTGCCTCAGCGCCCCTCCCCACACCTCGCATGTCACCTCGAGCTGGCCTCAACTCGAGCTGGCCTCACCTCGAGCTGGCCTCACCTCGAGCTGGCCTCACCTCGAGCTGGCTGAGCGTGGCGGCGAGCTCGTCCTCGTCCCTGAACTTGTCGGCGCCCGCCGCCAGCAGGATGCGGCGCGGCATGCCACGCAGGTCCGTGGGCTTCAGCCCGCCCGTCTGCTCCGCCACCTGCAGCGCGCCATGGGGTGCGCAGCACGGGATAGCGCAGCACGGGATAGCACGGCACAAGATAGCACGGCACGGGATAGCACACCATTCATGGCACAGTGCTGTGTGCATGGGATGGCTAAACATTCTGTGTGGTTTGGAATGGTAATACAGCAGCAGTGGGCTATGAGCATGGCACGGCATGGCATGGCATGGCGCTCACGAATCGCCAGTCAACGGAGTCAGCGAACTGCGGGTCCATGGAGTGGGCTGCAGCCCGCCGCAGGATCTTCTCCCTCTCCGCCGCGCTGGGCAGCGGCACCTCGATCACACGGTCCATGCGCCCCGGCCGCCGCAGCGCCGGGTCCACCTGCGCAGAGGAGGGGGGGACGAGGGGGGAAGAGGACAGATGGGGCATTCACGGCTGCTGGATGGGAAGCTGGGTGCATTGATATGCGTCTGCGCTAGAGTGCGGCATTTAAAGGATCATCGATGAGCAAATGACAAGCCAGCCACCAGTTTATCAGTCCTTCGCCCTCCTACCATGGCACTTGCAGCTGCCACCTTCCCCTAAGAGCACTCACAGCTGCCACCTTCCCCTACGGGCACTCACAGCTGCCACCTTCCCCTACGGGCACTCACAGCTGCTGGGTTGTCGGTGATTGCGAGCAGCACCACCCCCTCCTGCGTCTCAAACCTGCACGCAGATCATGGCGCTCCAGTGAGCCCAGGCACGAGGCACAAGGCACGAGCGAGCGAATGCAGTGGATGAAGACTTGCAAGAGGCAAGGAAAGCAGAGAGCAAACGACAGCAGGAGGGTGTGAGTGCAGGTCGGGTGATGTTGGTGCGCGTGCAGCGAGGGCAGACGGCAGTGGTGGGAGGTCGGGTGTGGGGCAGCAGCTCCGGAGGAAGAGGTTGGAGGGCGGGCGGGCGGGGTGAGGAAGAGGTTGGAGGGCAGGTGGGCGTAGTGCACCCGTCGAGTTCGACGAGCAGCTGGTTGATGATGGCCTCCTTGTCCTGCAGCCGCGTGTCCATGGCCGCCCCGCGCACGCCCCCGATCTCCTCAAAGTCCTCCATGAGGATGAGCATGGGCGCCTGCCACACAGTGGCCAGGGGGAAGCACAGGGCAGGGGGAAGCATTGTTAGCCATGATAGAAGGGAGCAGCAGTGTAATCGAAACTTTTACCAAAAAGATTGACAGTGAAATACATAAGTTGCCCGTGTAATAGCCGAGATCTCAGAAAACTGAACTCAGTTCCGATTAATCTGAACAGGGCAGGGGGAAGCACATGGCAGGGGGAAGCACAGGGCAGGGGGAAGCACAGGGCAGGGGGAAGCACAGGGCAGGGGGAAGCACAGGCCAGGCAATGAGCACATGGCAGGCAATGAGCACATGGCAGGCAATGAGCACAGGGCAGGCAATGAGCACAGGGCAGGCAATGAGCACAGGGCAGGCAATGAGCACATGGCAGGCAATGAGCACAGGGCAGGCAATGAGCACAGGGCAGGCAATGAGCACATGGCAGGCAATGAGCACAGGGCAGGCAATGAGCACATGGCAGGTAGGGTTGAGCAAAACCGGGTAATTACCCGACCCAAACCGGTTTTGCAATACCCGACCTCGGGTCGGGTATTCTCGGGTCGGGTCCGGGTCGGGTAATATGCCCAGGACCCTTACCCGGACCCGGCCTTAGGGGACGGGTAATACAATACCCGTGTGGCGGGTCCGGGTATACCCGACCCGGTTACCCTGAAAAACGGGTATTAGTACCCGCCACCTACTAGTGGGCGTTCTAAAAACGGGCTAGGCTAGGTGGGGTTTCTCAAAACGCGACTCTCAAATGAGAGTCACGTTTTCTGGGGGTCGAATTTTGACCACCCAACTCCCTCCCTTTCACCGCCTGAACTCCTCCCCGTCTACAAACTCCAATTTCCAACCAAACTCCCTCCCTTTCACCGCACTGAACTCCTCCCTGTCTACAAACTCTAACATTTCCAACCAAACTCCCTCCCTTTCACCGCACTGAACTCCTCCCTAGGTATACATAGGTGAGGAGTAGGAGGGGGGGTTTGGTTGGGAGGTGACCATGATTATTGGGGACCCCAATTAGTTGAGTTGGCCAACTTATTTGGGGTCCAATGATCCTAGCCAAGATTATTGGTGGGTCCAATAATCTTGGTTGGGATTATTGGGGGTTCTAATAATTGGAAGCCCAACCTATTTGGGAACCCAACAAGGTTGGGAACCCAACCCCTAACTTGGGTGTATACACCCTAATGGGGTGCTTATAAGTACCTAAGGCAATGAAACGATGTAGGCTAATAGAATGAAGGGAGAATATTCTAACACAACCCTTCAGCCTACAGAGTGCCATAAGTCTTGGGAAGGTGAGGAGAAGCAACCCCTGAATCAGGCATTACCCTGTGAGGGAGGGGCAAGACCCAGAAGGCGAAGGAGAGCCGCATGGGGACGGCGAGGGAGGGCCTTGGTGAAGATGTCCGCGAGGTTGGCTGAAGTGTCAATCTTGCGGACGGTGAGGTGTCCAGCCTGGACGAGCTCACGAACGAAGTAGTGGCGGAGCTCGATGTGTTTGGAGCGACCATGGAAAACGGCTTCCTTTGTGAGGTGGATAGTATTGGCATTGTCGCACCAGATGGTGGGACAGGGCTGGGAGCATCCAGCTCAGCGAGGAGGAAGTTGAGCCACCGCGCCTCCTGGGCCGCCATGGTGACGGCGTAGAGCTTTGTTTCGCAGGAGGAGAGAGCGATCGAGGAGGAGCGGGTGGAGCGCCAGGAAATGAGGCCGCTCCCTAGGGAGAAACCATACCCTTGTGAGCTGCGACGATCGGGCTGAGAATCCGTCCAAGAGGAGTTGCTGTAGCCAGTGAGCTGAGGAGGGGTGGGGCCACCCAAGGTGAGGACATAGTCCTTGGTGCCTTTGATGTAGCGGAGAACGCGCTTGGCCGCTTGCCAGTGCTCGGGAGTGTGTTTGCCAGCGCCGACAAAGCGCGCCGGGACACTGATCGAGTAGGCGAGGTCGGGGCGGGTGCACATCATGGCGTACATCAGGGACCTGACCAGCTCAGCGTAAGGACTGGTGGAGGAACCGTGGGTAGATGTCGGCGAGAGCTGGTGGCCAACTTGGAGGGGTGTGGAGACGGGTTTGGCCATGGCCATCTCGAAGAGTTCAAGGACATTCTCGAGGTAGAATGCCTGAAACAGGGAGATGGTCTTGGCCGCACGATCGCGAGAAATCTCCATCCCGAGGTAGTGGCGGACCTCCTTCAGGTCCTTGCAGAGGAGGTGCTTCTGCAGCTCATCCTTGACCTATTGTAGGTCTGCTTCGTTGTCAGCAGCAAAAAGCATGTCGTCGACGTAGACGAGGATGTAGAAGGGGGAAGGGGAGGTGCGCAGGAAGAGGCAGAAGGAAGCCTGGGAAGGGCGAAAACCAAGAGCACGAAGAGTGCTTGAGAGCTTGGCATGCCATTCCCGAGGAGCTTGTTTGAGGCCGTAGACCGGGCGGCGAAGTTCTCAAACGGTGTTGGGAGGGAAAGGGAGGAGCCAACCCTCGGGACGCTCCATGAAGATGCGCTCATGGAGTTCACCTTGGAGAAATGCCGTGGTGACATCCATCAAGTGCAGGATCATGCCGCGCCGGCCGACGAAGTCCAGGAACACGCGGACGACAGGGGGAGTGGCAGTCGGCGAGTAGGTGTCAAGGAAGTCATGGCCGTACCGCTGCGTGAATCCTTTGGCACAGTAGCGGGCCTTATCGACCGGGTCGTCGTCAGGGAGGAGCTTGACCCAAAATACCCATTTGCCCTTGACCACTTTCTGGTTGAGAGGGCGGGGTACGTCGATGAAGGTGCCGTTGCGGACAAATGCTTCATTCTCTTTGAGGACTGCCTTGCCCCAATGAGGGTGGTCGGGGCAAGTCATAGCTTCATGATAATCTCCCGGCTCGAAGATGATCGCACCGGAGAAGACAAGTGCCGGGGCACCGGTCATGCTGAAGGCGACTGCTTGGGTGTTGGAGAAGAGGTGGAGGCGAAGAAATTCACCATGGGAGTCTTCGATGAGGAGGGGAGAGCAAGGAGGAGGAAGGGAGGGTGGTGTTGCAAGTCTACTGCGCTGCTGAGGGGGGAGGCTGCGACACTGCGACTCTGCGACTCTGCGACTCGGCTGCACGGCTGCTTGACCGGGGCAACTGCTGCGGCGGATCCTGACGCTGCGGTGCGGTGACCGAGGCAGGCACTGGTGCGGCGTCGGGAGCTGCTGCGGCGGGTGCGGATGTGGAAGCAGAGGGTGCTGGAGCGGGTGCCTTTGCCTGAGGGGAGGGAGGGGCTAAGGGCGGACCAAAGAGGGGATGCATAGACCGAGTATGGGGGCGGTGGCGAAGGACAAGGGGAGAAGTCACCTGGGGGGATGGAGGAGGAGGTGGGGGAGGTGGGGGAGGAGGGGGAGGGGGAGGGGGAGGGGGGGAAGGAGGTGGGGGGGGAGGAGGTGGGGAGAAGGGGGAGGATGGAGCGGAAGCGGAGTGAGAAGGAGAGGGGGGGAGTACTGGGTCAAGGATGTCACCTGAGGAAGATGAGGAGGGAGCAGATTCGGGAGGAGGAGGTGCTGGGGGTGGGGGAATAAGAGGGAGAGGGGGGAGGAGGGGGGGGTTGGCAGTGTCAGAGGAGATGAGGGGGCGAGAAAGAATGGTGAGTGGGTCAGGTGAGGCAGGGGAGGTGTAGTATGGGGAGGATTCGTCAAAGATGACGTCCCGACTACGAATGAGGCGAGTTGAGAGGGGATGAAGGAACAGGTAGTCAGGGAAGGAGGTGTTGTAACCAAGGAATACACAGGGCAGACTCTTGGAGGCGAGCTTCCCTGCTGTGCGTGAGCGGTCGGCCGGGTGTATGAGAACATACGCCCTGGAACCCCAGACGCGCAGGGGGGAGACGTCAGGCTTAGTTGACGTCCACAGCTCGGTGGGGGTGGTGGAGGGGAGGAGAGGGTGGGGATATAGGTTAGTGAGGAGGACGGCGTGGAGAAGAGCATAACCCCAGAGAGAAGGCGGGCAGGAGGCGTGAACGAGAAGACACCTAGCGGTCTTTGTAACTTCTCGAACACGAGCTTCTGCCACGCCATTCTGCTGAGGGGAGTGAGGGAGGGTGTAAGTGTGGTGAATACCATGGGTGGAGAAATAGGAAGAGAGATGGTGATTGAGGAATTCACCACACTTACACCCTCCCTCACTCCCCTCAGCAGAATGGCATGGCAAAAGCTCGTGTTCGAGAAGGCAATGAGCACATGGCAGGCAATGAGCACAGGGCAGCTCACCATCTCCCTCGCGATCTTGAACAGCTCACCATCTCCCTCGCGATCTTGAACAGCTCACCATCTCCCTCGCGATCTTGAACAGCTCACCATCTCCCTCGCGATCTTGAACAGCTCACCATCTCCCTCGCGATCTTGAACAGCTCACCATCTCCCTTGCGATCTTGAACAGCTCACCATCTCCCTCGCGATCTTGAACAGCTCTCTGACGTTGGCGGCGCCCTGCCCCACGAAGCCCCCCGGGTCCACGTCGCTGGACTTGATCTCCACCACCGGCACGCGCGCCTCCGCCGCTATCGCCAGCGCCAGACTGCTCTTGCCCACGCCCGACCCGCCCGTTATCAGCACGCCCTGCGCCCAGGTCGAAATGGGGGGACGGAGGGGTGGGGGGGCGGAGGAGGGGGGGGGGGGGGGGTTTGAAAGGGCGGCTCAGGTGGCAGCAGCACGGGGAAAGACAAGACGTGAGAGGAGGAAAGACAAGACGTGAGAGGAGGAAAGGCGGAAATAGAGTGTACGTACGGAGCATGCCCTCACCCAATGCACATGCCTCACCCGCGGTGGTCGAGCGCCAAGGCGTTGGAAGGCGGCAGGGTCGCGCAGGAAGGTGATGACCTCGCGCACCTCCTCCTTCACCGCGTCCATCCCCGCAAAGTCCGACAGCGCCACCGACGGCCGCCGCACACGCTGCCGGGGAGGGGGGGGATGGGATGGGATGGGATGAGATGGGATGAGATGGGATGGGATGAGATGAGATGAGATGGGATGGGATGAGATGAGATGGGATGGGATGAATTGGGATGGGATGGGATGGGATGAGATGGGATGGGATGAGATGATCGCCACTGACTCACCACGATGCATGGCATGCTACCCTCACCCCCCATGCGTGCATGCTACTTCACCCCCCATGCGTGTGTGCGTGCCCCCTGCACACCTGCACCCTCCATGCGTGCGTGCGCCCTGAGCACCTGCACTCCCCATGCATGCGTGCGCCGTGGCTACCTTCATGCGGTCGAAGGCCTCCTTGATGGAGTCCTTCACCTTCTTCTCCTTCTTTGCCTTCTCCTCCTCCTCCTCCGCCTTGCCCACTCGCCTCAGCAGCTCCCGCCCCAGCCGCGTTTTGTACGCCGTCTCGCTCTCGGGCCCTGGTGCGCCCACCAGCAGGCGCTGGGCAAGGGCGGCAGCTGGGAGCACGGCCCACTGGAGGGGGAAGAGCGTGACGGCCACCTTGCCGGGCAGCACAAGCCACCACGCCCAGCGGCCCGCCATGGCGCAGCGCTTGTTGAAGCGCCTCTCGGCGGCGGCCAGCCACCCCATGCGCTCCAGGGCCACCACGTCCCCGGCGGCGGCGCCCTCGGAGTAGTCAAGCTTGAGCAGCGCCTTGAGGCCGCGCGGCATGGCCGGCCACACGAAGCGGAAGAACGTCTCCTCCGCCGCCTCGCCCGCCGTGCTACCGTACCACTGCAGCGCCACCTGAACGGGGCCCGCCGACGACAGCGACTGCGCCGCATGGCCCAGCACGCGCGCCGGCAGGGCGTAGAGCGAGAGCGGGTCCCACTGGCGCACGGGCACCCACATGACCTCCACGCGTGTCGGCACCCCCGCCGCCTGCAGGCGCAGCAGTAGCTCGTCCGTGCCGCCAGTGGCGTGGCGCCAGCTGTCCCATGCCGCCAGGTCCACGTAGAAGCGGCGCGGATCCGCCTTGAGGGTGAGCAGCGCGGCGCGACGGTCATGGCGCAGCGAGGCGGACGCCAGCAGCGAGTGCGACAGCGCCTCCCACAGGCCCGCTGGGGTCAGCTCCCACCGCCCCTCGTCCGTGCCGCCCAGCAGCGCGCTGGTGACGGCCGTGTTGAGCGCCACCTCCGCCATCACGCGGTCGCGCGCTGCCAGCACCTCCGCCTGCCACATGCAAGCACGCCATGGGGGAAAGGAATCACGCCATGGGGGAAAGGAATCACGACATGGGGGAAAGGAATCACGCCATGGGGGAAAGGAATCACGCCATGGGGGAAAGGAATCACGCCATGGGGGAAAGGAATCACGCCATGGGGGAAAGGAATCACGCCATGGGGGAAAGGAATCACGCCATGGGGGAAAGGAATCACGCCCCGCGCACGGAAGAACGTACCTAGTCCAGTGACTTGTGGTGGGAACAGGGATTGTAGACTGTATGTGCACCCCATTACCCACCCACGCCCATGTTACCCACCCATGCATGCATGCATCCAGCAGCCAGCAGCACTGACCTGCTTCTCCACTGCAAACGCCTTGGCCTTGCCTCGGCTGCTCACAATCTGCTTCTTTGCTGCCGCCCGCTGCTCTGCCGCCCACTTGTGCCACGCCAGCACCTGGGCGTCTGCTGCTGCCTCCTCCGCTGCACTCAGCGCGGCCCCCCTCTCGCTCCCCTCCCCACGCCTTGCACCTTCCTCCTCCGCCCCCTGCCCTGCAGCAGCAGCGGCGCCAGGCTCACCCCCCCCCACGGCGCGTCTCAGCGTGGTGAGCAGCACGGCGGGCAGCCTGCCCGGGTGGTCCAAGCACTCGCGCACGTCCCGCCCTACCCCACCCGTCGCCCCCCACACCGCCGCCACTCCTTCCCCCCCCCCCCTGCCCTCCCCATCCGCCATCGCCGCCCCTGCCCCCTCCCCCTGCACCCTCCTCTGCGCCTCCCCCAGCGCCTGCCGCATGGCTGCCAGCCGCCCCTCCGCGTGCTGCCCTGCCGCCACCACGCCCGCCGCCGCCTCGTCCACGCGCCGCTGCGCCGCCTCCACGCCCCGCCTGCCAGCGCGCACGCTGCCCACTGCCTCGTCCTCCGCCCCTGCCGCCGCCGCCCTGCTCTTCCTCCCCTTCACCTTACCCCCTGCCTTGCTCCCCTTACTCGCCGCTCCCTCTGCTCCCTTCCTCCCCGCTTCTTCCTCGCCTTCCTCCTCCCCCGCTCTCCTCTGCCCCCCTGTCCCCTCCGCCCCCCTTGCGCCTCTCTCCCTTGCGCGCTCCAGCGCCTCCTCTCTCTCCGCCAGCGCCATCCGCGCCGCCACCAGCTCGTCCAGTAGCCGCGCCTGCCGCGCCTCGCCCTCCCGTACGCTCCGCGCCCACTCCGCCTGGTACGCGCGCTCCAGCCCGCCCAGCTCCTGCGCCGTCACGGCGGCCGCCGCCGCTCTCTGGAACGCCTCAAGCCTCTCGCCCGCCTGCCCGCTCCCCACGTCCCCCCCGCCCTCCCCTCCCGCTGCTTCCCCACCCCCTCCAACACTCTTGCCCCCCCGCACGGCGGAACCCCCTCCTTCTGCGCGCTTCTCTTTGCGCCGCCCCGCAGCCTTGCTTCGTGCCTCGCGCCTGCCGCTACTCGCCTCCGCCACATTCGCCGCAGTCCCCGCAGGCGGTGCTTCCGCGAGGGCAGGCGGGCGAGCAGCGAAGGGCGCGAGGGCGAGGAGGAGAGCGAGAGCAGCGGAGGCTAAGGGGGGGGGAAGGGCCCTTGGTACGTGGGAGTCGGGGGATGCAGCAGGCGGAAATGGCGGGCGGTGGGGGGTGCCGCGCGGCCTGCACCGTGACTGCGACGGCGCCTGTGACTGTGCGTGTGACCGTGGTGGCGCTGAGGGCTCAACGCCACTCGTGCATTGCTGCCCCCAACCAATCTCGATCTCTGACTCAACCAATCCTTCCGCCCCGTCATCCCCACTATAAGCACAATCTACTTGGTTTTTCTGCGTGCGACTAATGCCGATGTAAGCCCGCCTAAACCCCCGTCTAGCAGTAAGCGGAGCGTGCGCGTGCAATGTGCGACGGCCAGCGGCGCCAGAGAGAAGCCCGCGCGCGCTGGAGTCGGGCAGTGGTGCGCGGAGCAGAAAGGGCGGGCGGCGCGCGACGAGGGCGTGCACGCCAGCCATGGCCGGCGGAGAGCGCGATCACGACGAGGAGGTGAGTCGGGGCAAAAAAGGAAGCCTGTTTGGAGCTTTTTTGCGATCACTCCGTTCAGCAAAAAAGGAAGCCTGTTTTGTCCAAGTGATCCCACAGAGACAGCGCATAACCACCAAAGCGGTTACACATTAAGAGATTGGAGACGCGGGGTATCGATCCCCGTACCTATCGCATGCAAAGCGATCGCTCTACCATGTGAGCTACACCCCCATGCTTCTCAAGAGAATAAATGTTTTATTATATAATTTATTTCTGAAGCACTTTCCCGTTCCTCCATACCCCCGTTCATCATGGCGGCGCTGATGTACGGCTGCGATCTGTCGCACGACGATCAATGGGGGCACCTCGCGTCCGACCCGTACCTGCGATTCACCGCCTCCTCGGTACGCCGTGCGGCCAGTGGGTGGGGCGCAGAGCAGCGAGTGGGCGGATGCGGGCCATGCGGCAGGGCCATCCGCCTTGCCGCTTACACCTGCGCTCCGCCCCCTCTTCACTCCTCGTCGCCATCGCCGTCTCTCCCCCCGCCCTCACCTGCATGCCGTCATGCCGTCATGCCGTCATGCCGTCATGCCGTCATGCCGTCATGCCATCATGCCTTCATGCCTGCATGCCTCCCGAATCGCTGCCCCCCAAGTCCCCACCGTGCCTTCCCGGTTCCCCTCCGCGCGCCCGTGTCCCTCCCCTCCCCCGCCCCCAGGTGCCCAGCCAGCGCAAGGTCGCCAACGTTCAGAGCCTCGGCTTCGGCGCGCTCTTCGCTCCCACCCCTCCCGTCCCCGCCGCCGCCGCGTCTCCGCTCCTCTCACCCTCCGCTTCCACCCTCGCCTCCCCCGCCTCCGCCCCTCCCGCGTCCTCCCAACCGCCCCCCGTGGTGCGCCATGCGCCTCTGCGCTGCGCGTTCTGCGGGGCGTGCGTGTGCCTCTACTCCGCCATCGTCCCCGCCACCGGCGACTGGCGCTGCGCCCTGTGCGGGCGCCCCAACATGAGCGGGGGGCACTACCTCCTGGCGGAGGGGGAGACGCTGGAGGGGTGGGCGGAGCTGGGGGCGCGGGTGGTGGACTACGTTGAGGTGGGGGGGGGGCGGGCGGACTGGGGGGAGCGGGAGTGGGGGGAAGCGCGTCGGAGGCGGTGCTGGGGGCGCCGGTGGTGGTGGTGGTGGATGAGGGCATGGACGACGGCAGCATGGCCGGGGTCAGGGCCGCGCTCATGGTGAGTCAAGGCGCTCATGGTGAGTCAAGGCGCTCATGGTGAGTCAAGCAAGGGCGCTCATGGTGAGTCAAGCAAGGGTGGTCATGGTGAGTCAAGCAAGGGCGGTCATGGTGAGTCAAGCAAGGGCGATCATGGTGAGTGGGGGTTACACTCCGTCCATCCTCATTGCTTCGCCTTGGCTTGTTATTCCCGCACCCGTTCCTCCCCCACCCCCTCTCCACCCCTCCCCAGTCCCTGCTGCAGCACCTGCCCTCCGCCACGCGCATTGCCATCATCACCTTCGGCGCCTCTCTCTCTCTCTTCGACCTCTCCCCCTCCGCCTCTCCTCTGCTCGCCTCCGCCGACTGCTTCCCTGCCGCGCCCTCGCTGTCCGCGGCTGCGCTGGCGGCGCTGCTGCTGGGGCCGGCCACGTACCTCGCGCCCATCGCCGCCTGCCTGCCCACCGCTCAGGCCATCGTCACCTCGCTGCGCCCCTGCCGCGCCGCCACGCCCCCACTGGCGCGTGCGCGTGCCCTGGGCCCAGCGGTGGAGCTGGCGCTGGCGCTGCTGCGCGGCCCCGCGCCCGCGCTGCCGCGCTCTGCTTCCCCGCGCTGGGGCGGGCCGGCGCGCGTGCTGGTGCTGTGCGGAGGGCCCGCCACAGTGGGGGCGGGGGCGGTGCCGGAGGGCGTGGGGGGCGTGGGGGAGGGCGAGGTGCGGCAGCGCGAGGCGGCGGCGCGGCGGTACTACGAGGGGCTGGGGGGGGAGGCGCGGCGCATGGACGCCGTGGTGGACGTGCTGGCGGCCGGCCCGCTGCTCGTGCGCACGCCCGCGCTGCTGCCCCTTGCGGCGCTGTCGGGGGGTGCCCTCGTGCTGCTGGACGACTTCTCCCCAGCGGCCTTCCCCGCGCTGCTGCTGCGCGCCATCACGCGCGTTGTGGGCGGCAGGGGCAGCGTGGAGGTGCGCGCGTCGCCAGAGGTGGCGGTGACGCGCGTGATCGGGCCCGCAGAGGCGGAGCAGGCGGGCGCGCGGCGGGGGGGCGGCGGCGAGGAGGGCTTTCCCGAGGACAGTGCGACGGGCGTGGCGCTGCTGGCCGTGGACGAGGAGGCGGCGCTCACCGTGTGCATGGAGCTCACTGATGACGTCAGCACAGACCACGTGTACTTCCAATTCATGTGCCGCTTCGTGGACCTCAACCAATCACGTGAGTGCACCTGAACCAATCACGTTGGGCTGCCATGCTGCATTGGTTCCGCCATCACCCTCTGCACCCACACGCACTGCAATCATCAAGTCTGCTCCAACACCCCCCCCTCTAGTGGTCACGCGGGTGGTGTCGGTGCGTCTGCCGGTGGCGGCCTCGCTGCCGGCGTACCTGGCGTCGGTGCACGAGCCCACGGCCGTGCTGCTCATCGCCAAGCGCGTCGTGCTGGCCGCGCCCACGGCGCGCGAGGCGGGGGAGATGCGCGCGTGGGTGGACGCGCGGGCGCGTGACCTGGCGCTCAAGTACGGCGGCGTGGCCCAGCACAACCGCTCCCTGCTGCAGTTCCCCCACCTCCTGCCCAGGTCACGCCTTGGGGGGGAAAGGGGTGGGTGGGGAGAGGGAATGGGGGGGGAAGGGGGGGTGGGGGGAGGGAATGGGGGGGGAAGGGGGGGTGGGGGGAGGGAATGGGGGGTAAAGGGGACAATTAAAGAGCAGCAGACGCTTCAGCCACCTTCTTCTCCGGATCTCACTTTCCCTTCTCCCCCGTCCCCCTCAACCTCCCCATCACCCCCCCCCCCCCCCTGCGCCCCCCCAGGGTGGCGGAGGCGCTGTACGCGCTGAGGCGCAGCCCGGTGCTGGGGACGCACGTGGCGGACGAGTGGGAGCGGCACGCGCTGAGGGGGCTGCTGCTGCGCGCGGGGGGGGAGGCGGCGCTGCGCATGGTGCTGCCCTCGCTGCTCATGTTCCGCGCCGGCCACGCCACCCAGTTCGTTGAAGTGCCGCCCGCTGACCTCGCGCTGACGTCAGATGCCGCCCTTGTGTTGGACCATGGCACGGACATGCTCATATGGCTGGTGAGAGTTGCTCATATGGCTGCTGGGAGTTGCTCATATGGCTGGTGAGAGTTGCTCATATGGCTGCTGGGAGTTGCTCATATGGCTGCTGAGAGTTGCTCATATGGCTGCTGAGAGTTGCTCATATGGCTGCTGAGAGTTGCTCATATGGCTGCTGAGAGTTGCTGGCCTTCCACTTGCGCACACACTCACACGCACACACTCACACGCACACACTCACACGCACACACTCACACGTACACACTCACACGCACACACTCACACGTACACACTCACACGCACACAGCCTCTGACTCTCCCCGCCGTCCCCAGTCACCCCCAACCGCATTGCATTACCCATCCCATGCACCTCGCCCTCCCCCCTCCCCCAGGGCGCCCACCTGGCTCCGGACGAGCCCACTCGGCACGGCGTGGAGGCGGCGTGCCGGCAGCTGGCAGCGCAGCTCATGGGCGGGCAGGGCGGCAGGGGGCGCTTCCCCACGCCGCGCGTGCTCTGCTTCACTGTCAGTCCAAGGACGGGGGGGAGACTGCTTGGGAGAGGGCTGAGGAAGCGAGGGCAGAGGGGTGGGAAGTTGCAGCGATGCACTGTGTGTGTCTTTGCTCCGTTCGTGTGTGGTCAGCTGTGCGCTTTCTCTGACCCCGCACCCTCTCTCCTCCCTCCCCTCTCACCCCCCTGTTCCGTCGTCGCTCCATCCCCCCACCGCAGGAAGGCACACCGGAAGCTGCCTTCATGACCGCCCGCCTCACTCCCACTCACAAGGACCCTCTGGCCGTCCAGGTGAGGTGCCGTCCAGGTCAGATGCCGTCCAGCTGAGATGCTGTTGAGGTGATTCAGAGGAGTGGGCAGTGCAAAGCGCAAGGATGTAGTCGTGGGGCATTTTATCTGGAGTGCACTCCGTGCACAACGCTTTCCACCATCCACGCACCATTTTACTCTCCGCTCACCTCTTTCCCATCACCCCATCACCCCACCACCCCCCCTCCCCTGCAGGAGCTGCTGTTCCCGCCGCTACGTGAGATGCGGGCGGAGGAGCGAGCAGCGGTGCGCGCCAAGCTGCCGCCCTCCCCTGAGCCGGGCTTCACGGACTGGCTGCGCTCGCTCAAGCTCGCCCCTCCGCACCCCCCCGCGGCCGCGCCCTCCTGATGCCATGCCGTGTGGGATGGCATGGCCGTGCCTATCACATGTGTCACACAGTGTACTGCTCCAATAAAAGCTCTGCTGTATCAGCCATTGTGGCTGGAACGGTTATTAATATACATGATCCATCCATAAGAGAAAGCAAAAAAATACCCCTTGTACAAGCATCGTGGCGTGGTGTCTGAGTATGGTGTGTGTGCATGTGGCGTCATGGGATGCGGTCAAAGGGAGTGGTGTCTCGGTAGCACACATCCCACACCGCATCCACTGCACCCCGCGCTCTCGCCATGCACGCTGTGCTGCTGCTGCTGCTGCTGCTGCTGCTGCTGCTGCTGCTGTCGCCACTGGCGTTGCTGTTACTGCTGCTGCCATCGGCGGTGGCAGGGGTAGGTTGCGTGCAGAAGGGGTTCATGGCCACGGAGAGCTGCGCCTTGCGCCGCACACACTGCTGCGACCAGCACAGCGAGAGACAGGGGGGGGAGGAAGAGAAGGGAAGGGAAGGAGAGGAGAGGGGAAAGGGGTGCAACGGTTATAGTCGCATTCCCACACAGGTAGAGCGAGTGAGCACGAGGTGCGAGTGAGCACGAGGTGCGAGTGAGCAAGAGGTGCGAGTGAGCACGAGGTGCGAGTGAGCACGAGGTGAGAGTGAGCACGAGGTGCGAGTGAGCACGAGGTGCGAGTGAGCACGAGGTGCGAGTGAGCACGAGGTGCGAGTGAGCACGAGGTGCGAGTGAGTGACTGGGCGTCTGTTATTTTCCCTTCCCTCGCTGCCAGTTCCCTCCCTTAATGTCTCGCCCACTGCCACTCGCCAATGCACTAACCGGGTGCCCCCTCCTCTCACCGGGTCCCTGTCCTGCCCTCTCCTCTCCTCTCACCGGGTCCCTGTCCTGCCCTCTCCTCTCCTCTCACCGGGTCCCTGTCCTGCCCTCTCCTCTCCTCTCACCGGGTCCCTGTCCTACCCTCTCCTCTCCTCTCACCGGGTCCCTGTCCTGCCCTCTCCTCTCCTCTCACCGGGTCCCTGTCCTGCCCTCTCCTCTCCTCTCACCGGGTCCCTGTCCTGCCCTCTCCTCTCCTCTCACCGGGTCCCTGTCCTGCCCTCTCCTCTCCTCTCACCGGGTCCCTGTCCTGCCCTCTCCTCTCCTCTCACCGGGTCCCTGTCCTGCCCTCTCCTCTCCTCTCACCGGGTCCCTGTCCTACCCTCTCCTCTCCTCTCACCGGGTCCCTGTCCTGCCCTCTCCTCTCCTCTCACCGGGTCCCTGTCCTTCCCTCTCCTCTCCTCTCACCGGGTCCCTGTCCTGCCCTCTCCTCTCCTCTCACCGGGTCCCTGTCCTGCCCTCTCCTCTCCTCTCACCGGGTCCCTGTCCTGCCCTCTCCTCTCCTCTCACCAGGTCCCTGTCCTGCCCTCTCCTCTCCTCTCACCGGGTGGCCGTTGCGGAAGGCAAAGTCGGAGCCGCGAGTGGCAAACTCGCGGTGCATGTGGCACGCCCCACTCAGATTGGCCGCTCGGATCTGGTGCGAGCACAAGGGGGGGGGGGAGAGGCAGCATGGGGTGGCCGTCATGACGGGAGATGACGAGCAGTTAGATGCAGGATGGCATGTGCATGGTGGCATGTGCATGGTGACATGTGCATGGTGACATGTGCATGGTGACATGTGCATGGTGGCATGTGCATGGTGGCATGTGCATGGTGACATGTGCATGGTGGCATGTGCATGGTGACATGTGCATGGTGGCATGTGCATGGTGGCATGTGCATGGTGACATGTGCATGGTGGCATGTGCATGGTGACATGTGCATGGTGACATGTGCATGGTGGCATGTGCATGGTGACATGTGCATGGTGGCATGTGCATGGTGACATGTGCATGGTGGCATGGCATGTGCACGGTGGACGAACAAGATATGGGAGCCAGGCATGAGAGCATGCAGCGACCATGCAAGTTGGCGCACCTCGCTGCATGCATGGTGGGGCGCACCTCGCTGCATGCGTGGTGTTGGAGGTCGGGCCATGCGAGGTTGGCGGCTCTGCAGTGGTCGAGGGCGTGCACCAGCTCATGCGCCACCACTACGTTCACCTCGTCCTGCGACGCCACGTGGTTGGCGCACACCACCACCTGCACCACACACACACACACGACCGAGTGTGAGTGCAAGGCAAGTCACAAGGCGTGGCCTGGCCTCGATGTGGGCGAGGAACCGTTCACATGATGGCATGGGCAGGTACCATGCCATGGAAGGCCATCCCACCACATGGCATCCCACAGCATGGCATCCCACAGCATGGCATCCCACAGCATGGCATCCCACAGCATGGCATCCCACAACACGGCATCCCACAGCATGGCATCCCACAGCACGGCATCCCACAGCATGGCATCCCACAGCACGGCATCCCACAGCATGGCATCCCACAGCACGGCATCCCACAGCACGGCATCCCACAGCACGGCATCCCACAGCACGGCATCCCACAGCACGGCATCCCACAGCACGGCATCCCACAGCACGGCATCCCACAGCAGGCGTCGCCGCTCGATATGCTTGCCCCGCGCAGATCTTTATCCTTGCAAACCCCCGACCTAAACCCTCCGCTCCTTCCCCATCACGGCCCCCTTGCCCCACGCTTTTCTCATCACTTTCCCATTTTTCCCTCCCCGCTCCCCCCGCACCCCCTCCCCCCTCACCCCTTCGCCCGGCATGAAGCCCCCCCCGGCCTGCTCGTCGCATCGGCGCGCAGCAAAGAACTCGTCGCCCACGGGGCAGCCGGCGCGCTCCAGCGACTCGCGGAGGAATCGAACGGTCGGATCTGCACGAGGGAGCGCGGGCAAAGGCAAGCCGAGCGGTCAGAACGGGTAGGGACGGAAGGCCGTTCGTTGCGAGGAAAGGGATATGGCGTTAGCTGCGAGGCGAAGGAGTATGGCGCGCGCGTGGGGAACGGCGGACAACGAAAGGCGGTGATGGAAGGCAGGGACGAGGCGGACGGGCTCGCAGGAAGCGGGATGTGCAGAGAAAGGGACGAGAGGGCGCGAGGCGACGCGGGGGGCAGGCAAGGCGAGGCGGGGGACAGGCAAAGCGAGCACTCAACTCCATCGCAGGCAGCGCGCCAACATGCGCTCGCTCGCCGCCACTGACACACCGCTGCCGCCAGTCTCGTCCGCCATGACTTCCATTGGTGAGGGAATTGTGATATTGTTTAATAAATATGTTGTCATTTTTGTAAAAGTGCAAGATGTTAACAGCGCCTGTAACTCAGTGGATAGAGTGTTCGCTTCCTAAGCGAGAGGTCCAAGGTTCGACCCCTTGCTGGCGCGTATTTTTTCTCGACTTCCCCTGGTTGACGCAATTCAGGCATGCTCACTGGAGCCCACGAGGCTGGATTCGTTCTTCCCAAGTTACATCCTCCGTTGGACTTGCCTACTCTGCAAGCCAATGCACTCTGTGTTGGAGCTGTCTCTGACCAGTCACCAGGGCCTCAAGGATCCTCATGCGACCCAGAGGAGCAAGACTCAGGAGAGCCCTCTCTCGCTAAATGTGAGGGTAAATAGCTGTACATTCCAACTTACTGCAGACACGTGGTTCACTCCCAGATTCAGGGGGGCAGGGCAGCTGCTGTTGTTGATGCGCATTCTAGTATTAATGACATGACATGGCAACATCAGGGTGACAAGGCTGCTACACAGACCAATGCGGTTCATAACCCTAATGGCCCCACAGGGCATTGCTAGGAGCTGGTCTAGAGGGTGAGCGGGACCTGTGGGCTGTATGGGCTGGCAGCAGCACCGCTCTTGCCCTTGCTCTTCTCCACCACGATGGCCTGCGTCGTCAGCACCATGCCCGCCACCGACGCCGCGTTCTGCAGCGCACACCGCGTCACCTTGGCAGGGTCGATCACACCTGGAGACACAAGACAACCAGACAATGAGACATGGGGGTGGGGGGTGTGATGAGCGGCCAGTATGCAAGGATGGGCGGCCAGTATGCAAGGATGGGCGGCCAGTATGCAAGGATGGGCGGCCAGCATGTCATGATGGGCGGCCAGCATGCGATGACGGGCGGCCCACATGTAATGATGAGCGGCCAGCATGCAATGATGAGCGGCCAGCATGCAATGATGAGCGGCCAGCATGCAATGGTGAGCGGCCAGCATGCAATGGTGAGCGGCCAGCATGCAGACCATCGCCACTAGTCTTTGGGGCACTTAGCACACACGCCAGGCCCCCAGCACACATACACAGGGGAGCAGGGAGCGAGAGTGCAACGTTCGCTCACCAGAGGCCAGGAGGTCTTCGTACTGGTCGGTCATGGCGTTGTATCCGACGGCCCACTCGCTCTCCCTCACGCGCTCCACCACCACGGCCCCCTCCACCCCGGCGTTGTGTGCGATGAGGGCGCACGGCGCCAGCAGCGCCTTCTCCACGATGTCGGCACCGATGCGCTCCTCAGCATCTGTCAGATGCGCCTTGATGGCCGGCACCAGCGCCGCCAGGTGCACCATGGTGGCGCCGCCGCCCGGCACGATGCCCTCCTCGATGGCGGCGAAGGTGGCGTTCTTGGCGTCCTCGATGCGCAGCTTGCGGTCCTCCAGCTCCGTCTCCGTCGCCGCGCCCACCTTGATCACCGCCACGCCGCCCGCCAGCTTGGCAATGCGCTCCGACAGCTTCTCTGTGTCGTACACGCTGTCCGTCTCCGCCAGCTCGCGCTTGATCTGCGCCACGCGCGCTGCGATCTCGTCCTTGGTGGCGCTGTCGGCGATGATGGTGGTGGCGCTGCTGCTGATGGTCACCTTGCGCGCCAGCCCCAGCTGGTCCGCCGTGGCGCCCTCCACCTTCAGCCCCAGGTCCGACGCCATGAACTCCGCGCCTACAGGGAGGGGGGGGTGGGGAGGGGTGTGGTGATGGGGGGTGGGCAACCAGGTGAACGCACTTGCACTCGCACACCAACAGACACGCTCACTCACATAAGCACAATTGTTGTTCCATCCCTATCCGTTACTTGGTGCTGTTTTCCCCTGCCTCTCTCCTGTGACTATGGCCCTGCCCTGCCTCTCTCCTGTGACTATGGCCCTGCCCTGCCTCTCTCCTGTGACCATGGCCCTGCCCTGCCTCTCTCCTGTGACCATGGCCCTGCCCTGCCTCTCTCCTGTGACCATGGCCCTGCCCTGCCTCTCTCCTGTGACCATGGCCCTGCCCTGCCTCTCTTCTGTGACCATGGCCCTGCCCTGCCTCTCTCCTGTGACCATGGCCCTGCCCTGCCTCTCTCCTGTGACCATGGCCCTGCCCTGCCTCGCTCCTGTGACCATGGCCCTGCCCTGCGTCTCACCTGTCACGATGGCGATGTCTTGCAGCAGCGCCTTGCGGCGCTCGCCGAAGCCGGGCGCCTTGATGGCGGCCACCTGCAGCACGCCGCGCAGCTTGTTCACCACCAGCGTCGCCAGCGCCTCCCCGGACACGTCCTCCGCGATGATCAGCAGCGGGGCGGACAGCTGCGAGGTGCGCTCCAGCACGGGGATGATGTCCTTGATCGCCGTGATCTGCCGGCGAGCGGGAAGGGAGGGAGGGAGGAGGGGGGGGAGGGAATGGAGTTGAGTGGCGTGCTGGAGCAAGCAGGCGGCAAGCACAAGCAGACCAGGGCTTCGAGGCCACAGCGGCTGGTGGGCTGTGCGTTCACCGGAAGCGGCTGATGGCATCCGCGCGCGGGGCATGACCCCCGCCTCCCCACCTTGTGGCCCGTGCCCACCCCAACCCCCCTCACGCACCTTCTGGTCGCTGCACAACAGCCCGCCCTCACCTTCTGGTCGGTGACGAGCACTCGCGCGTTGTCGAACTCGACGAGCATCTTCTCCGTGTTCGTCGCGAACTGCGGCGAAATGTAACCGCGGTCGATCTGACACGGCGGGGGGCAACGAGGGCGAGGAGCGGTGGGAGAGAAAGGGGGCAGGAAGGAATGAGTGGCGTGGGGGGCGAATGTGACGGGGGTGGACGCAGCGCCCGGGGGGGAGAAAACGAGCACACACAGCTAAACTTGGAGCGCGGAACCAGGGGAGGGAGCACGGGGGACGGGGGAGGAGGCGGGGGCGGCAGAGCGGCTTACCGCCATGCCCTCTTCGACTTCGACGGTGGTGTCGAAGGACGAGGAGCTCTCGATGGAGAGCACGCCGTCCGCGCCCACCTTGTCCACGGCGTCCGCTATCATCTCGCCGATCTCCTCGTCGTTGCCCGCGCTGATCGTCGCCACCGCTGCAACCACGGGGAGAGGGAGGGGGGGCGGGGGGAAGGGATGGCGGGAGGAGATGGGGAGGGTGAGGGGGGGAGGGTGTGGAGGCAGAACGGTGAGGCTTCAGAGTAGCACTAAACCTCCCTCTACAATCACACTGGCTGCGCCACAGCGGGTGCGCCAACAGCGAGAGCGGCGAGAGCGGGAGCGCGCACCTTTGATGTCGTCGCGGCCCTTGACGGGCCGTGCGTTGTCCTTGAGCGCGTCGACGAGCTTGGCGACCGTCTTGTCGATGCCCTTCTTCAGCGCCACCGGGTTGGCCCCCGCCGTCACGTTCAGCAGCCCCAGGTTGATCAGCGCGCGCGCCAGCACGCTCGCCGTCGTCGTGCCGTCGCCCGCCGAGTCGTTCGTGCGCGACGCCACCTGGATGGATGTGATAGGTTACATCGCGGATTTGGAGGCGGCGGGCATGGAACGAGGCGGCGGGACACCGAGAGATCGGACTCAGCGTACGATTACGCAGCGAGGCGTCGTGAATGGCGGACAAGAAAACGGCTGATTGGGGGCAGACGCTGAATGGAGCACCGGACGTGCAACGACGATTGACTAGGGGATAATCGTTGAAGCACAATCCCAAAACCCTCGTTGATTTGATATGTCTCCAAAATGTTCACTTCCCGCTAAACCCTCCCTCGGTCTCGGGTTTCTGACTCACCTCACGGATGAGGGCAGCTCCGGCGTTTTCCATGGGATCTGGGAGCTCGATGGCCCTCGCTATAGTCACACCGTCGTTGATGACCTTGGGATTGCCGAACTCGTCGAGCACCACATTGCGACCTGAAGGGCACACGGCGAACACGGGTGGTACTACTCAACCAAAGCTGCTACGCGACTGATGGTGCAACAAATTGGCTGAGCGGGGCGACACAGTAACTGTGGGTGCGACAGAACGACTCATCGACTAATGGAACGAGCAAGAGGCTGATGCTTCGACTCACGGTACGCCAGGATCTTCCTCCTCCGACTTGCCACTATCGGCGCGCATGGCTGTCGCTACCCGGACTTGAGAATACTAGGAAACGCGGGCTTATGCTTTGCGTGTTGGAGAAAAGCGTCAATCTCTTGCCTCAAGGGCACAGATTGCCTTGCCTCAAGGGCAGAGCCCACCAGCGTACCTCGCGGGCCGAGCGTGACCCCGACGGCGTCAGCGAGCTTGTCGATGCCGGCCTGCATGGCGGACCGCGCTGCCTGGTCGAACAGGATGTCCTTCGCCTCTGCGCGCACCGATAGCGACCGCCGCGCGCGCGCCGTGGCAGGCACGCGCGCGAAGGACGCCGCCAGCTGGCGACCGCCGGGCGCTAGAGCCGCGGTCTTGCTGATCTGCGCACGGGGGAGAGATGTCAGGAGTTGACGTCGGAAGGCGATTAATACTGTGCCGTTGCGTGACGGGTATTGCGGTATAAGTAAATCGCACTCGATCTGTCGTCGAAGTGCACGATGGATGGTGTATTGCGCAGACGAGGAAAAAAACAACCGTTCTCAAGCTCCTTCGAAGACAAGTTGTGAGAATTGGCGCATGTGCATCCTTGGTTGGCGCAACTACCTTAGACGGCACAACAGTTCTGGCAGCTGCCATGCTATGGGCCAAGCTCGACGCCATGATAGCGTTCTTTATCGGCTAGAACGACGGCAGCAACAGACGCTGGGTCGGGAGCGCGAAGAGAAGGAGCGTCTGGCTGCAGAGGGGATGAGCCTCAGGCTATGGCGGCTTAGGGATGTAATAGCGATGTGAGATGCAGCCAAGACAAATATTTTGCGAAGGACAGAAGGAAAGCTAGAGGAAGAGTGATGTGACGGGGGGGGCAACCGCGGAGAAGCTCGTCAAGGCTGAACACTTTTCGGCCACGGGGGACGCCACGCGGCAGGCGCTGTCGATTTTCCGGAAGGAGACTGCCAGAAGGTTCTGCGATGGCCTTTCCACGCGGCCGGGAAGGCTCAGCTTGCCACCGTGGTGTCCACGTTGCTCTCGATATTCGATGAAGTGGCTTCTGGCCTTTCGAGAACATCTGGAATATTACTCCGCTAATAGGCAAAGGAACCGTTCACATTTGCCTCTGACAATGTGCCTATTCATTCTGCCTGTATCTAGTGCGTATAGCTGAAACATATTAAATTGTGTCGTATCGAGATGGGTATCAAAGCAAACAAAGGAACTCGCATGATTTATCTAGATAATTCCATAATAGTTCCTGGATTTTGCCTTGCTCTTTTTCGTGAAGCATACTGAAGCGATCCAATGTGATCCGTAGGATGCTTATGATTGAACTACACTTTACGGAAGCAGTTGATTAGTCTGGTGAACCCTATCAGAGTGAATGTAAGATAACAGTGTTGATTACCGCAAGAGAATACAGGTTTCATATAGTGATACAAGGCAATGCGAAGGGTCTAACTAAGATGCACTCAACAGTGGTACATTCCCTATGCAGTTCCGGATCTTACCCAGGTAACTGTACAAGACTCGGGTAACAGTCTGCACTATACTACAGGGTCAGTTATGTGTCCTTGCTGTCGTAACGGACTCTTGAGCTTCTGTCGGTTCCGCTGTCGGTCAACGGTCAATGACCGTTGCACTTCGTACCTCGCGTCATAGGCTTGGACTCGAGAAGGGTTACGGCTCGAGTATCACTTTCAGGAATGCAAGAATTTCCTTAGTCGGACGAGGGTCCGAATATGCAGGAGGGCGCGGGACTGGTCGCTGGTCCGTATGGGACGGGCGACGGGTCTGGCGCGGGTGCTGGGGGGAAGGGTCGATGGGTCTCCTCTGTTGGGTGTGACCCTATTGACTCCCGCCTGGAGTAGGCGTGTAGGATGGTCTTGCGCTGCTGTCTGCTCGATTTTGGCAACGCTCAATACAGTGTCCGAAGGTTTTGCAGTCTTTACAAAAATAGCGGCGACTGCGCGTGTCGCGACGTGGCTTCTTTTGGCCCGAGTAGAAGGCAGGCCTCTCTTTGTGCGGAGCTCTCTCCTTGTAGAGGTCCATGTCCTGCTGCTCAACTTGCAAAGTTGCATAAAGGGTCGCTTAGGATATTTTGCCTTGCTGGCGGAGCAGTGCCTTATACGGTCGCCATTCGGGGGTAAGTACAGCGAGCACGATCGTCACGAACATATCTTCAGTGATAGTGTTCCCAAGCTTAACGATCTGGTCGCGGATGCTTCGGCAGCGAATAATGTAAGTGTTGGCATTTTCCCCTGAGGCCATTTTCACTTCTAGTAGCTGGCCGAGCAGTCGACTCGACGACACGGAGTCCTTCGGCTGATAGAAATTTGTCAGATATAGCCTGGAGTCTTGTGCCGGAGCTTTTGAAGGATCGGATTCCGAGCAGTTTAGAGGCGGATATGTTCCGCATAAGTACACTGTACGCATGAGCGATTCATTGTAGTATCGTTGTTTCGCGTCTTCGGCGTCGATCGTTGGTCCGGGATAAGATCTGTCAAAATAGCAGAAGATTTGAGTGCTCTGCAATAGTAGCTCGATCTTTTTAACTCCAAGTATAGAGATCGCAACCGTCGAAGATAGAGCTTGTTCTGATCTTAGAAACAGCCAAGAACTTCGACTGTGCTGTCTGCAGGACTTCGTCACTTAATCGTGTGCTAGCAGGTGGTTGCGTGTTGGAGGCATCGAAGTTGAAGGACTAGGAGTGGAGCCTTTGTTTGCAGGGGTTGGTTGCGTTTTAGTGTTTTTGCAAGGGGTGCTCGAGCCGTCGATCTTGAGAGATTGAAGTCCTTCTTCAAGAGTTGACATTTGTTGGAGCAATTTCTCGAGGAGCCTTGTGGGGACGGAAGTGGTTGCCGCCGGATTCGGAGTGTTTATAGGTGCTTCCGGAAGAGGGCTTCCTTGCCCTCGTGATCCCGAGCCTGGAGCCATTCTGTGGCGGGAGCGAGTCACTGGCGCCACGATGTTTGAATTTGAAATTGATTGAGGATGTCGTGCATAGAATCCTGATATGCTCTGTTTACCATGAAGCGATTCAATGTAATCCGTAAGATGCTCAGGATTGAACTTCAATAGTGCGCTTTGCGGAAGCGGTTGATTGGTTTGGTGAACCCGGTCAGAGTGAATGTAACATAACAGTGATGATCATAGCAAGAGAATACAGGGTTCATATAGTGATACAAGAGAATGCGAAGGGTCGAACTAAGATGCACTTAACAGGGGTACATTCTCTATGTGGTTCCGGATCTGACTCGAGTAACTGTACACGACTCGGATAACTGTCTGCGCTATAATACAGGGTCAGTTATGTGTCCTTGCTGTCGTGATGGACCCTTGAGCTTCTGTCAATTCCGCTGCCGGTCAACGGTCAATGACCGTTGCACTTCGTACCTCGCGTCATAGGATTGGACTTGACAAGGGTTACGGCTTTCAGGAATGGAACAATTTCCTTATCGTAACACATATGAGCACCATATCAAAGCTTAATGCATTTACAAGGTAAAAACATTGTTTGTTGCTCAATTGATGCATCCAACAAGGCATGCTCAGGAAGTGAATGATTTTACTGTTTCCATGTTACACAGAACTTGTAGGCTTGCACATCTCAAGAAGCAGTAATAAAGAGCACAACCATTATGGGACATAGCATGATATTAGCAAAGGCTACAACTGAGTAACCTTTACGCATGTAAGGAAATGGTACTTCCTTATCACGGGTTTTGTTCAGTATGGCATACACTTCTATAACGAGGTTGCCACATAGCTCTGCCACGAAATTCAAATCGCGGTCCCAAATGTGGTCTCCTGACGAACAGCATACATTGATGCACGCCTTGCTATTGCATGCCTAGATCTGGGCGCTCCTCGCCATTTTACGAACCACACGTCGCAGCTCTGCCGAGCCAGGACCGTGTACTCCTAGCCTAGCTATATCCATGCTCCCTGCTGTTTGATGTTGCTGAGTTGTATTGTTTCCTCGTTAATCAATCCTTCAACGCACGCTCTTTGGGCTTTATTATACCTGGTGTCAGAGCCAACGATCCTCAGCCTTGCGCTCTAGTTCCGATGCAATACTGACACTTAGGGAGGCTGACATTTGCACTTATTGCATATCCGTTATCCTGGTAATACTCATTAATAATTACCTATAGCCACGACTGTGTTCGCCGTGCCAGCGTGCCGAAAGCTGCCCAAAACTTACGCAAAATGGTGGATCCGTCGGCATCTACCAACATGACTCATGAGGAGAGGGTGGCATTACTTGATTAACTATGTCTCACTTATGAGTTGTACCAATAGGAGTTGGCGCGTCTGCAAGCTGAAACAGATCAAGCCGAATCGGAGATATCTGCACTTCAGAGCCAGCAGCAGACACGATACAACAGGACTACACCAACTACAAATCAAGGACAACAGGAGAAAGAACCCAGCAGGGTTCCAAAATACCTGGCGACAATCAGCGATCACATGCAACTTCGCCCGAGGGTTCGACGAACAATCCGCCATCGGCTATTGGACGGGCGGAAATGGCGAAATGACGAACGTGAACCTGCCGCCCCCGTTTACCTCTCCGACCGACCAGCAAAATGCAAATATCAATATGGCGCTGGGTATTCTTAAGATGCAGAGGCCGCCCACGTTCGACCCGAACCAGCGTCGCAACTTGTCCATCAGTGGGTGGATTTTCCCCCTTAATGTTTTTTACGACTGCAACCTCGTCCGCGATGATGCGAAGAAAAATTGATACGCCATGTCACTGCTACGTGGACCGGCTATGGATTGGTGGCAGCAGATTATTCAGACGCATGAGCCGGATATGACGCCATGCGTAATCGGGCGCTTTCGCATGACCAATTATTGGGCAGAAAGTTATTGCGAGGTGAACGAGTACAACACGTGGCAATCGTGGTGTGCGGGAATTCCTCACCGCTTCGAACACGTCAATGCAAGCAGCCAAGCGCGCGACCGCCTCCGCACGTGGCGCCAACTTGGATCAGTCCAGGACTATGCCAGCGGCTTCAAGAATCTATGCGACCAGGTCGGGTACATTCACCCCGACGAGAAGTTTGATAAATTCATAGGGGGACTTCGACCGGATCTGCGCAGAGAAATACAGGTTCAAGAGATTACATATTTGATGGAGGCACAGAGGGTTGCGGAGCGGTTGGATTCGTTCTACAGACCAAGGTGTTAGAAATGGACTGCAAATCCCAATTTTGTATTTGTACTTATATATCCTAGTTTAGGTTAGGAATATTCTAGTGGGTTGGGGTGTACTCACAAATCCCAACCTCACCCAATTGTGATCCCCCCAATCTCCAATTACCCAATTGGAGATTCCGGAGATCCCAACGGGGATTCTCCCCGAATTAATCATTTCAGCTCTTTTTCTTACATGGTATCAGAGTGACCTATCCGCACACGCGGATCATTGTCCTAGTCTTAACATGCCCGCGCTACGCGCACTTTATCGTCGCGACATTCGTCTCGAGTCGTCGGAATTTTCGACGTGCTCCACTCTGCAGTCGCGCCTCTCATCGTCGACCGCCTTCGCGCTCGACCTCGTTGCATTTCTCAACTCGAAAGTTTTCACGCTTCCCATCATCGATTTCCTCTTCGGTTCTCCTTGGTCGAATCTCAATTTCGACCATCTCTTAAAACTCGTTTTCGAGTTTCCCCTCGGACCCCACCAGAATAGGCGAACTCCCCTCGCGGAATCACCTCCACGAACATCTCGCGTCAAGCAAGAGCAGGTACACAAGTGGAAGTGGAGCGGAGCTGGTTGCGGAGCCGGTTGCGGAGCTGTGTAGCTGCAGGACAGGGCCTGGGGGTGTGTGGGGGGGTGTGTGGGTCCGGGGTTAGACATAGTCTCAGATTCAGTTTCAAGTCGGAGTTTTAACGAATTTCCGACGACGCCATTTCCTTCTCAGCGGCATTTCGACAAAGCCGCCGGAGTGATTTTCAGCAATTCTCATCGACCGATTTCTAGAATTGTCGCGCTGCGCACCGAAGTTCCTATCGGTCACTTAAGAGCGTCGCTTCGCGAAAATCAAGCGACAATGGCTTACTCAACCACTTTACTTGCCAACCCGATCCCGCTCCTTCGTCTCGAGCCAGACAACAGATGCTCCAACTACAAGGCTTGGCGCTACGGTGTCGACAAGCACCTCCTCAATCGCGAGGTGAAGGGGCTCGAGCTCACCGACGTCCTTCTCAACATCGGTGACGGCAAAGAGCCTCCTAAACCCGAGAGGCCCGCCAATCCAGCTAATGCCACCGCCGAAGCAGTTTATGCTACTGCATTGCTCAAGTACAAGAATTGGGAGAAGGCCGATGGCGCAATCATTAGTGTCTTCATGGGCACCACTCCTCCCAAACTTGTCGAAACCTACCACAACTACCCGTCTGCCAACGCCATTTGGCTCTACCTCGATGACCGCTTCCTGAACAAGACTGCAGTGAGAGTTGCTATACTCATCCCCAGCATGTTCCAAGTGCGGCTCGAGGACTCGCCAGGCATGGCGGACTATGTCACCAAGGTGCCGTCCATTTATGGTGAACTCAAGCAGTTGGGGATAACCTTCCCTGAGCAAGCCTCTGCAGCCGCTCTCCTAGTCGGCCTCACCCCGGCATACGAAGTCACACGCAAGATGCTCTTGGGCCTTGCTCCTGCGGACCTCACATTTGCCAAGGTCTCATCCGCGCTTCTTTCTGCCGAAAATGACAACAGCGCTCAAACCAAGGCCAATGCAATCCGCGCTCATGTGCCTTAGGCCTATGCCGCTTCGGCACCATTCCAGCGCAACCGCTTCCCCCCGTGTCCCTATGTCATCAAGCACGGCCCTCGTGCCGACCAGGTGTGTAGCGGCACCAACCACGCCCTCGCCTCCTGCTTCAAGAAGAAGGATGACGAGTGGTATGCCATCAATGGGACTGCCTCGAAGCCGCCAAGCTAAATGGTCAATCGTGCTCCTCGCAAGGTCAATCAAGTCAAAGCACAGGAATCCGTGCACGCTGCTGTGGCTCCCCGTGCTGATGTGCGCCTCAACATGTTGTTCCCTGGCACTGCCATGATTAATGAGACAATTTCGCAATGTCCTGGCTCACAAATCACCTCAGCCACAATAGAGTTCACCTTCGACAGTGGGGCCACTCACACAGTTCTCAAGGAAGAACACTCCTTCAAGCCATACAAGATACCAATCCCTCTACTATGAGCAAACTCCAGTTTCACAACGCACGCCAAGGGCTCCTCCACAGTTCCGTGCCCAGCTTTCCCTTCGGGCAGTGTCACCGGCATGTGTGTTCCCACAATACGCCACAATCTCATGGCCCAACACGAGCTCCAACGGGCAGGCGTCACCACGATCTTCCCAGCACACTCGGATCACTGTGACCTCCTCGATCCTAAGTCCAACAAGCTCCTAGCACACTTCACACTCAACAGCAGCACGCTCTACACGGTGCATTCACCTGCACCTCTCGCCACCCTCTCCCAAGCGCAAGCTGCCAACACCACTCCGTGTTCGTGTCGCAGCTTCGCCAACCCAACCATCCTCTACCACCATCGCTTGGGTCACCCCAACTTCCGTACGCTTGCCGACATCGCTTCCAAGAAACTTCTTCTTGGCTTCCCCTCGGTGCTTCCTCCACCAACAGACTCACCAGCACCCACCTGCCTGGACTGCACCAAGAGCAAGCTCAGGCAGCAGCCGCACCCTTCCTCCCCATCTGTCGCAGCTGCTCCGCTGGACCTAGTGCACATGGATGTCTGGGGCCCAGCTCCAGTCGCATCCCGAGGCGGTCATCGGTACTTTCTTACACTAGTCGATGACCACTCGCGGTATAGTGGCGGAAAGTATTGTCCACATGTTTGTGACTTAGAGGAATTTTGCCATTTTATGGGGTCATGGACATTAAGCCTTAATCTTTTGGTATGCCTAGTGTATGTAGGTTGGGGTAAGGCTCTACACCCATGCCTTACATCTCACAAAGATATTGATGTTTACAACAAATAACAGAAATTAACAATCATGGTACATGCGGACAATTATTGCCAGGCACAAGCAGCAAGTTACATTAACCCCAAACTAGTACCTAGTCCACCGCCCTTTCCCCTTAATCACCGCCCTCACCCTCCTGGGCATGCTTTCCACCAGGTGGGTGCACACATCCGCCGGGATCTTCTCCTATTCCTCCTGCACACGCTCCCAAAGGTCCAGCATACCAGTGGGAGGCTTCTCGTGCTTGGCCAGCTGCCTCTTAAGATGAGCCCATAAATGCTCTATTGGGTTGAGGTCGGGTGAGGAAGACGGCCAGTCTAGCACCCCAAACTCTTGCTCTCTAAACCACTCCTGTACGATACACGACTTGTGCTTCGGGTTGTTGTCGTGCTGGAAGATAGCTTCCGAGGGTGAAAGCTGATAAAACTCAATCGTACTATTGAGCTCGTCCTGCAGTATACTCAGATAGAGCGGTCCGTCCATCCTACCGTCTATTTTGCACATGAAACTCGCGCCATCATACAACATGCACCCCCAAATCATCAAGCAGCCGCCCCCGTGTTTGACAGTCTGCTTGATTTGGTGGCTTTGGAGGGCAGCACCTTCGCGAACCCAGGCATAGGAGCGTCCGTCGGAAGCAAACCGATTGATCTTGGTCTCATCCGACCAGATCACCCGCTTCCAGTCGTCAACCGTCCAGTCGGCGTGGGCACGGACCCATTCTAGCCTATCGCGTATGTTTTTTTTAGAGAGTCGCGGCTTCGTGGGCTGCTGGATGGCGACAAGTCCACTTGTTATTCAAAGCATTACGCACCGTCCTAGGATGCAGCGTCATGCCGTGCTGCATCTCGACAATCTTCGCCGTGTGAGCGGAGGTTTTGGCCTCCCCGGTAGTAATCGATTGAACTATGCCGTGGCGAATTCTCTCTGTCACTAAGCGAGGGCGACCGGCTGAGGGCATCGTAGGACACACGGCATCGCGGCTAGACTCTTCAATCGCCTTAAAACATTTCTCGTACCGGTTTGGTGCCTTTTTTGTTCAGTTATGAATCAAATTTCGGCATTGGCTGTAAAGTAGTACTGTAATGTATGTGACGGATGCTTGGTTCAGTTTTATAGAGGTCGATTTTTTACCGAGGATGAGATTTTGTTCGCGTGGGTGCATCCGGACAGTTTGGATCGCGCAACCACACCTTGGTTCAGATCGCTCGCTGCCTCCTCAGTCACGCCAACGCACCACGGTCACCCTTGGGGGATATGCCATCTTCCATGCGGCTTTCCACGGTCTACAATCTTTATCCGCATCCCCACCGGACCGACACCACACCAACCACTCTCTGGCTTGGGGCCACGCCTTCCGCCAGCTCTCTACGCGTTTGGGGGTGTACCGCGTATGTGCTGCTCAGCCCCCACACGCGCAGGAAGCAAGGTAGCAAGTTTGGTCCCAAAACCCAGACCTGCATATACTTGGGGCACAAGTCTGACTCCGCATACTACTTATTCCTCAACCCCATCACCAGACAGTTGATTCGCAGCCGTGATGTCGTCTTCGATGAGACACGCCCCTTCCACTCTGCGACCGCAGGGGAGCCTCCTCCACCTCTCCCGACGCTTGTATGGGCAGACTTCGATGCCCCACCTCCAGCCGCTAACCCTTCTCAGGGCCCTTCTCCGTCTGGCGTGTCTCACCCGGCCTCCCCGATATCCTCCGCAGCGGCACCTTCTTCTGCTCTGCCTTCCCCGCGTGTCGAGCCCAGCTCACCAGTCTCCTACCGGCGGCGCCCAATCCCTCAGGTCCCACCGCAGCCACCTTCGTCTCCGGTCTCTAGTCGCACTCGTTCCAAGGGACCGGCTCCGCCTCTCACCTGGGGACCAGCCGCCTTCTCTATCCGGTGTTCGGTCACCCCACCTCCTCCTGCTGGGGGTGATGTCCTTTCCATCCATATTCCACCCCGTGCACTTCTGGAGGACAGGCATGAGGAGCTGTTTGACCTTCACGCGGTCTGCCAATTTCTCTCTCACATCTTCCCGGACATTACTGACTGCCCTTCCCTCAACTTCACCGAAACCGGACGGAAGCCTGCGCATGTGCATCGACTACCGAGCTCTTAACAAGCATACCATCAAGAATAAATATCCGATACCGCGAATCGATGACCTGCTTGACCAGCTTCGGGGAGCTACGGTATTTTCCAAACTAGATCTGCGGTCCGGATACTGGCAGATACGGATGGCGGACAACTCAATCCACAAAACTGCTTTCCGAACTCGGTATGGATCGTACGAGTATTTGGTAATGCCATTCGGACTCACCAACGCACCGGCAACATTCCAAGCCGAAATGAACCACATTCTACGACCACTTTTGGACGAGTGCGTGGTGGTGTACCTGGACGACATACTCATCTACTCGCGCGACATGAAGTAGCACGTCGAACACCTGCGACGCGTCTTCGAAATTCTTCGACGAGAACGATTCTACGTCAAACTGTCCAAGAGCGAATTCGCCCTTGAGAAGGTCCACTTCCTAGGACACATGGTGAGCGCTCAAGGAGTCCACGTCGACCCCAAGAAAATCGAAGCCGTACGTACGTGGAAGACACCCGAGAACGTGAAGGAGTTGCAGTAGTTCCTAGGCTTCGCTAATTACTACAACAGGTTCGTGCCACAGTATGCGAAAATCGCAGCACCACTCACGAATCTGCTGAAGAAGAACACGCCTTACAAATGGGAGCTGAAACACCAGGAAGCCGTCGAGCAGCTGAAACAAGCACTTACATCCGCACCAGTACTCATCTTGCCAGATCCCGAACGCGACTACGTCATCGAAGCTAACGCCAGCGACCAGGCAGTGGGAGCAGTCTTGATTTAAGACCAGGAGAATGGACTGCAACCAATCGCCTACCTCAGCAAGAAACTGCACGGGGCAGAACTAAACTACCCAATACACGACAAAGAGGCCCTTGCCATCGTCATCGCCTTCAAAGCGTGGAGATGTTATCTCGAAGGACGAAGAACAACCGTCTACACCGACCACTGCAGCCTGAAATATTTAAAGATACAACCCAACCTTTCCAGGCGGCAGGTCCGGTGGATCGACTTCCTTGAGACACACTTCCACTACGACATCGTGTACAAGCCCGGCCACAAAAACAAAACAGACGCTCTCAGCCGACCTGCACACGTTGCCGCTATTCAGATCGAAGCGATGAATCCACTCCTCAAGGGACTCTTCACACACGGGTACGCCATCGACCCCGAAATTCCCTTGGCAGAAAGCGACATCTACTACAGTGGGACAACGCCATCGCGTACCGGAAAGGGTCAATGAAGATCTGGGTACCAAATTACCCTCCTTTGCGCCAGTTACTACTCGAAGAATACCACGACGTCTTCTACGCCGGACACTTCGGTAGCAACAAGACGCTGACCGGTATTGCAAAGCACTACTACTGGCCCCACTTGGCAGAAGATGTTCAGAACTTCGTCACCTCGTGTGATATATGTCAGCGGATGAAGAGTAGCAAGCAGAAAAAGGCGGGACTACTGCAGCCTCTTCCAGTCCCAGAACAACCATGGCAAGTGGTTAGCCTGGACTTCATCACTGGGTTACCACCTACCACCAGCGGTCATGACGCCATCCTTGTCGTCATCGACAAATTCTCCAAAATGGGACACTTCATCCCGACACACACGACAGCACGCACCGAAGAAACAGCACAACTCTTCGTTCGATACATCATCTCACAGCATGGCATTCCAACCACACTCATCTCCGACCGAGACCCTAAGTTCACCAGCAAGTTCTGGAATGAACTTATGTCTCTCCTCGGGACAAAACTCGCCATGTCATTTGCTTACCACCCGCAGACAGACGGACAGATCGAGCGCCTCAACCAAATTGTTGAGCAACTCCTCCGAGCAGCCTGCAAGGACGAGATCTCCAAATGGGACTTGCACCTGCCCGTTCTAGAGTTTGCTTACAACAACGCTACACATGCCGCTACGGGTCAGACGCCATTCTTCCTCTGCTACGTACGCCACCCACTCACACCACAAAAACCGACAGCATCAGCTACAGTCCAACCTGCGCATGATTTTATCACAACCATGCATCAGCTTTGGGATCGGACCCATAAGCGCCTCCTCGACATTCAACAGCAACAGAAGCACCAGGCCGATCGCCATCGCAACGACCACACCATTACCGTGGGAGACCAGGTGCTCCTTGACACCCGCAACCTTGACATCAGCCACCTTCCATCCAAACTTTGACCTCGCTTCTGCGGGCCTTTTCTCGTTGAAGCACAGGTCACTCCTGTTACCTTCCGCTTATGCCTGCCAGCTACCTGGAAGATTCACAACGCCTTCCATGTCCAACTTCTGAAGCCCTATCGGGATCCGAACACGATCTTCATCGGATGCCAACCGCCGCCGCCGCCGCCCGTCCTCGTCCAGAATGAACCCGAGTACGAGGTCAAGTCCGTGCTTGCACACCGCCGTCGTCGGAATGGCACTGTGGAGCTTCTCATCCGTTGGAAGGGTTATGATCCTTCTGAGGACAGCTGGGTACATGAGTCCGACATGGGTAACGCCCGTCGTCCTCTGCATGACTACCTTGTCAAGCAGGGTGTTACTTCTACCACCCAGCTTTGAGGGGGAGAAGTGTGAGAGTACGACCCCGTTACACCACTTGGCCTTTTTTCTACTTCCTTCCTATTTTCATTTCTCTTTTTATCTCATCTCATGTGGTTTCCTATTCTCCCTTTTCCATTAACCTTTGGTTTCTCCTGCTATTATAGTTATATCACCGACCAGGCTTGGGATGTACTGGGCGCTATATCTAGCGTAATCCCGCCGTAATCCCTTAAAGCCAATAGCCTCGCGTGGTTATACGCAGGGTGATTCTATATTCTATAAGGGTCTATTCCCTTAGGATAAGATAAACCTGGTTACCTGATGTACTATGGAAGTATAAAAGCGACTTGCACTGATCGATAGTGCAATCTTTCCTCGAGTCATTCGATCCTGTGATATGGCACAACCTCTGGGAACTGTTTGGCATGCGCCTGCAATTCTCTTACGCCTACTATCCCGAGACTGACGAGCAGACCGAACGAGCCAATCAGACAATGAAGTATCTGATTCGGGCCACATGCGATGACGTGGCCGACTGGGAGCAGCAACTGCCACTGATTGAGTTCGCATATAATAACGCCCCGTGAGCCACTACACGACAGTCACCATTTTACCTGAACTATGGGTAGAACCCTACTGTACCGATCACGCCCAGCCCTGAAAATCCAGTACCAAGAGTCCAACAGTTTGCCGAAATCTTACAGAATGCCCGGAAGCAAGCAGTCAAAGCCATTAAGCGCGCTAATCGCAACGCCGATCTACACCGACGAGCAATGACGTACCAGGCTGGAGACTTAGAGTTGCTCGACACCCAAAACCTTCGACTGCCCATCGTCCCAAAACTCCGCCCCCGCTACTGTGGACTATTTACCATCAGCCACATCATATCTTCCATTACAACCCACCTACTATTACCGGTCACCTGGAACGCCAGCCCATCATTCCACGTGCGATTACTTCGACCATACATCGCTAACACCAGTAAGCTACAACGTTACCGAACGAACCCGGACATCCGACCGCTCGCCGAGCCTACTGTCGAACCTGCGAAGGTTCTCAGCCATCGGATCAGGGATCCTCGAGTGGCTCGCCTGATCGAGTTTCTGATATCTTGGAAGGACCGGACGGCCCTGGAAAACAGTTGGGTGCCCCTGGCACAGATCGAAAATTACCCAGTGTTACAAGTCTACCTCCAGTCTCGTAATGCGCGCGACGTCGGCGGCCTGTCTTAGCTAATACCATACCTTGGAGGAGGGAGGGTGTAAGGAAATGGTATTTCCTTATCACGGGTTTGAGTCAGTAAGGCATAAATTTCTATAACAGGTTTGCCACGCAGCTCTGCCACGAAATTCCAATCGCGGTCCCAAATGTGGTCTCCGACGAACCGCATACATTGATGCCCGCGTTGCTGTTGCATGCCTAGATCTGGGTGCTCCGCGCTATTTTACGAACCACACGTCGCAGCTCTGCCGAGCCACGACCGTGTACTCCTAGGCTAGCTATATCCATGCACCCTGTTGTTTTACGTTGTAGAGTTGTTTTGTTTCCTCGTTAATCAATCCTTGACACATGCTCTAATCAACTCCCCTCCTTCAATGGCTACACGCTGTCCACCCTGCAACAGTGGTAATACCATGCCCATTCAACAGCCCGCTTCCGTCAAGCCAGTTGTTTGTCGGCCATAAAACCTCGAGACCTTGGGGATGGCGGTCGCACAGAAGCCCAAATGCACCATCGCATGCTGCCATATTGCCATCGCAGGTTGCAGCATGTTTCACTCGCGAAACCTTCGCCACATCAACAAGCCCTCGTCACGATTTCGGTTTTGGCATCCTGTCCGACACGTCACCAGCGCGAGCGCCGAGTTCATCATGGCGGAGGCATTTGCCAGTCCGCGGGGTGACCGCGGGCCTCACGCCTTCCCCCTTCCGCCTGCAGCAACCCGTTCAGCGTTTGCCTATTTCAGTGCTTTCAGCCACAGCCGCCGACCTTGCTTCAGGGTGGTCGAATATACCTCACTATTTTCACTACCTACTGCCATTAGGGAGCGGATAAGATGCTTCAGCCTGACGGTTAGTCGCACATAGAGGTTGTTCTCTGGAGCCCACAGTCGCATCGTGCTGCCCCGTTGCTCGATGGGGCTCGACGGTTGGAGCTGCCGGAGCTAGGTGGCGCAGCATGCTGGCGGCCGGAAATGGGAAGCCTCAATCACGGATCTTCGCAACTCTCGGCGGATTTTGATCATGACGTGGACGGCGTTAATTCCAGCCTGTGGAATCTAGATCTTAGTCAGGAAGAATTGACGGACAATCTAGGGACCAAATTAGGAACGGGCGGAGCGACGGACGGAGTAGTTTTAAACCTGGGCTCAGAATCCGGATCGACGGTCGTGAAGTGCTCTTGGATGCCTCGGCAAGGAGCATTCTCCGTGGTGGCGCCGGCGCCAGGCCCGCATGGCGACTGCAGCGGCGAGCAGCGGCAGGAGTCGAGCCAGAGGACACCCGTAAGTCCATTGGAAGCGTCGCCCGTAGCCGCTGGTGCTCGCAGGGCTCGTCTGCTTAGTGGCTGATTCGCACGGGGGCTCTGTAATCTGACTTCACTGGATTGACCGCATAACCGTCAACGGCTGGCCGCCTAACCATGGAGTAGAGTGGACAGGGAGGCATGTCCCGCGCACGTCGTGTGTTGCGGAGGAGTATTTGGCTTGCATTCGTCAGCGGAAGCAAGAGTGCGTTGGTTGCAGTTGAGGGTACGGTGGCGATGTCTCATGTGTGAATGATCAAGCCATACGAGACCTGCGGAATCCGGCAGCCCTCATATAGCCATTCAGTCCCGCAGCTGCACTCTGCCAATCCTCTCCGCATTCGACGCATCCGTGCCATGTTACCCAGCCCCGGGGATCCTTTCGTCCACCTGCCTCATCTTTGCCTGGAGCTGCTCGCCCCACTGATGCGTTCAGCGGCGGTGATCTGGATCTCCGTTATGGCGTCCTCGCCAAGTACCTGAGCTTGCAACCGCGCATCCCTTTTCACGCTTCCCCCCTTCTCCAAATTTCGCCCCTGTGCTCCCCCGTCCTCTGTCGCCCCCCCCATCAGCTGCTAGTGCGGATGACGGCCGGTCTCAAGCACACCTACACGGCGTGCAACGACGCCCACACCCACGCCCACCACCCCGCGTCCCACCCCGCGCCCGCCGCTCACGAGCAAGCGGCGCCTGGCGATCATGTCGCCTCGGCGGAGGGGGGTGGTGATGACGGCGAGCGGGCGGCGCGCGTGGTACTGACAAAGCCATCGGAGCCCGCGGGGAACGAGGGCATGGACAACGCCAACTCCGACCTCATCCTCACCACGCACCTCGTGCTCACCGCCGGCGACGGCACCCTTAGGTACCCGCGGCAGCCCGCCCCAGGTGCGAGCGGCCGCCTGAGATGGCAATGGGCTCCTCATTCGTCGCATGGCGTGCTGCGCTCCATGCTGCCCCAAATGCGCGCGCCATGCTTCCCCCTCGCCACTCATCCCGGCGGGCCTCGCCTTGGTTCCTGATTTTGGTGCTTGTTTAGCGATCAAAGGAGTGAGCGCGGTACAGGACGCTCGTCCTCATCCCTCTCATCTCCCCCTCTTCCCTCCCCCTCCGCCCCCCCCATTCCCCCCACCCCCCCCTCGTATCCCGCCGTCCCGGCAGCTACGTGGTGCGGGACGTGTTGGGGCAGGGCACGTTCGGGCAGGTGGTGAAGTGCGAGTGCGTGGAGACGGGCGAGGTGGTGGCGGTGAAGGTGATCAAGAACCAGCCGGCGTACTACCACCAGGCGCTCGTCGAGATCAGCATCCTCAGACTCGTGAGCTGCCCGATGCCCACCCCTGCTCTACCGAGTCTCTTGCTTCCAAGGCTTGATTCACCGTCCCGCCTGGTTGGCTCATGGCACTGTGCACCAGCAAAACGTGCAGGGTTGCTGGGTGGTGGCGGTCTTGCAGCTGATTGATCGCGTGTATTATCATTGCTGCTGTGCCGTTCTTTTCTGTTGGTGCTTCTGCTGCGTCCCGCCCTCCCTGCGTGTGCAGCTGAACGGGTCGTTCGACCCGCACGACCAGCACCACATAGTGCGTCTGGTGGACCACTTCGTGTGCCACAGCCACCTCTGCATCGTCTTCGAGCTCCTCACCTACAACCTGTGAGCGCCCCTCACCTACAACCTGTGAGCGCCCCTCACCTACAACCTGTGAGCGCCCCTCACCTACAACCTGTGAGCGCCCCTCACCTACAACCTGTGAGCGCCCCTCACCTACAACCGGTGAGCGCCCTTCGCTCCTCCTCCTGTAGCGCATCCGGGAGACCTGCGTGCCCTTCTCCCGCGTTTCATAATGGGCCCGTGTGATCCCTTGACGTTTTTCATTCTTACCTTACCATGGTGCGCGTGGCTGCCGCGCATGCAGGTTTGAGCTCATCCGCCAGAACCAGTTCCGCGGTCTCTCCCTCAAGCTCGTGCGCCTCTTCACCAAGCAGGTGCGCCTCTTCACCAAGCACGTGCGCCTCTTCACCAAGCACGTGCGCCTCTTCACCAAGCACGTGCGCCTCTTCACCAAGCACGTGCGCCTCTTCACTAAGCACGTGCGCCTCTTCACCAAGCACGTGCGCCTCTTCACTAAGCACGTGCGCTGCCCTCACGCGCTTCTCATGACATCTTTACCCTGGCCGCCACAATTTCTGTTGCAAGTGGCTGTCGATTTAAGTTCTCTAGATTTCGTGGCTTGTCCGCTCCCTGCTCTCAACCGCCTCCTCCCATGTCTCCCTCCCTTCCTTCACCTCATCCCTTACCTTTTACTCCTCTCATCCTCACTCTGCGTCGCCCCCCTCCTCTCCCTGCCCCTCGTCGTGCGCGCCATCCCCACCGCTGCCCGCGGTGCAGCTGCTGGTGGCGCTGACGGTGCTGGAGGACGCGCGGGTCATCCACTGCGACCTCAAGCCCGAAAACATTCTGCTCAAGAGGTACCGCCCGCCGCCCCTGCCGCCCACCGCAGTAGTCAGAGCAAGTTTCGATGTTTACCAACTTGATCCCGTACTCCTGGTGTGCCTCCCGTAAACAACCACCCCCCCCCACCACTTATGTCTGCCCCCCCCCACTCTCCCCCCCCCTCCACCCCTTCTTGCTCCCGCATCCCCCGTCCAACTTGCCCCTCTCCACCAGTCTGGGCGGCGAAATCAAGCTGATCGACTTTGGCTCTGCATGCACTGAGAATCGAACCGTGTACTCGTACATCCAGGTGGGGCATGCCAGGCATGAGCCCAGCAATGTCTTTCATCCCTACCTTCCAGTGTCTGTGCATGCTCGTTGAATGAGGATCCACTCAGCCATCCCGCCGCCTTGCCAACCCATTGGTTTTGCATTCGAACCTCCTCTGTCTGACCACCCCGTGCATCTGCACACGCGCCATGCCCCTCATCCCGCCCTCGCCTCCTCCTCACCTCCTCACTGCCCCCCCACTCCCTTGCCCGGTCTCTCCCCCCCTCCCCCCCCAGAGTCGGTTCTACCGGTCGCCGGAGGTGGTGCTGGGGCATGCGTACGGCACGGCCATCGACCTGTGGTCGCTGGGGTGCGTGGCGGCGGAGCTCTTCCTGGGCCTGCCGCTCTTCCCGGGGGCCTCCGAATACGACATGCTGCACCGCATGGTGGAGACGCTGGGGTGAGTCAGTGCCGCATGCTCCACACGCTGGGGTGAGGGTGAGCAAGGGAGAAAAAACAGAGTTTCTGTGTCCGGTTCTCATAGTTGAAAGAAAACCGTGGTTTTTGTCTCTGTTGCCGCACACTAAGCTCATTCCCACAAGTTACTTCTCTCTGCCCATCCCCTCCCCTGCGCCTTGCGTTTCCCCACCGCAGCTGCCAGCCGCCCGACGCCATGTTGAGGCGCGCCAAGCACACCAGCAAGTACTTTGCGCGGGCAGCAAGTGCAGAGGGTGCGGGGGAGGAGGGGCGGGGGTCGGCGTACCGCCTGAAGACGGTGGACGAGGTGGCGGCGGGGGGGGAGACACGGCCCGCCCTGGGCAAGCGGTACTTCCGGCAGACGGCGCTGAGCGACCTGGTGCTGAGCTACGCGCTGAGACGCGGGGACACGGGCGAGGAGGCACGGCAGGAGCACGCAAGCCGAGTGGCGTTCGTGGACTTCCTCTCGGGGCTGCTCCACATGGACCCCGCCCAGCGCTGGACCGCCAAACAGGTCGGCCCCCCCACCCACGACGCGACGCACGCACGAGCCTCACTTGCCTCTGTTGCCCGCATTGCCTCCTATTCAGCCACTTGTGCTCCATCGCCTCCCCACCGTCCCGCCCAGTTTCCATCCTTGCCTCTTCTCCTCCCGTCCCTTCCTTCCTCCCCCAACACCGCCCCCCAACCCCATCCGTCCCCCCAGGCGTCGCAGCACCCATTCATCACGGACGAGCCATGGACGGGACCCTTCCAGCCACAGCCCCAGGTGCGCTCTGCCCTCCCTGCGCCCGCTGCGCCGCACCGCCCACCATCTCCCTGTTCTTTCCGTGCCATGCTGGCCGCTCCATTTGCCTATCCGGTTGCGATTTCAAGGGTCCATCTCTCGCCCCCAAACCCCCCCCCCCGTGGCGAGCAGCAGCAGGCGGAGGCCACACAAGGCGCCCAACTTCAGCCGCTGCACAGGGAGGGGGCCACCAGGCTCGCCCACCAGCAGCAGCAGCAGCAGCAGCAGCAGCAGGCGCGTGTGCTGCAGCACAGGCAGTCGGTGGAAGCCCATGCGCTGGACGCAGCGGGCAGGGGGGCATTGGATGGAGGCATCATGGCGGGCAGCCTGGGCGGGGCTGCAGCGATGGGAGCGGGAGTGCGGGCTGCCATGGCGCTGAACGGAGCTGCATCTGCTGCCATGGGCGTGGGCCTTGGCGCTCCTGCTGCTGCAGCCATGGGTGCCAGCATGGGTGCTGGCACAGGCATGGGTGAAGGGGGATATGCGAGTGTGGGAGGGTATGGCGTGACTGTGGGTCTGCCGCACAACTACGGCCCTCTAGGGGCCAGTGTGGGCTCCTACGGCAGCATTGGCAGTCTCGGCAGCTTTGGCGCCATGGGAGGCATGGGGGGCATGGGAGCGATGGGGGGCATGGGAGGTATGGGAGGAATGGGGAGCCTGGGAGGCATGGGGGGCATGGGAAGCCTGGGCGGGCTTGGCAGTCTGACTGACCCCACAGGCTCGTATATCGCGTATGCTGCCCACCTGGCTGCTGCAGGGCAGGGGGCGGACATGGGATCGGGGTCGTTCGGGGGAGCAGCAGGAGCAGGCGGAGCATCAGCCCTGGGCCTGGGTTTAGGGTTAGGGTTTGGTCAGAGCCCGGACACACGGCAGTTGCTGCCCGCGCTTGGCAGCATGTCGCACGTGAACCAGGCGGCGCAGCAGCGGCACATGGGGCAGCTGGGCCAACCAGGGGCGCTCAACCACGTGGGGCAAGCGAACCAGATGGGGCAAGCGGGTCAAGGCGGTCTGCTGAGTCAGATGGCCTCCAGCCCCCTGGGTCCTGGCAGGGGCTCCCTGCAGCAGTACCAACAGCAGCACTTGCAGCAGCAGTTTCAGCAGCAGTTCCAACTGCAGCTGCAGCAGCAGCAGCAGCAGTATCAGCAGCTGCAGAGGCTGCATCAGCAACAGCAGATGCAGCAGATGCAGCAGCAGCAGCAGCAGCAGCAAAGGCGGTCGTCCCTGCACGAGCAGCTGCAGGCGTCCCATTCCCTGCAGCCGTCGTCCGCGTCCCTCCTGTCGCCCCAGTTCCGCGCGTCACTGGCGCCAGGCACCAGCCTGGGCATGAGCATCCCCGCCCCCGCCACGCTCGCAGGCAGAAGCACCATTGGCGCGGGCAGCAGCCCGGGGGAGAGGAGGGGCAGCGGCGCGGGGCTGAGTCAGGGACTGGGAGGTGGCAACGCAGTGCATGCGCAGGAGGCAGGGGGCTCGGGTGCGTATGTGGCCTTGGGGCAGAGCCCAGGCGGGCCTTATTTCGTGGAAGGGGCGGGGCGAGGGGGAGGGGGGTACTGGGGAGGGAGGGACGGTGAAGCGGCAGTCAGCAGCAGCTCGCTGCTAGGCGCGAGCCCCCTGCAGTTCACCCCGCCCTCTGATGCCCACCACTTCACGTCCATGCACTCGCACTCGCACCACCACCACCACCACCAGCAGGGTGGGCGGCAGGGGCACTTACAGGTGCGCGTGAGTGATCCCACAACTCCCTCCTCCCCCACCTCCGCCTCCCCCCTCTTCCCCCCCTCCTCTCTCCTCCCCGACTTCCCCTCCCCGCTGGCCAGAAGCTCGGTGGGGCAGGCGTCGTCACTGGGGCCCAGCAGCAGCGTCCCCGGAATCAATCTAGGCCTCGCAGGGGGGCTGGCGCCCACTGCTGGAAGGGGCTTGGGAGGTGCAGGTGCAGGAGCAGCAGGGATGGGGCTGAGTGTGGGGAGGGGCGGGGCGGACGGGGGGATAGCTCTTGAGAAGGCGGCTGTGATGGGGCAGTTCCAGCGGAGGCAGAGCGAGGTGATGCGCATGATGGCCCTCATGCTGCAGCAGCAGCAACAAGAACAAGAACAACTGCAACAGCAGCAGGAACAGCAGGTGGAAGAACAAATTCAACAGCAGCAGCAGCAACAGCAGCAGCAACATCTGTTGCAACAGCAACAACAGCAGAAACATCTTTTGCAGCAGCAGCAGCAAGAGCAAGAATGGGAAGAGCAGCAGCAGGATCAGAGAGAGCAGGAGCAGTGGGTGGGGCAGCAGCAGGGGGCAGCTGGGAGCCACGGTGCAAGAGAGGCCGTGAGTGAAGGGGCTTACAGCAGCGGCGGCAGCAGCAGCAAGGATGGCGGGTATGGCGCAGACACAGGCAGAGGGAGGGCGATGCTTGCAGGAGGTGGGGATTCCAGGGGCGCAGGCAGCGCACAGCTGAGCCTGCAGGGGGGCGCACAGGCAGCAGTCCAGCCACCGCTGTCTACCAAGGAAGCTGGAGGGACTCTAGACTCGGGTGCTGGTGTGAGCCTTGGGCTGGGGCTAGGGCTAGGCAGCCACTACAGCATTGACGGTAGGGTCGAGGAGGGAGGTGCCAGTGCAGCAGGTGTGGGGGGGAGCGAGGGGCGAGAGGGGAGAGTGGGAGAAGGGGGGGCGGGAGGAGGAAGAGCGAGCGTTGAGAGGGCAAGGCGGAGTCCGTCAGCAGCGGGGGAGGGTCCGGGCGAGTGGGATCCGTACTTGTGTGACGACCTGCTGCCCCCAGCAGGCATGGGTGAGCGTGGCCATGCTGGTGCTCCAGCTGGGGGCTTGAGTGCGGGGCTGAGAGGCGGCGGCCATGGGAGTGGGGCCAGCTCTGTAGAGAGACACTCGCACATGGGGTCACATGGGCATGTGGGCTCGCAAGGGCATGTGGGATCACATTGGCACGTAGGTCCACATGGGCATGTGGGGTCACATGGGCACGTGGGGTCGCATGGGCAGGTTGCGCCACCTGCTGCCTGGAGTCCTCTAAGCGCTGCCTACGACCAACCTGCACCTGCCACTGGTCGTGGTGCTGCTGGTGCGGCTGGTGCTGCCTCCACTGCTGCTGTGCCCGTGGCGCATGGCGCGGTAGCGGGCAGTGGTGGCGGCAGTGGGGGGTCGCTGGGAGCCATGGACTACTCGCCTGTGGCAGCACCAGGCGCCTTCATGTGGTGAGTGGGGGCACACCTGCCTCGTTGCTGGCTGGCCAGCTCCTTGGGTTTGCTCCTGACAAGGCCAGCCTTCCCCCTGCCATGTGGTCCTGCCCATCTGCAGGTCCCCCCCCCCCCCGGGGCTAACCATGCTGCCAGTGCCTTTGCCAGGCAGCGTGTCTGAAGAGCTCGAGCATGGGGGGGGGATGACCAGAAAGTTCTTGTATGGAAAGCCAGTGATCAAATAGTGAAGGCTTGAAAAAACCTTCATCAGCTTACCTGCCTTGTTGGTGGGCGTGCTCCTCCCACGGCCAACCTTCTCCTTTCCATGTCTGCCCACCCATGTGCAGGTCTCGCCCCCCTGCCAGTGGCTCGTCCGCCCCCCTCAACTACCGCTCCGCCACGGATCTCCCACCCGCCCGCCATGGCGACGCCGCCTGTGGTGGTGCTGCTGCTCCCGCTGCTGGTTTCACTCCCGCCTTCAGCAGCGAGAGGTGGCGAGGAGGTGCGAGTCTGCGGGATGGCACAGCAGGGGCCGTGGTGGACGCAGAGGCAGGGGCGGAGGGGGAGGCAGGGGGGGGCGCGGAGCCCATGGGAATATCACCGGTGCAGGCAGGGCACTTGGGCAACTGGTCTGTGGCGGCAGCTGCTGCTGCTGCTGCCATTGCAGGGCAGCAGGGGGGAGGGGCGTGGGGAGGTACCAAGGCAGGAGGGTTGGGAGTGGGGATGGGGGCAGGGGGGGAACAACAGAGGCTGGAGCTGGGGGAGGTGTGGGAAGAGGGGCGGCTGCTGGGATGAGTGGAGTGGTTGGGGGGCCGGGTGTGAGTGTGGGGATGGGAAGGGGATATGGGGGAGGGAGGGGGAATGCGAGGGAGGGTGGGCGGCAGGGAAGGTCAATGGGAGGCATGGGCTTGGCAGAGGTGGCTTGGCTTGGCTAGGGCTGGGTCCAGTCTTCACTGCGCTATCTCCAATCAGCCAACCACAGCACATGCATGCTGTTGGCTTACTACAAAGTATTCGGCATACAAGCAGCAAAATGCAAAAATCAATGAGATTAGCGTGCGTGTGTTGCACTTGGGTCTTCCAGCTCGCAGGTGGCATATGACGCACCAACTTGTATTATCCAACAAAGAGAATGGTACTTTAGGAGAATAAAGTGTTTTACTTGCTCGTTGGAGGTGGTGTTGTGCTGCATCTAGCCGCCACCGCACCCGCACTCGTCACCCCAACTCGACTCGACAGCAGCAAATCATTTGGCAGGCAGCCATAGACAAACAAGCAAGCAACAGAAGCGGAGCGCCTGTGCCGCAGCTAGAGCGTAGGTGAGTGAAGCACAGGGCGCGAGAACTACCCGCTTCCGTTGTAGGATCGCTCCTAGCAGCAGCGGCCTTGGGTGTCGCCACCAACTAAAGCCGTCTTTCCTCTTTGCCCCCGCCGCGTGAGCACGGCACGGCATTCGCGGGTCGCTTTCCTCGAGGCGGCGTCTTCTGCCGCCCCCGCGGCACGGCTCAGCCGCCACCCGACCACCTTCCCGTCTCGTCTCACGCGCGCGTCGTTCCGCCTCTGCTTTTACCCAGAACCCAAAACCCGGAACCTGAAGTCATTAGTCAACCATAAACCTCGCCTCCCCTGTCCTGTCTGCTCCCCTTGCCGTTCGCGCCCGTCTCTCTCGCCTCTGTGCCGCGTCCCGCTATGCCTGCGCTCCCCCCGACACTCGCGGCAGCCGCGCCAGTGGCGTGGGGCGGCGGCAGCCTGGTGGAGGGGCGCGCGGCATTCAGCGCGGACGGGCAGCGCCTGCTGTGCCCGTGCGGGGCCGTCGTGCGGGTCTTCGCGCTCGCCTCCGCCACCCAGGTGCGCTCCCCGCGCCCGCCTCTCCAACCCCGCTGTGCGCGCCGTCATGCCTCCGCCGCAAATCTCGGATTCCGAGGGAGTCGCAAACCCCCGTGCTCGTCTCAAACACCCAAGTCCAACCTCCCCCCCACCCCCCCCCTCCCCCCCCACCTTGTGGGCGGCAGGTGCAAGTGCTGCGCGGCCACACGGCGCTCGTCACGTGCGTGTCCACCTCCGCCGTCGCGCGCTCGCCGCCCGCCGCAAGCGCCGCCGCCGCGCGTGATGCTGATGACGCCGATGATCCCATGGGGGATGGCCCCAGTGCTGTCGTGGCGGCAGACGCTGCCACGTCATCGTTGGTGTACGCATGGAGCGGGTCGCTGGATGGGACGATGCGGCTGTGGAACTTTGTAACGGGGGCTGCGTTAAGAGTGCTGCATCTGGGCCGTCCGATCAGAGACCTGGTGAGTGCCTGAGAGCCCGTCTGAATTGCGCCTTCCCTCAGGCAACACCGCAGTGTGGCAGGAGAGCGCACGCCGTCCTCGCCTCGCCTTTCCCTCTTCCCCTTACCCTCCTCGCCTCGCCTCTCCTTGCGTCTCTCCGTGTGCCCCATCCCCCGCGCCCTCCCAGGTGATGTACCCCTACGCCAGCACGGAGGTGGTGGAGGGGGCGGGCGGGCGGGAGGAGGAGCGGCAGGTGCCGCCGGTGGCGCTGGTGGTGGTGGCCAACGAGCGGCGCGGCTGCGACCTGCTGCAATACGACGTGTTTGGGGACACATGCCTCGCCACGCCCTTCCACCAGGTACCCGCTCCTGCCGTGCCTCGTACCATGCCTCGTGCCATGCCTCGTGCCATGCCTCGTGCCATGGCACCTGCTATGGCTCCGAGTCTTACTCCATGCGGATGGACTGCCATCGCTCTCTGCATTCCTCCCCCTCGCCCAACCCCCGCCTCACTTCTCGTCTCCCCCCCCCAACCCCCAACCCCCAACCCCCACACCCCCAGATGCTCATCTCGTCGCCGCTGGCCATCAGCCCCGCCACGGGGCGGCTGCTGGCGTTCTCGTCGGGGCGCTGTGTTTTCGTGAGCCGCTGCAGCCGCCCCTCGCACCACTCGCGCCTGCTGCTGCAGCACCGCCGCGCCGTCACGTGCGTCGCCATCCACCCGGACGACCAGCAGGTGCGCCTCTCATGCCGCCTTCAAATTCCATCGCTCTCATCCCCATCTGCCCATGTGCCCTCGCCCCTCGCCCCTCGCCCCTCGCCCCTCGCCCCTCGCCCCCCCCACGTCCCCGACATCCATTGCTGGCCGTCATGCCTCTCGTCCCGCCACTCTCTTACTCCCTCTCACACTCTCTCCCTCGCTTCCCCTCCCCCTTCCCCCCCCCAGGTGGCGGCGGGCGACGTGTTGGGGCGCGTGGTGGTGTGGCACGGCATTGGCAGGCGCTCGGGGTGGGCGTGGGGGGAAGAGCGAGGGGGAACGACAGGTGGAGGGCGAGGGGGGAGAGGGGGCGGGTGGAGGGGGATGGGAGGAAGGGGAGGGGAGCGAGGTGGGCGGGGAGGGGGTGGGGGCAGGTGGAGGGGAGGGCGAGGGAGGGGGCGAGGAGCGGGGGGGGACGAGGGGCGGGGCGAGGGGGAGAGTGAGGCGTACAGCCGGGTGGCGGGGCAGGAGGATTGCGAGGCGGTGTCGTCGCTGCACTGGCACGCCTCCGCCGTGGCGGACCTCGCCTTCGCCCCGGACGGCCTGCACCTGGTGTCCATCGGCGCGGAGGCGGTGGCGCTGGTGTGGCAGGTGGAGAGCGGGGTGCGCCGCTTCCTCCCGCGCATGGCTGCCGCGCTGCTGCGCCTCGTGCTGCCGCCCTCGCTGCTGCCCGCGCTGCCTCCCCCCGCGCCCCCCACTCCAGGAGCAGAAGCGCCAGGTGCAGCAGCGGAGGCAACAGGGTGCGCGCGGTCGCTGGTGGCGCCAGCATCTGCCCCGGAGGCGCTGCGGTTCGGCTTCCAGTGCGCGGACAACTGTGTGCGCGTGGTGGACCTCAGCGAGTCCGCCCTCATCGCCGCCATCCACGGCATCGCCCCCCCGCCCCCCGCCCGCCCCCTGCCCGCGCGCCACTTCCTGCTCCCCCCGCCCGACCCCTTCACAACCCCCCTCGCCTCCTCCACAGCCGCCTCCTCCCTCTCCAACTGCCTCCCTGCTGACGTGGCACGCCAGCTGGCAGTTGAGCTGGCAGTGACAGGTGGTGGCGCCCCGTCAGCAGTGGTGCAGGCAATAAGGGGCGGGTGGGCGCGGCTTCTAGTAATCGGGCCACTGGGCGTGCTGCAGGTGTACGACGCGCACGCGCAGCAGGCGGTGGGGCAGGTGCGGCTGATGCGCGTCAACGTGGTGAGCCAGGCTGAGGCGCGGTTCAAGAAGGCGCTCAAGGCGCAGGAGCTGCAGCAGCGAGACAAGGCACTGCACCTGCTGCAGGGCGACGCAGGGAAAGGCCAGCAGCACAAACAGCAGCAGCAGGGGCCGAAGCCCCCCCCCATCTGGGTGAGCCACGTGTGCTTCTCCCCTGACGGGCGCACCATGGTCACTGCCGAGATCCGCCAGCCAGAGGACATGGCCGGCCAGCAGTCCACCCTCAAGTTCTGGGCCGCCCCCTTTGGCGGCACTCACGGCAGCAGGCAAGGCAGCTCTCGAGGGCGGAAGGGTGGCAGCGCGGCCGTGACGGCGCTGACGACGGCGGTGGACGCCCCTCACGGCTCGGTGGGGCTCATCACGGGCGTGGACGTGCACCCGGGGGGCGACCTCGTGGCCACATGCGGCACGGATGGCGAGTTCCGCACGTGGACGCGTGTGTGGGGCGAGGGCGAGGGGGACGATGATGATGAGGACGAAGAGGGAGGTAGGGGCGGTGGGAAGCCAGGGCGTGGGGGGATGAGAGGTCAGGGGGGACGAGGGAGAGGGGGTGGAGGGGGCAAGGGGGGCAAGGGGGAGTCACGGGCCAAGACGGCGCGGGAGCGGATGGAGGAGCGCGAGGCGGCCATCGCACCGCTCACCTTCTGCTGGCGCTGCCGCGCCGTGGGCAGTTTCGCCCACCAGCCGCTGCTGGCGGCGCGCTTCTCGTGGGACGGGGCGGTGCTGGCCGTGGCGGCCATGGACCGCGTGGCGCTGTGGCATCCACAACACAATTCCCTGCTCGCCACCCTGCAGTGCACGCCCTCGCTGCGCCCCCTGCAAGCCGCGCTGCCCTGGAAGCAGCCCGTCACGGCGCTGGGCTTTGTGGCGCAGACCCCGTTCCTGGTGGCTGTGTCGGGCGCCCTCGCCCCCTCCGGCACGTTCTTCGCCCCCTCCGCGTCGCCCAGCTCCGTCTACTCCGCACTGTCCGTGTGGAGCCTGCTCTCCCTCTCCCTCATGTGGACCCTCCACCTGCGCACCCTCTCCCTCGCCACCCACCCCTCCGCACCCCGCTTCGCCGTCATTGTCGCCGGCACACCGGGCGCTGCTGCTGCTGGCGGGGGGGGTGGCAGGGAGGCGGGGAAGAGCAGCGGAGAGGCGGGGGAGGGGATGGAGGACAGCGACGCGGAGGGGGGGGGCGAGGAGGAGGGGGACGAGGAGGAGGACGAGGAAGAGGGCGCAGAGGAGGGGGAGCAGCAAGATGGGGGGGGAGATAGGGGGGGGATGGCGTGAAGAGGAGGGAGTGGGTGAGGAGGATTGCAAGTGAGGGGGTGGCAGTGCCAGGGGCGGTGCTGGTGTTCGAGGGGGGGGAGAGCCCCGTCCCCGTGGCAGCGTGGGAGATGAACGATGTCACGGGTGCCACCGTCGCCTTCATGCCGCCTGCCTCCTCTCCTGCTGCTAGCAGCAGGGGGGGCGCAATGCAGTGGTCCATAGTGGTGGTGAGCGGTGGCAGGGAGTATGCGGTGCTGAATGGAGAGGAGAGCACGGCGGCACCAGATGCAGCGGATCTGGACGGGGTGCGATTGAATGGTGCAGCTGGCCTTGCAGATGCAGAAGGTGAGAAAGCTGTGAATGATGGGGTCTCTCATGTCCCCACCCCCACTCTGCACTTGCCCACTTCATTTTACTCCGAGCCATCCTCATTTTACTCCGAGCCATCCTCATTTTTCCCGACTTATTGTGTGTCGTTGCATGTGTGTTGCAGCTATTTCGGCCTTTGAAAGCATTTATGGGGCAGCCACGACAGCAGCGGCTGCAGCAGCAGGGGCCATGTCGGAGCAACCCGGCAGTGCAGCAGGCGACGAGAGGGAGGAGGGTGTGATGGAGGCGGTGGGGGGGCGGCCATGGGGCAACCTGCTATCGGCCCCATCGCATGTGCTGCCGTCGCTCGAGAGGGTGTACCCCCGCTTCATGCAGGCCATGCTGGACCAGCTCTCGCTCCACTGAGACCTCCGTCTTCAATTACCACCATGTCGTTTCTGAGGGGCTCTCAAATCGGAAACCATGCAAAAATTGTTTTTTTTTCCCTTCAAAACGGGCACTTACTAAATAACAGCACTTACATGATATGTGAGATGTTTACTGCTTGGTTATGAGCAATTTTGCCGACATCTACACTAACTCCGTATAGAGTCACGAACTTTAGCGGGTCAATTACCAAGCGGGACTTTCTTGGGATTGCCACCAAGTAGGGCATCTCAAGAAGTCGTTCCTAGGCAAGTTGCCACAGCACGACGCAAGATTTAGGTTAGCCACCAGTCAACAGCTGTTCTCACTCCTGGAGAGAAGGTTTTTGTATACCGTGTAAGAATTTCATAAGGAAGTTTTGTTCGTGAACGGCGCACACTTTTGCTTCTCGCCGTATTTAGATTCGAGCTCGTTCTGGTATATTACGGTGCGCGCATGGAGGCGCGAGCGGAGGACGCGGCGATGGAGGAGGCGGAGGAGGCGGAGGAGCAGGGCGAGTGGGAGGAGTGGCAGGAGGACGACGAGGAGGCGGCCGACCCCGCGCTCTGCTTCTTCTGCCCGCGCCAGGCGAGTGCTGGCAGCGGGGTACCCGTCACGCACCGGCCATGAGGAAGGGGCTGGCGAGTCGAGCGGCGAGTCGAGCGGCGATTGGTTGCAGAGGCGGCGTTAGGCGCCATGGGAGCAGGGGAGAAGGGAGGTCAATGTCCTTGCATGCAGGGTTAAGGGGACAGGGGTTGCAGGGTTTCAGCTGACAGGGAGATCAAACAGCTATGCGTGATGATCTTGTAAGAAATATTCTCACACGAGTGCCTGCCGTTGCCCGCTCCCTGCCTGCGTTTCCCCGCAGTTGTCGGACGTGGCGGCCATGCTGCAGCACTGCCGCGCGGAGCATGGCGGGTTCGATTTCAGGCAGCAGAGGGCGGCGCAGCGGTGGGACGAGTATCAGTGCATCCGCGCTATAAACTTCATTCGCACTCAGGCAAGCCGGAGCTGAACGTGAAAGATTTTTCCGTGTCTCTAGACCCAGGTTCAATCCCAAGCACGCATTTGACTCGTTTTCCTAAACCCCGGGTTTCTATGTTGGAATGGAGTGTCCCTTAGCGTGTCCCTTCTCTCTGCGTCCTCCTCGCCGCCCTCTGCCTCGCCCCCAGGTGGCGGCCCATCGCTGCATCCACTGCCTGGACTCATTCCCCTCCCCCGCTGACCTCATCCAACACATGGAAGCTTCGCAGCACTTCCGCCTCCCTCCACTCCCCCCTTCCTCCTCGCCGTCCCCCTCCGCCCCGCCCCCCTGGGGAGATGACGCGTACCTCAGAAGCTTCCTGGAAGACGACCCAGTGCTGTACAGCTTTGACGACGATGGCGGGAGCGACGAGGCTACCAGCGAGGGCGCCGCAGATGGCGCTGCCGCTGCCGTCGCTGCACCTGACGCCGCTGTTGTGGACGTTACAGGGTTACCACTCACAGCAGCGTCAGCAGGGGCGGCGGCAGCAGCGGCAGCGGCAGGGGGTGGAGGCGAGGGAGGGAGCGAGGAGGAGCGGGCGATGGCCTTCCAGGAGCTGCTGTCGCTCGTGCACGCGGACGGGGCGGCGGGTGGTGAGGGGGAGGGGGCAGAGGCCAGTGGGAGCGGAGGAGTAGGGGTGCAGGGAGCGCGAACAGGGGGGTTGGCAGGGGAAGGTTTGAGCGCGGGTGGGGCTGCACGTGGCGGAGAAGGAAGCAGCGCGGGCCGGCCGTCGGGCGGCTGTGATGGGAAAGGCAAGGCGAAGGCGGACCACGCGGCAGCGGCGGGGGGGGAGGTGGAGGGGGACGGGGAGGAGGTGATGCCCTCCTTGGAGCAGTACATGGCTCTGGCCAATCAGGTGCTGCTGCTGCGACAACAGAACGCACAGCTGGCACACCAGCTGGCTGCCACGTCAGCAGGGGTAGGAGCAGCAGCAGCAGCAGCAGGTGCAGGAGGGATAGCGGCGCGTGTGGCAGGGAGAGCGGCCGATGGCTCTTTCGCTTTCACCCCTGCTGATGCTGCTGCCGCTGCTGCCACCTCTGTTCCGCCCACGCCCTTCTCCACCCCCATGGTCTCCCCCTCCCCCAGTTCCGCCTCCCTTGTCGCCACCGCTGCTGCTGCTGCCGCCATTGCCACTGCGGCCTCTGCTGCAGCGCATGCCACAGGCAGTAGCCACGCCACCGACGCCCCTAGTGCTGATGCAGCTGCAGGCACTGCGGCTGCTGCCGCTGCTGCTGTACCAGCGCCTGGGCAGGGCGCGTCTGTGCCACGCACCCCCTTCTCCACCCCCCTCGTCTCCCCCTGCCCCAGCTACGCCTCCCTTGCCACTGCAGCGGCCGCCGCTGCAGCCGCAGCAGGCGTGGAGGGGTCAGGCAGGGCAGATGGCATGCACGAGGGGTCGGTGAAAGACATGCTTCTGCAGGCCACGCACCAGCAGCAGCACAAGCAAGGCCGGCCTCCCATTCCTGTCTCCCCCCGTCCAGCCGTGGCTGGCCCTGCTGCTGCTGACAAAGCAGGGGGCGCGGCACCAGCACGGGTAGGCCCCGCGGGAGCAGAAGGCACGGGCGGGCCAGTGGTGGAGGGCGGAAGTTCAGGAGCAGGCAGTCCGATGCTCCCCCGGACGCCCTTCTCCACCCCCCTCGCATCCCCCTCCCCCAGCTACGCCCTGCTGCCCCTCGATGAGGCTCAGAAGAAACTGGCGGCCGTTGCTGAGGCGGCGGACGGGGCTGATGGGGACGCTGACGCATCAGCGTTGTCTGCTGCTGCTGGGAGGGGGGAAGGGGGTGGCAGTGGGGGGCAGGCGGCAAGGAAGCGGCGGCAGGTGACGTTTGGGATGGTGCAGGAGCGACAGATGCGTGTGATTGACGCCTCCTACTTCAGCTCGTACGCGGGCTTCGGCATCCACCGCGAGATGCTCGGCGATAAGGTGAGGCAGGCTGGGGGCTAGGTGAGGTCGATTCAGTAATGGGTTAGGGCGTGTCCAGCGCGTTTGTATACTATTCACTTTGCATACCAGGTACGATATGTTGACCTGGTAACCCGAAATTTCGTGGCCATTCGGACACGCACGAGAAATTGACGGTTTTGGCGGACACCCTCCAAACGTGCCCACAGACGTGGGCTGCACGTTTCCGAACCGAATGGAGATCGTGCCCAAATTATACACACAGCAGAAACGTCCAGATCCTGGCTGGCGAAAAATAGAACGCTTACTTTCGCCAGGCTTTTGTGACGCATGCGAAGCACTGAGCGCGGCCTCTTTCCCGGGGCGGAATTCGGTTACCCTGCTGTTTTCGCGTGTTAGTCTGTTATGTGCGCGCTGCGCACCCGCTCATTTTCGAGACACGGGCGGGACACGTGTCCGCGCGTTTTGCTGCTGATACTGTAGGTGTACCTCAACGCATTTACACTTGGCGTTCCAATATTTCGGCGTGTTAAAACAACGTCAAAAACTCGTGTTGGGGCAAAATGAACGCGCTGGACACGCCCTTAGTGATGAGGCGGCACAGGCTCGGTGATCAGGTGAGGCAGACATGTTGGCGCTCATTGCCAGATCATTTTTTACCCATGGTGGTTGGGATGTGCGTCAAACAAGCTGCGCGCATGTTTGTTCTTCACCACATTCTTTTCCACTACCATGCCTGCCTTGCAGGCTCGGACCACAGCCTACCAGGCAGCTTTGGAGGAGAATCCGAGCCTAATTGAGGGGGCAACGGTGCTGGATGTGGGCTGTGGGACGGGCATTCTGAGGTGGGTGATGCTGCCACAGGGGCTGCTAGTCTATTTGTGATTGTAAGGCAGGTGCGTGTGAGGAGGTTGACGGATGGTCTCACGAATGTGACATGGGTGAAATATGCGCCTCTGCAGTCACATTGACCAGCTTGACGACATTCCCTCCTCCCCCTCCGCCCTTTACAATCACTGCCTGTGCAGTCTGTTTGCAGCGCGGGGAGGAGCAGCCAGGGTGGTGGCGGTGGATGGCAGCAGGGAGATACTGGCAGTGGCGCAGCAGGTGGGTGCGCTCAGGGCTGTAGGTCAAGGGGGTGTGGCTGGCGGACTCACTGAGACATGGCTGTGGCACCCACGGTGGGTGCGCCTTGGTCTTGTGTGTATGGTTGTACCTGCATGCCATGCAACACGCAGAGTGTTTCTCACACCTCACCGTCCCGTCACTTCTCCTTCCCATCCTCCCTCACTCTCTCCCCTTGCATGCTCCGCCCTTCTTCCTCCTTCCCCTGCCACCCCCCCATCAGATCGCTGGTGACAACGGCTATCTGGCTGAGCCCCACGCCATCGCCCCTCCGCCCAGCAGCGCTGCTGCCCACTTGCCTCAGCGTGCGCCGCGGCCCGTGGTGTCGTTCGTGTGCGGCAAGATCGAGGAGCTGCGCCCACTGGGGGCGCAGGGGGAGGCGGCTCAAGGGGGCAGTGAAAGTGGAAGGGGAGCAGGAGTGGCGGCAGGGGCGGGCTTGGTGCCCCTGGAGAGGGGCAGCGTGGACGTGATAGTGAGCGAGTGGATGGGGTACGCGCTGCTCTACGAGTCCATGCTGCCCTCCGTGCTGCACGCGCGCGACACCTGGCTCAAACCAGGAGGGGCGCTGCTGCCCGATACCGCCTCCATGGTGAGACGACGCACACATGGGTGCATGGCCCTGTGCCATGTCCTGCTCCCATCCCTCGCCATTATCTCTCCTTCCTCTGCTTGTCCCACCTCCATTTTCTCTTTTTTCCTGTGCTGCCTCGTTCCCGTCCCATGGCTCTGCCCCGCCCTTGGCCCCACCAGCACGTGGCAGGGTTCGGGGAGGGCGCAACAAGCGTGCCGTTCTGGCGGGACGTGTACGGGTTCAGCATGGCGGCCGTGGCGCGGGAGATCGAGGATGAGGCCGCGCGCACGCCACTGGTGCAGGCCATCAGCGGCTGCGATGTCGTCACGTCCACCTGCCCCATCCAGGTGCGCCCTGCATCACTCCATGTGTCCACTCTGGGGTCTACTTGGCCCTCCCATCTCTCTTGCTCTACATGCTCTTTGCTCCATACCTCCAACCCCTTTGTTACTCCATCCACCCCTTCCCCCCTTCCCCTGGGCAGCACTTTGACCTGTGCACGGTGACGGCAGACGACCTGGACTTCACCTCCGACTTCCACCTCACACCAGCCCTCCCCGCCTCCACGGACCAAAGCACTTCAGGCGACCCATCTGCTGCAGCCCCAGCCTCTTCCCCCTCACCCTCCCCCCTGCTGTGCTACGGGCTGGCCCTGTGGTTCGACACCGCCTTCTCCGCCCGCTTCTGCACCGCCAAGCCGGTGCTGCTGTCCACGTCGCCCGTCTGCCCGCCCACCCACTGGGCCCAGACCCTGCTCACCTTCAGGGAACCCATCGGCCTCGCCCCTGCAGCAGCACAGGGCGGAGAAACAATGATGCCTGGAGCAGCAGCACCATCCGCTGGAGCGGTGGGGTCTGCGGGCAGGCCAGCGGTGGAGGTGAGGGGGAGAGTGAGTGTGGTGCGTGCCACGAAGCACCGGAGCATTGATATCTCGCTGGAGGTGATGGCTGTGAGCGCTGATGGGGGGAAGAAGACATGGCCGGCGCAGATGTTCACCATCTGATGCACAGGCCGACTGCCTACCTAAATGTGTGTTTTCTTATGGAGTGGCGTATCCTTCAAGCTCATTATGTTTACCCTGCTGCGGGGGATGAGAGTATTGACTCGTAATACACATTCCCCTCTCCTTTTCAAAGTTGCTGGATAGGCATATTGTGGAAGCAACATTTGGAAACCAGCTTTTGGTATAGCTTTGCACACCTGGTTTTCAGGTGTAGAGAATGAACGTAGACGGGCAAATAAATGTCTGCGCCACATCAGTTGGGCCAAACATGTTTCGACACCTTGGATGTCTGGTCATCCTGGTGATTCCACCTGGTTTTCCCGCGCAAACCGGAATTGCGATTCCACGCATCCCGAGCTGCCAATTTCTGGGGGACAGTGCACTCACCTTTCACCTTGGGAATGCCAGGCTCGCTTCGCCATTTACATTTCATCCATCTCGCGTTCTCGCAAATCACGCCAGCACCATTCCGTCCCCATTACCACCAAGGCACCTCTTCCTGGTTTTCCCCTGCCGTGCGATTTCTTTCTCCTCACCAGCAATCAGTGAACGACCTCCACTTTGCAGCGTGAGGCAAATCCGCTGGTGGCAATGGCGGCTTCCCTGCTGCTCCGCGGCGGTCTAGCACCTGCCGCCACCGTACCACGCTCCTCGCCCTCACCCTCCCAGAGTAGGACCACTTTCCGCGCCGCCCACCTCTCGTCTTCCAGTGCCTGCGTGCCCGCCTCTCGCCAAGCCCGCCTCTCCACCCACCGACCACCCATCAGCGCCAGTCAGCGGCGCCATGCGCTAGTCGGGCCCCGGGCATCGGTCCAGACAGTCGAAGCCGCTCAATTGCCGCAAACCTGGTCCGCGTTTTCCGCCGCGATTTCCGGCGAGTGGGCGGGGTACTCGTCGGACTTATGTCCCGACGGGGTGGAGTCGGAGATCCCGAGGGAGGCCATCCCGCCGCCCTTCTGCGACTGGGGCCTCGCACTCTTCGCGTGGCAGGCGCACAGCTCCACTAACGCGGATGCGTCTACCGGGGAAGTCCGCACAGTCACGGAGCGCTTCGTTCCGTCACTTGGTTTCGGCAGCGGCGGCGCAGCAGCGCCGCGTTATAGTGTCGACCGGCGGGCGGCGGGAATCGCGCAGGACGGCGCGGGCGTGCTGGGCTTCCGCGAGGACGGCTGCTACGCCGTCGCTTGGCCCGGGAAATCCGTGTCCGAGCCCGCCGCCGAACCTGGGCTGAACGCCGCTCACGTGGTGGTTCGGGAGGGCAGCGGCAGTGGCGAGTCGTCGCAGTTCTTCGAATTGGAGCACTGCCTGGTTGCGGAGAACCCCAACGGCCATCAGCTGGACGGCCAGCCGGAGCGCGTGCGCGTGCGCGTGGTGCAGCGGTTCCAGAAGGGCGCGGGGGCGGCGGGCGGGGTGGGCGACAAGGGCCACCTGCCGCAGCTGCTGGGCATGACGCTGTACCGCGAGCGCTGGGTCGGCCAGTGCCGCGACGGCGCTGACGTGGAAGGCGCCAACCAGAACTCGGAATTCGCGGAGGGCCCGCCGGTGGGGATCGAGGCGGTGGAGGGGCGATGGCTGGCCGCTGCCATGCGCGCTGACCTCAAACTGGTGAGCGACGGATGGAACGCGGGGAAGTGAGCACGGGATGGCGCGTAAGGGTGGGGGGGAGGAAAGGACAACAAGGCTAAGTCCAAAATTAGAAATGAATGCGCTTACCAGCGAGGGAGGAAGCTCAGCATTCCGTGGGTGGAAAAGTACCTCAAAGAGTTGAGAGCTGGAAGCTTGAATGTGCATCATGCAATAGGAGAACGATTGCCACCTCCTCTCACCCACCAGGGCGATGAGTCGAGACTCAACCTGTGCGTGCACAATGCGAGCTTCCTCCTCGCCATCACTCTCGTTGCCACCTCAACATCCGCTCTTCAATGCCCTTTCCCCCATTCGCCCACCCTGCAGGGCGACGAGTTCGGGCGGCGAGGCGCCGTGGTGGAGCTCAAGCCGGCCGGCACGGAGGAGGTCACCCGAGAGCTCACAGATGAAGGTTCCGTGCTGCTTCCCCAGGTAAATGACGCGTCTGTGCAGCAACCTGCGATTTTGAGGTGCCGGTCCATGAGCGGCTTGTCGGCATCAAAGTGCAAAGCATTGCCTGAGGTCCACCCGTGGACTGCAAGGCATGTCTTCGTCTCAGCACGGCTGACCTCGAAGTAGTAGACAGGCATTGCATGACCATCCCTTGCAATTTTCTGTACAAGCACTGCATATGTTAAATTTGCTGTTCTGGCGTGTGCTTCCTCCCTGTCGCAGGGTGTGTGGTCGAGGGTGCTCCCAACGCCCAGCGGCGGGGTGATTCTCAAGGTGGGCTGGTTGGTGGAGGCAGACAGAGCCATCGTCTCTCGCTTTGACTACTCGGCACTCGGACAACTCGAGGTATGCACAACAAGCGCCTCATCATGACTTCACTTCACATCTTCCTGTCCCTCCTCCATTTCCGGTGTATTCCCCTTCTTGCCACCACCACAAGAAACAACCCTCTCCAACATTTGTATACTTTACCCTGCTCCTCTCCTGCAGCACATCACCATATCAACCGAGACTCGCATCAGCAAGAGACCATGAGGCATGGATGCACCGTGGTTTCCCGAGGGATGATAAGCTGCTCTAGCTCCCAACAAACCATACAAGGATTCAGCAATATGTGAAAAATGCTCACTGTGTTGGCTCCCATGTTCATAGTAGTATTTGTGTACACAACCCCGCAATGCCGTGCTCCATGCGTGGCTGAAAATCAAACAGAAACTGCATTGTGCACAATCTGGTTGTCTCCTCGGTACAGCCTACTCTTGCCAAGTAAGGGCGCCTCTCTGCTTTCAACAGAATTTGCCCGAGGGTTTTGAGAACCTGGAGAAGCGCTCTAACTGTACATGAGCAACCCAACTTGTTGCAATGACCTAGATTGTGCCATACAGGGAGGTTTTGCGCTAAGGTGCTGTACCCTCTATGAGCATGCACCTATCTAGCCTGTAACATATACAAATATATGTTGACATAAACGTCTACCATGAGCTACTGTCTACAGGGAGACTAGCTTTGTACCGACACCAATCAGGAAGGCAAAGCACGCAGGCCCTGCCTGCCTGCACGTGGAGGGCGTTAGGCATTGCATTACTCAGACGCATGGCGGCTGGATGTCACGTCTTGCTCCTCCTCCACTGCAGCTGGCGCTGCGGGGTGCGAGGCAGCGCCTGCAGCAGGCGAGTGAGGGTGGAGGTCAGAGAGGCCAGTCCGTGCAGGCGGTGCCGGTGAACCACGTGCTGCCGGGCCTCCAGCAGCACTGGCAGGGCGCTGCTGCTGGGAGGAGAGGGGGGCGGTGGTGCTGGGGGCGAAGGGGGGAGTGGAGGTGAGCGCGGTGCTGATCTGAGTGGTGGTGGTGATGGTGGTGGTGATGGTGGTGGTGATGGTGGTGGTGATGGTGGTGGTGATGGTGGTGGTGATGGTGGTGGTGATGGTGGTGGTGATGGTGGTGGTGATGGTGGTGATGGTGGTGGTGATGGTGGTGGTGATGGTGGTGGTGATGGTGGTGGTGATGGTGGTGGTGATGGTGAGGGTGAGGGTGGTGCTGATGGTGGTGGGGATGTTGAGGGTGGTGATGGTGATGGTGGTGATGGTGGTGATGGTGGTGGTGGTGATGATGGTGGTGGTGATGGTGGTGGGGATGGCGGGTGTGGTGATGATGGTTGGGGGATTGGTGGGGTGGGTGGTGGTGGGGATGGTGGCGGTGGCGGCATTTCAGAAGGTGGTGGCGAAGGAGGTGGAGGCGAAGGAGGTGGAGGCGAAGGAGGTGGTGGCGAAGGAGGTGGTGGCGAAGGAGGTGGTGGCGAAGGAGGTGGAGGTGGTGGAGGGCGGGGAGAAAGTGGACGGGGAGGAGGTGGAGCGTTCCGGCTCCACATGAGCCATGCTATGCGTGCGTCGGGTGGAGGCGAGTGTGCCTGCTGGCTGCCATATGGTCCAGCATCACCGCTAGAGGAGTCTTGCAGCAGTTGCCAGCGTGCAGTCCATGTCTTCTTGCACCCGTCCTCACCCGTTCCAGATGTTTCACCCCACACTGGCTTGCCCCTGCTGCCAACCTCCCAGAGAGCGATGAACTTGCCACTCTGCATCTCTTGGCCTGCAGCGACACAATGCCAGGCAGCCATGGTGAGCACATCCACAACTGGCACAGCAACAATGCAGCAGAGCGCCACTGTACCTGAAGCGTCTTTCGCTGTGAATTGACCTCTGCCCAGGGCCTTGGAAACACGAGCAGCACTGTCACTAAATGCATCCGTGGCTGCTTCACCGCCAGTAGTGCCCTTGGGTGTGTATATCGCTATAACTTCTTCGACGTGGAAGCTGATTTGAAGGTGGAGTAACGCCACTGGCTGCCATTGTCAGCGAATGCGTCAGAGGAGGCATGGTTGGAGGACAAGGTGATATTGGAGCACATGCATAAGGTGCGTCGCTTACCTCCAGGTACTTTTGGATCTCAAACGTGAATTTGAATTGCCTTTGTGGATGATCAGGCGGCATGATGGTTGCATGTGCGGAGAAGAGCCTGGCAGCACCGGCACTGTCACCAGATGTCAGTGCGTTTGCGAGCAGCGTCAGGCTGAGCTGAATCTCGTCCTCACTGGGCTCTGACGCCCTCCACAAGCCCATCTCCACCAACCTGGCGCTGGCTGCGGGCTGGACGACGCTGCTGCTCGCACCGCTTACACTCGTGATGTACGAGTCGAATTGACCATTACCACTGCCATAGACCGTCCAGCCCCCCAGCAGTACCTGCCATGAGGCATGCTTGACTTTTGGATCACCTAACGCTGCACTTCTGTGATACGGTGCAGTTACTTCAGGCGAATTCTTGCAGGTACTGGTACCTCGCCTGCACGTTGGGAGATTCAACCAGAGGGCGAAGGCTGACCCCTGTAGGTTTGTGGTTCTCCTTGGTCCCTGGAAATCCGTGAAAGCTGCTGAATACTGAAGAACCGACAATGCAACGTGCTGCTTCTTACGCTGGCTTTTCTTGTGATTCGTCTCATGGAAAGGCTCTCCTACACTAGCCACACCAACCAGTAGATCTGAGACCGAGAAGCGAATCCTCAGGTCACGATGCTGCAGGTAGTCAGACAGCTCGGCTCGAGCTTGAGTGGAGTTCACGATCCACGTGGCGGTGTGGGGTGGCATGATGGTGAGGTCCCTGGCCAACATGCCCGGTGACAGGGACTCGGGTCCATGCTGAAGAGCCAAGCTAAGTCGGTCGAGCTGTGCCTGGATCGCATTCCTTGCTGCGCTGATGCCAGAATCAGCAAGGGGATCTCCGCTGACACATGCATGTTGAGCCAGACAACACGACAGAAGAACCACACAAAGCGAAAGAAGCAGGAGGCGACGTAGCATTGGCCAGTGCATTTTTGTTGTCGCAGATCCTTGCCGCTCAGCACCACGTCCCCGTGACATTGGATCAACTAGCGACCTACTGAACCAAGGCCTTACTGCTGCCTATTGTCGAGCATCCATCAAGCTAGTCTCATCGAATGCGAGAATGATGCAATACCAGCTCGAGATGAAAGGGGGGCTTCTTTACAGCTATATACAGCAAACCCATCGACAGCGAGAGCCTGTGCTTGCCAGGACAAGCTTCAATGGATCGCCGAGAACAACGGTGACCCGAGCTGTAGTGCGCAGCTTTTCTCCTACAATCCTCTTCTAGTATAGCAGTGGCCGATGCTTATATTTCCACGTGCCAGCCTCGAAACCATGGCGTCATCGTACTATCAGGTTATTGCTGACAGTTCTATGGCGGCTGTTGGCCGTAGCTGGTATGAGGATGCGACACTAGTTTCTCCCTGAAGCAGGGGTGAATGCGGAGAAACCTGTGAAATCTACGCATTGAGGGCTCCCCTTCACCGCGATAAAGCGTGACAAGTTAGGGCCGCAACGAGAACTCCAATGTACATGAGGTAGTCCGTCATTTCACCAGAAAATGATTCTATTCGAAACCGCTACACCAATACAGTATAACCTCGGACCTCATTTGAAGAATCACTATGCCAATGTATTGCTAGCTCAATATGATTGCTACAAAGCCCTGACCCCACTGCAATCTGCAAACTAGAGCCCTGGAGTTGAGCAAGTAAAACAGACTGTTTTTTCAAACCAGTCTAGCCACTACCGGTAGTCACAACTCCTCCAAGGCTTCACGGCGAGCTGTCATACATGGGTGGTCTGCCATTTTTAGGGTAGTCGTCTTGAGCTGCTGGGTTAATGCCTTGTGATCGACCATAGTCCCCAAAGGCACTGGGTTCTGTGCGGTCCCTGATCTCTATGGATAGCAGTTGCGAGGAGTTGGCCACGGCTTCATCCCAGCCATAGTGCGGCTTCCCCCTGCCACCGACAGAATCACAGCACATCCCCCAAGGGCAGACAGCTGATGAGAGACGCAAGCACGGAGCGGCGGCAAAAAGATCCACAAAAGACGACAAAAGGGCCCCACCGCCACAGCATGTGTGCACAAGATGATGGATGCATCAGAGCACCTGCGATGGTGCATGACAGAGATCTGCTTACTCATAGTATGTCGGCTCTGCCACCACGACATCCCACTGTTCACCGCTGGTGCTCCTCCCATACTTGTGCACCATGCTGCAGCGAACAGCGACGGGACAAGGCACAGAGAGAGCAGAGGAGACAGAGGGACCACAGGAGTTAGGCAATAGAGGCAGGAGGCACAATGTAAACAGGAGGAGACCAGGCCATGGGTACAAAATACTTCTGTGACCGGCACATGAACATAAGGGCCAACATGCCGAAGTGTTGAGGTAGACTATATAGGGAGGGGGAGGAACAGTGTTTCCAGGAGGGCTTACCCATCGCCGAAGTGTTCCTCGCCCCACGTTCTTGACCAGCCTGCACGGCGCACACAAGGTACCAAAGAGCTTCTGAGTACAGTGCGAAGTGCATGGAGAGGGGAGGGTAGGCTGAGAGGAACTGACTACGATAAACCATTTGCGCTCTGGACAACTGCCATGCCAGCATATCCAACGTCTTCTGCAACATCTTTGGACTACAGGGTGTCCAAGACGCTGCCACATTTCACCTTTCGAAGTGCAGGGGCAACTAGGCATTAAGAAATTACGTGGACTAAGCGTTCAGAGCACACAGCACTTACGGGAGCCTGAGTTCTCAACGTGCCAGGTCTCCCCTTGTCTGTGCCCCACCCCCGACGTGAACCGCTCCTCCCACTTGTCTCCCCACTTGGTGCCATCGTCCTTCTCCGCCCACTTGTCCGTCCTGCGGAGGACACAGCACAGCAGCGACGTTAACAGCATGCAAGCGAGATCGCGATATGTGAGTGAGGGGCGTCGATCGTTCCTTTTGGCGCCCTTGCCCTGCGCCTACGCGTGCTACTCAAGAGACACAGCTGCTCCACAAAAGAATCGTCGACACTAACAGGGACGCTGGGAGCGGCAATCAGCGTGTGAGAGGACGAGAGCGGATGGGTTGGGGAATGGTGCAAGGGGCGCGAAGGAGGGCGGAAGAGGAGAGGGAGGGCGGGAGGAGGATGGACGGGGACGGACGGGGAGGGACGGCTTGTGTACTGGCAGCGGTTCCTAAGGCGGCCAGCGTCTCACCACTTGAGCACCATGCCTTGGCCGTCGTACTGCTCGCCCCACTTCTCCCACCACGACTGGTCGTTGGACCGCCCGTACTTGTGCGACCCCTTCTCCGTCCACCCCTTGCCGTTGTACTTCTCCCACCTGCGCGCCACGACGCATCGTCGTCCGCAAGGACAACGAAAGGGATAAGCAAAAGCCCCCGGCCGTGGCGCGAAGAAGAAGCATTTAAAGCGGATCATGCAGAGGGTTTATCGCCCCTTAAACTTGAGCGCCGTCGCCCACACACGCGTCAATGATCTGCGGATGGTTTGTCCATCGAACTGAACCAAGAGGCGACTCACCATTTCTCGTTCCAGACGTTTTCTTGTCTCGATTTGGCTTGTTTATGGGCGCTTCTCTCTATTCTCGGAATACCGCTGCAGAGAGGCCAGCAAAGGCAACGGAGAGGGAAGGGCGGGTGAAAGCAGCGATGGGGGAAACGAGTGAGCGGTGGCGGTGGTCTTGATTAACTAGGAAGGAAAATGAGGTCATAGCAACGCGATGCCACGAGCACGAACAAAAGATTAACTAGGAGTCAAACTGTGCCGCAATTTACCTCCAGTTATCCACAACATATACTTCTTGCCACGTCTCCCACCAGCTGTCGCCCTGATCGTTTCTGCCCGACTTCTCCGCGCCCAGCTCCTTGTACCCCGTCCAGTCGCTCTTCTCCCACCACTGACGAACCACAGCCATCCATTGACACGCAGATCAAAGCGAGGGGGACGGCACGCATGGGAAATTTGGTAGGAGAGGGTCGAAAACGCCATTGAAGACTGTACAGCTTTTAAGGAAAAGTAGGCGTGAAGCGATCTCCAAACTTACAGTTTCCTTCCATTCCGACGCCCCGTTGGGGTGTCGTCCGCCCATGATCGTCCAGCGGCATCGATAGCCATTATCCCCCATGTCCTCTCCGCTCTCTCTATACCACGTGCTGCCATCCTCGTTAATGCCGCACTCGTTAACTGGTTGGCTCTTCAGATCTATGCCCCAGTCCTTTTCACTGGCTATTCCAGTGTCCTCTCGCCAACCACCAGCAGGCGGTGCAGCTGCAGAAAACGCAAAGCGCGAAAGCGCACACAATGAGAGGCGTGCCAGGCGTTTGCAGTGAGCAGCGCATCTCGCGGTTAACCGACTTGCAGGAACGTGCGAGGTGGTCTGAGACTGACCTCTACGTGGAGGGACGTCCCGGGGATTGGGTGCGCACTGGCGAAGGAAGTGCTTCGAGTGCTCATTGTCGGACTGGGCTCCACTTCTCTGCCACCTGCGATTCACTCGCGAATGCCTGCTTAGTTGTCACGGGAGACTGGAAACAATGAGAGCTGTCGAATGACCAACGGATCAAAGGGAGTCACGAGCCTACTCACCTCTGCGAAGATCGAGAACCAGAGAAGCTGGCCCTCACTGGAAGGTTTCTGCTGAATCTGGGTCGACGCTTGACGTCTCCGCTGATTGATGCTAGCTGATCAACGCGTAACCCTTGCTGAGCTCTATCTGGTGAGCTAGCTGATCTGGACGGTTTTGAGGTTCGAGCCAACTTCGGGTTAGCAATCGAAGTGTTGTTAGTAAGTGCAGCCATTTGCGATTGGCTGAGCTGTCAGTATATAGCACCTAGCAAACACGCATGGTTCCTAGCTGCCAAGGTTATAAGACTGGACCTGGTGTAATACTCGAAACAACAAACCCAAGTGAGCAGTCGATCTGTCGATCCTCACTAACGTGGGTGAGGCCAACTACAATGCCCTTGCGCAGATATTTATCCGGAATGATTGCCTGGAACCAAGTGTTTACAACAGCCCTTGGGAATAGATCCCAGGGATTTGGAGGGTTGAGGAGGAACACCATGGGATGGCCATGGGAGGGAGGTGGAAGGTGGAGGTGGAGCGGGAGGAATGGGAGAGCCAGAGAGCGCACTCGAGTGTCCTCGAGAATGGGAGAGTGGGAGGAGCTCCTGGATGGAGTGCTGCGAGGCCAGATCATCCAGAAGGACTTGACGAGCCAAGTGCAAGCGGCAGGTAGACAGCAAAAAATGTTATCATTGACCCAGGACTTCGACGGTCCGGATGTCCGGTCAGAATCTGTGGAATTGCGAGTTTGCAAACTGCCCGTCACTGAAAAGAGGTTTGTCAGCGGAATATCGTGGAGTGCCTGTTTCATCGCTGGTGGCCACTGATTCCTGGGGGTGCACTGCTGGAAGTACGCGGAACCAGTAATGTGAAAGGACTCCGTTTGAAACCAATCAAAACGGTTCCAGTCATCTTGGATCCATGCTCACAGCTACCGCTCGAATAGGTCGATTATAAAATTTGTAACTCATTTTTGCTGACTGTGCAGCCACGCTGGGCTTTCACACATGTAACACGAAGATCTGGAAGCACCAGCCTGCACCGCGAGATGCGCGCCTCGGTCAGATGATTCGCCCTCCTCTACATCTAATCAAACCAGCCCAGCTCCCTCAACTTCTTGTCATGCATACTCCCCTTCACGACTTGACCAATTCCGCTTCGACCAGTCTCAGCATTCGCAATCACGTCCTGTGTCTCCTACTTTTAGGTTGAGCGCGGTTCCTCTTCGCTTCACGGGTTAGTTCCCGATCACGAACAGGAGACGGCAGAGGCATGATCCCTCCTTGGAAACTGGACGTCGTATGATCGGGAGTCAGACCAGCTCCGATGTTTCCAAGCTGGTACTACGGAAGCATGGCTCTCTTCGTCCAGCAGGTGAGAATAAGGGACAGTCGAACGGAGATAGTTCGATGTTCGCAACCTCAACGTTCGATGTTAATACTGTCTTTTAAGATATGGCGCATGAGGGTGGAACAAAATGGACTATTCGTCATGGGCCGTCGTATTACAAGCGGAGCGAAGGGAGACGGCAGAGGTACAGGGGAAAGGGCAGGAATTTGAAAAGAATTGACCTTGCAAGAGGTGAAAGTAATCCGCTGAACACACCGAGCACGGGTCTTGTGTCATTGACAACAGCGACTGGGATTTCGACTGATGAGCTCGGCGATTCCACAGGCGGGCATGAAAAGCATCGTGTGGGCGTTGGCGAGACTTTTGCAAGAATCAATCAAAGATACATAACAAGCACACATGCAGCAGACAGAGCAACCTACTCTTTTGGTGCTGGCGTTGTTCGGTGTCGACGGGCGGAAATGTAAAACGAGGCACCGGATTGTACAATTGACGTGCGATTGAATTCCCTGTAGAGAATCTTTCTGGCATCTCCCCGCAGGCGCTGCGAGTGCTTGAAGCTGAAGGCCACTTTCCATCCCTCCACGATACCGGAAGGAAAATCCAGTGAAGTACCATAGTGCAGAGCCAACTGTTTCCTCCGACGCTAGTAAGCCTAGACACAACTCTCCGTTGCTTCGGGCCCTCCACAAGAAGCACACACTAGTGAGGGGTGTCACCCATCTGTAACGATGCAGCTTTTACATTAATGAGATAATTTGTGACAATCCTGCTTCACGGGTGTTTGGTCTAGTGGCATGATTCTCGCTTAGGGTGCGAGAGGTCCCGAGTTCAATTCTCGGAACACCCCATTATGATAATCATCTCCCTCATTTTTGTACCTTGTGTTTCGAATCAGTGCAACCCGACAGCTTACACCCTAGGTAGGGTCTGGTCTGGAGACAGCAAAACATCAGCACAAATACATGACTGATTGAGATGGCACATATGGGTAACCGCTGCTAATTCAAGTGGCACTAGCGGTCCAAGGATTAGCACCACATCAGCACCCAGCAAAAGCACTGCCACTCGTCTTCCAAATGCTGGTCAACTCATTTCAACTTGGAAAGTCTGACTCACGAGCATAGGATAGGTACAGCTGCTGCTAGTCAATAACTAGGAACATTCAAAGAGCACCTACTGGTGATCAGAAGAGGTCCTTGAAGAGGTCAGGGTTTGCACCTGACTCTGGGGTGACCACTCCAACTCTGCGCGCAGCAGCATCACGCCCCTTGGCCTTTCCTGCTGCCCCAGATGCAGCACCCACTGCCGCGCGCCCACCAATAGGCATCGCCCCACCAATGGCTGCCCCGTTTGCTGACTTGCCAGCACCACCAACAGCAGCAGAAGGTGGTGCTGCAGGAGCAGCAGTAGTTGTTGAGCTCACACTAGTAGATGAACTGCCAGCGGTGCTGTTCTCGGCAGCCAATAGTGATCCACCAGCTGGCAGCACAGTCAGCTCCTCCAGAGCCTTAAAAGGGTCCAGTGTGGCAGAAGCAGATGCTGTGGCTGACACGGCAGGAGCTGCTGCTGAGCTGTCAGGCATGGATGCCGTGCTTGCTGGTGGCGGGTCGTCATTGAGGTCCATCAGCAGCAGGTCCGCAACAGGAGCAGCGGGAGCAGGAGGGGGGGCAGGAGCACTGGGAGCAGAAGCACCTGCTGCCCCGCTCTCTGCTGCTGCTCCTCCTGAACCTCTTTTGCCCCATGGCCCTGCTGTTCCCACAGTCCTTGGCTCCGATCTCGTCCCCACCAGACCAGACGAAGCAGCTGCACCAGCTCCTGCCCCTCCCTTGCCCCCAAATAGCTTTGCTGCCAGCCTCTGCTTCTCCTCACTCACCTGCGTGCTCTCAGCCGCTCTCCGATCACCCCCTCTCCCTGCCGCTGCTCCTGCGCCCGCCCCCCCTGCTCCTGCGGCCGAGGCAGCTGAGTCAGCGGGGATGGAGAACAAGTCAGCAGAAGGCCCCGCTGGAGTGGCAGAAGAGGCACCAGCTGATGGAGGGGGGGCAGCGGGTCGACCCCATTTTCTTTGCACGCCTGAGAGATTCAGCCTCGCTCCGTCTGCTGCCCCTCCCCCCACACCGCTGCTAGCGTCCCCCCCTGCATAACCCCCACCAGACGAGTCCCGGAATCCTCCAGAGGAAGTAGCAAAGAGGGCAGGGGGCGGGTTGGCGGACGAGTAGGCCGCGGCAGAGGCGGAGAAGCCACTGCCACCGGTACCCCCGCGGTGCGAGGCAGCGAGGGGTGCGGAGGGCAGCTTGGGCTGCTCATACGCCTCGAAGCGCAGGGTGCGGTCGGCATGGCGCGCAGCAGAGGAGGAGGAGGGGTCGTGCAGGGCGGATGCGAGGGAGGTGGTATCCACGCCGGCAGAGAAGTTGAGACGGTCGGACTCTGAGAGGTAGGGGCGCGCCCCCGCTGCGAGGGAGTCACCGACGTACTGGTCGAGGAAGGGCAGCGATGGGTCCATCTGAGTCGAGAGTGGGGAAGTATGAGGGATGGGGGAGGCGGTAGATGGAGAGAATACAAACACAGGGGGTAAAAAGTGGGCAGTATAGAATTTGCTGGTAGAGGGGAGCACGGTCTGCATTAACACAGGAAACAAGGGAGAAACGAAAGATCAGAACAGCTCGCTGAGCTCCCCACATCCCCCTTGCTGCGCACCTCAATGTCCTCACAGCTGCCGTCAACAGGCAGCACGGCGGCCAGCGTGTCGGGGCTGAGCGCCACGAGCGCGTGCAGCTCGTAGGCGCGCTGCTGCAGGTCCGTGCAATGTGCCGCCAGCATGTCCTCCACAAATGCCCGCGCGTCAGGTGGCAGCTGCGGCCGCCTGCCACTCGCTGCCTCGAATGCCAGCACCTTGGCCATGGCCGTCAGGACATAAGCCTGGAGGGGGGAGGGTTCGGGAGGTGGGGACGATGTGTGCCCATGCGCGTGCACCAATGCCACAAGGCTGCGTGTGTGCTGATTAGTGCTTGCACATGTGTGCGTGTGTGGGTGTGTGTGTGTGGGTGTGTGTGTGTGGGTGTGTGGGTGGGTGTGTGGGTGTGGTTGTGGGTGTGGTTGTGGCTGTGGTTGTGGGTGTGTGTGTGTGGGTGGATGTGGGTGTGGCTGGGTGGGTGTGGCTGGGTGTGTGTGTGTGTGTGTGCGTGCGTGTGTGCGTCTGTGTGTGTGTGTGGGTGTGTGTGTGGGTGTGCGTGTGTGTGTGTGTGTGTGTGCGTGCAAGAGTGAGTGGATCCAGAGTGAATGAGAGAGAATGCACACACCCGCACACTGTCGTCGGTGTCATGAGCCTCTGCCACGTCACACAACTTTGCCATGACATCATCTGCTGACATGTGGCCGTCTGACGTGGCATACTCCCCCAACACCCAGCAGATGACCTGCCCGGGTGCAAGCAGTGGACAAGGAGGCGAAAGGGCGGATGGGCGGAAGGGAGAGGGGCGGAAGGAGGGAGGAAAAGCAAAGAGGGAGTGCAGAAGAGGTGGACGGTAGGGGAGAAGGAGCAAGCAAAGGTATGCATGGACGAGTGGCAGCGAGTGGCAGCGAGTGACAGCGAGTGGCAGCGAGTGGCAGCGAGTGGCAGCGAGTGGCAGCGAGTGGCAGCGAGTGGCAGCAAGTGGCAGGGAGTGGCGGCGGGGAAGGTACCTGGAGCAGCAGCGTGGGCAGGTTGGGTTCTTTGAGCAGACTGAGGTACGATTGCACCTGACGCGGGGAGAGGGGGGGGGGGCAGGTGGTGGGGTTTGGGGAAATGGGGAGAGCAATGGATGGGGAGGATGTGATGCGGGAAAAGAGACGCGCCGACCAATAGAGCGTAAGTGAACGCACCTCAAGAATTCTGTAGCATGTGTGGAGGGGGATGGAAAAAGGTCGGGCTTGCAAGGAAGAAAAGGTAGGGGGAGGGCGGAAGTGACAGAAGTGGGGGACGCGCCAAGTGGAGACGAGTAGAGGAGGAAAGCACCTGAGAAAAAGCGAGTACTCACAAGATTTCCTGTGAGGTGTCCATACTCACAAGATTTCCTGTGAGGTGTCCATACTCACAAGATTTCCTGTGAGGTGTCCATACTCACAAGATTTCCTGTGAGGTGTCCATACTCACAAGATTTCCTGTGAGGTGTCCATACTCACAAGGTCCACGTTGCATCCACACCTCCCGCCGCACTCACAGCGGAGGAGCGCAGGCGCGAGTCGGCATCGTCGTTGTCGCCGCCCGACCCCTCGGCAATGAGCCTCATGAGGTCGTGCGCCACCTTGGGGCGCACCACATCGCCCGCCACCTCAAACACGCTGTTCATTGTCTGAAAAAAGGGGGGAGGGGGGGGGGGAGGAGAGACGATGGCATGAGATTGGTTGGACGCATGAGGAGGAGAGAGAAAGGCGAGATGACCGTTGCACCGTGTGCCTCCCCGCCCCTCATTCAATCCTACTTACAAATCACTCACCCTCACTCCACCCTTCATTCCAGTTCCCGATACATCCCCCATCCCATCCCTCCCTCTATTCCCCAAACCCCTCGCACCTGGATGAACCACTCATTCGATGGAGCGAATCTCTCCGCCAGCTCAACAATCCGTGCCGCCAGGTCAGCGCGGCCGTGCGCATGCGCGTCGTCCCCCGAGCGCAGTCCCCTCAGGTACTGCAGCACGTGCTCCACTATAACCTCCACGTTGTCCGGGCCCGTCATCTTATGAAGAAGATCGAGTGTTTTGCGCTTGAGCGAGTCGTCGGGATCTTCCAGGCAGTCAATGACGGCGATCTGGTGCTCGGAGGCCAGCTCGGGGCGGATGCGGATGATCTGCGCCAGGCAGTCCACGCCCATGTACCGCAGGTTGTGCACGGCGCTCTGAGGGGGTGGGGGTGGGGTGGGGGGCCGGTAAGGGGGGTGAGATGGGTGGAAGGCAGAGAGGTTGCCGAAAGAATGAGAGAGGGGGTGGGTTGCAACAAGAGGAGAGAAAGAGAGCGTGGGGCAGGGTGGGGGTGAAGGGGAGAAGGGGAGAGGAGACAAGACAGCTGGGCGGACCTTGAGGAAGGAGGAGGTGATGGCGGCGCACGACGACAGCAGCGCGTCGGACGGGTGGATGGCGGCCACCGTGCGGATCGCCTCGTACAGGATCGCGTTGCCAGCTGTCACCTGCGAGTCGTCCCGCCGCCCCGTGGTGCCCGCCTTGGGCTGCGACTCGCTGATGCGCCGGATGACGTCAGCGATGACGGGGTACATGGGCTCGCTGGCTGTCGAGTTGTTGGCTCCCAGGAGCGCCAGCAGCTTCAGCAGCTTGATCTGGGGATGGGAGGAAATGGGAGAGGTGTGGGTTGGAGGGAGAGGATGGTGGAGGAGAGAAGGGGCGGATGACGACAGTGGTATAGGGATACATGAAAGGGTTAGCTACAGGGTGGTGTGAGCAGTTTCACCAACCCAAAGGAGCGGATGTGCAGTGGCTGTCACCAAGACATGAAGAAGCTGAGCGAGTGAATGTCCAAGCGCTTGTGGTGTATCTTATCGCTGCGTTGAGATGGCTCGTTGCGTCCCCACCTGGATGAAGGGCGCGGGCACGCGGTGGTAGTCGAAGGACTTGGGCAGGCGGCCCTCCGCCACCTGCTTGAGGATGCTGAGGAACGACGGCGCCAGGTTGCGGTACGGCGCGGGGTCCGTCGCGATGAGGTCGTGCAGCGCGCACAGCGACGCGCTCATCACGCTCGGGTCCTTGTCGCACAGCGCCTGGCGAAACTTCTCCGTCACGTGCGACACGCTGGACGGCGATCGCTGGTGGAACCGCTGCAGCGCCATCACGGCCTTCTTGCGGACCAGCTCCTTGGGGTGCTTCAGCAGGTCCACTATTGGACTCAAGACCGCGGGAATCGTTTCCTCGTTGATTAACTTGCAGACGGCTCCTAAGGCCGCGCACACGACGAGGTAATTATCGGATTTGAGATCCTTCTGGATGGTGTTGACGATCAAGATGATCAGATCGTGCGAGTCGTCCAGGAACAGCGTACACGCGAGATACCCCGTGCGTTTCAACAGTAGGTTGTCGTCGTGTGTCATCTTCACGGCGTGGATGTAACCGAACGACGCATCGTGGCCGAGAATCTCGAGGTACATGAGGCGGAGTATGTACTCCTTCATCCGCTTCTTCGGCACGTCCGGCTCAGATATCTTCTTTTTAAGCAGCTCCAGCTCCCCCGCCATGATTCTATCCTCCTCCGCCTTTGACTTGGCCTCCCCTATGGCTTTAACTAGGTCTAAGAAGTCCTTGGACGACCCGACCGCGCTCTGAGACGCGAGGGCCAGGTCGCGGCCGAGCGAACGGAAATCCATGGAGAAGGACATGGCTGGGTGCCGGCAGGGCTGCTCTTTACTGGGAATCGATCACTGCTTCCGCGACCTGTGGAATCCGGCGACCCGACAACGCGTGCGAAGCCGGTCCGAGGGTCAGTCGGAGAGACGGCTGACTATTGCTGATGGGGAGGAGAAAGCGCGATCAGAAAACCTAAACAGATGGGCATGTCGGTGAAGGCGTTGCCATGAATTATACCTATGATCGGATGATCCAGTGCAGGCATTGAAGCAGCCTTGGGATTGCCGCATGGCTTGAGTTCCCTGCACAGAGAATTGTGCTGCGATACTGCCTGGTCGAACTGACGAACCAACCAATTCGGCAAGAGGGCGGACAGCATAACGGGTCGAAGGCATGGGTGGGTGCTCGCTCGCGTACACGACTAAATGAAAAGGTTATCATGAAAACTCATACGGTAATTGTCATGAGTGACGCCTAAAACAGGTGGGCACAAGAGATTTGTAGACTGGCTCCATGGATGTTGGACACGTGTACATGGCTTGCTCAAGAAAAACGCAGCAAATCAAGATAGGTTCACTGCCTGAGCGTCTGGCCCTCAGGAACCCATTGCAAATATGCAAGCTCCACTTAGAACGCGGGTTAAAAGAATCTCGAGGCTGGCTGAACTCATAAAAAGGTTACTAACGCACTATCATTTCTTGATCACTCTACTCTGTTTGCATGGCGTCGCCTTCAGCAGGCTTGACATCTCCAGCTGCAGCTTCTCCCCCCGCTGATGCACCCTCCCCTGCAGCCCCTTCTGTCTCCATCGGCTCACCACCTGCCTTGGGTGCCTCGGCAGCAGGCTCGGGCTTTGGCTCTGGAGCAGGCTTGGGAGCTGCTTTTGGTTTGGTCATGATGGGCTTGCAGAACCTGCCATCCAGCACACAAGGACAAATAACACATCCACCGCTTAGCTGGAAAGACGCAAGCCACAACACGATAGCAGCGCAGATCACACTGCATAAGCCACACACACCATGCATTAGCCAAGCAGTAACATCTAGTCCCTCCGCCGCCCACCTGTCGAGGGTCTCTGCCTTCTTCCTGAGGTCGGCGGCGAGCAGCACGGGGTTGTCCTTCTTGCCCAGCTTCTGCTGCTGGAACATCAGGTCGCGCAGCCACATCTCCGCCTTGTTGCACTCCTCCACCACCTGCCGTGAGAGTGCGTGATGCGTAGGAGTGAGGCAGAAGGAGAGTGCACATCAGCTTGGCAGAGCGAGGAGAGGTGGGCAATACTCCGTCCCTCCTGTCTGTTCATCCCTCTCCTGTGAACTTCGCCCTCTCTCCCAAATACCCTTGCTCAAGTTCCTGCTCTTCAACCTCAAACAGCCAAGATCGCCCACCCACCCCCAGCCCCCCCCAAACGTCACTTGTGAAGCCTCCCACCCAAGAATCAACACACATCTTCCCAGCCCCTGTACGCGGCATGCCAGCCACGCACTTTCTCCCCATGCGCCCATCCTCCTATCCTCCCCAACTCACTCCCACCCGAATGGCAGCACACATCCTCCCAGCCCCACTGGATGGCATGACTAGCCACGCACATATTCACATGCACCCATCCACCCATCCTCCCATCCTGCCATCCTGCCATCCTCCCATCCACCCATCCTCTCATCCTCCCATCCTCCCACGCACCCATCCTCCCAACCTCCCATCGGCCGACGCACCCATCCTCCCATCATGCCCACGCACCCATCCACCCATCCACCCATCCACCCATCCACCCGCACACCCATCGGCGCCAAGCACGCACCTGAGCCTTCTCCTTAGGGTCGATGTGCTCATAGAGCGCATCGGTGGACAGCGCAGCTTCGCGGAAGCTGCCAATGCAGTACTGCAGCGACTTCAAGGCGGGCCCACGCGCCTCCTCCTCCCGCAACCTGTTCTCGATGGGGTCGGCCAGGCGCTTGAGCTCCTCGAGCTTGGCGGAGTACACGCCTTTGCTCTCGCTCTCGCCGTCTTCGTACAGCCAGTCCTCCGTCTCCTGCAGCCGCGCCAACACCTTCTCCTTCTCCGCCTCCGTCGCGTACGGGGCTAGCTTGTCGTGCAGCTGGGCCAAGGGAGGGAAGGGGGAGGAAAAGGGGTCAGGGGAAGGTGGGGTATTGATGGGTGGGGGGGGAGCGGACGCCATGCAACCACCTCATTGCCATACACACACCCAGCTTATCCTGCCACACACCCACACACAACTTGTCATGCCACATGCTTCATGCCCATGCCCCATGCTCATGCCACATGTCCATGCCACATGCCACATGCCACATGCCCCATGCCCCATGTCCCATGCCACGCGCCCCACGCACCTTGTTGCGCATGTCATAGACGTAGCTCTCAACGGCGTTCTTCTTCTCCTTGGTCTCCTCCATCACGCGGTCCTGCAGCGCCATCGCGAACTCCTCCTCCACCAGCTGCTGCAGCGTCGCCGCAGGTAGCCCCCCCACCAGGTGCGCCTCGATGGGCACGTCCGTCTTCTTAGTCTTCTTCTTCTTCACCATCTCCGGCTGTAAGGCCGTGGGGCGGGGTGTGAGTCGGCGGGTGTAGGGAATGAGGGGGTGGAAATTCAGAGAACACTCCTGTCTCTGTGCTGTACAGTGGCAAAGGACTTGGGGAGGCAACTAAGCGTCAGCGCTGCAGCAGCAGCGGCGTACCTTGGCTGGTTGCGCTGCTGCAGCGGCAGCGGCGTCGTCCATCTTGGCATCGCCAGCAGCAGCATCGCCTGCTGCTGCCGCACCAGCCTCGGCCTCCATGGGCGCGCCAGCCGCATCTGCTGCTGCTGCTGGCGGGGGCGCGGCGTCCTTCTTTGCTGGCACCTCCACCTCCTCCTCCTCCAGCAGCTGCTCCCAGGGGCCACAGGCACGTGAGGGGGGAAAAAGGGGGATGGCGGTGGGGACGGTATGAGCTGAGGGAAATTCGCCTGGACTGACAGGTGAGGCGCTTTCCCGTGCAGCTCACAGAACTCTTCACGCCATTTTAGAGCACTCCTTTTCTTCATGACTCTTTTGTTGCGCATATAATGCTTCATTTCTTAATCATCCACCTCCCAAGTTGCTTCCTCCCATCCTCTCCCCAAGGCTTGGCACTCACTGTGGCGGATTCAACGGACAGGATGCCGTGCAGGTTCAGCCGGATCTTCACCTTCAGCTTCGGCTTCGAGTCCGGCCGCGACGGGGCGAACGGACCCACCTGCAGGGCGCGCACGGCGAGACGTGCGGGGGAGGAGAGGGGAGGGCCGGGGGTGGGGTGGGGTGGGGTGTGGTGCGGTGAGGTGAGGTGAGGGGGGAATGTTTATTGCGGTTTGCAAAATTCTGTTCAAAAGCCGCACGTGGCCCAGTTGAGAGGCTTCCACTGACAGAGGCACAGCTGGAGGTCAACAAACGGTGCTTGCAGCAAGTGTGTATGTGAAGGGCGGGTTGCTCACACCAGGGCTGTGCACGTGGAGCGGGCGGGGGCTTACAGTGAAGGTGCCGATGCGGACGTTGGCGCCAACGGTCTGGTCCTCGGGGTTGGCGTAGAAGGCGTCGATGGTGAAGGCCTCGGTGCGGTAGAAGGTGAGCAGCTTGGAGCTGGGCAGCGGGTTGTTCTTGCAGAATACCACCTGGTTCGGCTGCGCCGCCGCCTCCTCGCCCCCGCCCTCCGCGCCCTCCGCGGACGCCGCCCCCGCCGCGCTGGCCTGCTTCCACGAGAGCGCGATGGCGAAGGGGTACGTGTCGTGCACCTGATTGGCGGGGTCAGGGGGGGCGGATGGGGATGGGTGTGTCCAGGGGGGTGGCGCGAGGGGGGAGAGAGAAGAGAGGTAAGATTGTGCAGCAATGGTCATTTTGCAGGGGCGTTGGCCAAGGGAACACTGGCCGGCCGAGAGTGGATGCGACGCACCAGGTGCACTGCCAGTCACACAGAATCCGCGGACTCGAACCCCGGGACTGCCGACTCACCTCGAACTCGCGGACTTTGAACGCGGGGCTCAGCATGGCGCACTGCAGCGCGCACCCGCGCGCGACGCACTCGCTGGCGTTCATGGTGCGGCGCGGCTCCTTGCCGAAGAACTCCGCGAGGATCTTCAGGATCGCCGGCACGCGCGACCCCGACCCCACCAGCTCCACGGCCGCGATCTGATCGATGGTGAGCCCCGACTCGAGCAGCGCGCGCTGGCACGGCGCCTTGACGCGCTCCAGGATGGGCTTCGCGAGCTCCTCGAAGTGGTCGCGCTTGAGGAAGCCCGTCACGTCCTTCTCGTCCATCAGACACTCCACCTGCAGGGGAAGACGGGGGGGGGGGCGCGGGCGGAGAGGAAGGAGAGAACAGGTGGGGCAGCCGCGGGAGGGTTTGGGTAAGGGGGAGAGGGCCCCACGGAGGATTAGACAAGGCTTTGGTGAGGACACGAAGGGGATGATCCGCGGGAGCATATGAGGCGGGTGTGTTTTGAGTCGACTCAAAATACACCTGATCCGCGGGTGAGGAGTCTATTTTTGAGGCGCCTCAAAAATAGACTCCTCAAAATACACCTGATCCGCGGGAGCACATGAAGCGGAAGGACGTAGACGGAGCGAGGAGAAACGAATACGACCCGTGCCGGGCGACTCACGTGCAGCGGCGACTCCGGGTTGGCGCTGAGGACCTTCTTGAGCTTCTCGCATGCCGTGCGCAGGCGGAGGCACGCGCGCGCGTTGGAGGGGATGTCGAGCTTGTGCGCCCGCTTGCACTCGTCGACGAAGTGGTTGAAGAGCACCTCGTCGAAGTCGCGCCCGCCCAGCGACCGGTCGAACGCGTGCGCGAGCACCTTCAGCTGGCCCTTCTTGAACGCCACGATCGACACCTGCATCGTCGAGTGCCCGATGTCCACGAACGCGATATTGAGAGGCTCGGTTTCCGACAGATCCGTCTTGTAGATCCCGTACGCCAGGGCCGTGGCCGTCGGCTCGTGCATTAGCCGGAGCGGGTGCAGGCCCGCGATAGTAGCGGCATCGAGATAAGCGCGGCGTTGCGAGTCGGTGAGGTAGACGGGGATGCCGATGACGCAGTCCGTGATCTTCGACCCCAGGTCCTTCTCGCCGATCGCCTTCAAACCCGACAGAACCATCGCGAGAAGTTGGGTCGGCGAGAACGTCCGCGGCTCGTTCATGTACATCACGTGCACCAGAATCTCGCCGTCGGGGCCCTCGGAGCAGCGGAAGGGGAACATCGAGAGGTCCTTCTGGACCTCGGGATCCGCGAATTTCCGCCCGATCATGCGCTTGATCTGCGACACGGTGTTCTTAGGGTTCATCGTGTACGACGCCGCCCCTGCGACGCCGAGGAATCGCTGCGTCTCGCCGAAGCAGACGACATTGGGCGTCTCGCGGTTGGACTCCTCGTTGAGCGCGATGTCGATGCCGCGCTGCCGCGCGATGCCCACCACGCCTCTCTCATTCCCCACATCAAAACCGACCACGCTCATCGTGCTCTGCCGAAATTACACTCTTAGTCACAGCAGAAGTCGGAAAACCAGAGATCAACAGAAAGGCACGAAAATAACTAGAGGCGAAACAGCGACGTGGGTGGATAATAAGAGTCGCAGATCCTGAGGAAGCAGCTAGAACAAATGAAGGAGAAATTGGTCCAAACAGCCGAATGCGATCAAGCAGAAAAGCTGGAGCCATCTTGTCAGTGCCTTCGCGAACGTCGTCAGGGTTCCCGGCTGATCCTTCGCGAATCCTGTCTACGGTGTTGCGAAGGAAGGTATCATCTGTTCCACAGCTGGTAACGCATCGTGAGCAAGTCGCCAAGCCATTCACATTCTAGAATGTCACCGTAACGAGTCTTCGGGAACCTTCCTCCTGCAGCTGTGACTGTGGGGGAGTTGGCGAGGACACGGTGCGTGTCAGATGATGGAGAATCGTCACAACCGCCAGAAGAAGATTCAGTGCTCCTGTGCAAGGCATTTCGTTATGCCGTTGTTTCCCCATGATTGATTGGCTAAATGCGTTGTCACATCACTAGGGTTCACAACACACACTATCACCCAGTGCGCATTGCACTTAGGGCAAAACGCGAATGTTTGCATTTCCATACACATGTTTACAACACAGATCTATATAATCCTTACTACAGTCCATTCAAAATGTCTAGTTCATACGGTACCCGTAAGGGGAAACACCCCTATTCTCTCCCAAGTGCTCATAGTAAGATCAGTGGGTTCAGTGCGGTAGAGTGCGAGAGATGCGACATGGAATGCAGGGGATGGTAGGGAGGATGTGGGGGTGGGAGGGAGAAGGGAGGGAAATGCCTTCCCTACTGCTGCTTTTGCTTCCTGCTTCTGGTCATCTGACAGATCACCATAGATGAGGCTGAGATGAGGCATGTACGCTGCACAGGTGATGGACACACAGTTAGGGGAGGAAGATTTGAAGAGGCAGTAAAGATGAGAGGGAACTGGGGGTTAGGCGGACTGAAAGAGTTGTGTGCAGGCAAATGAGTGACTGCATTCTCAATGTGGTGCGCAATGGCATGCCGCCTGATGCTCATACCTGCACTGGCGTCCCTATCCATGCCCATCACTTCCACAGCCTTGTCGTGCACATGCAGCACCTGATAGCACGCACACAGTGGGCTATTGGTTCAAAAAGGGGGGAGGGAGAAAATACGCCAGGCATGATGCGTTTTTGACATCAAAGGTCAGCACCTTTCCTCCACCCGAGGAACAATCTCAAGGGTGAATTGCATCGGCGATGCACATCTTTCTCGCGAAAACACGAAGCCCGCCCAGTCTAGAGAAGCGAGAGCGAACCTCGTTGGAGGGCAGCATCTTGAGATAGACGCATTGGAAGAAGAGCCGCCCGCTGGCGAGCTCCATGACGTGGATGTCGTACGGCTTCAATGACTTCCCCAGCTGCTCCATGCGCCTCACCACCTCCCGGTCGTTCAGCCCCTCCGTCTCCCCGAACGCCCCTATCACCGTCACATGCGGCTCAAACGCCGTGCACCCAAACCTGTGGGACAGGTACAATGGAGCGAAGCTCGGCATTTAGGCGTGGCTCTACCAACACCCCATAAAGTTAAGATATGTAGATTATTCTTCCAAGATACCACACCTGGTTGAAAGGTTCGAAATGGCGGCCGACGCTGAGGCGTGGAATGCCGAGCCTTCGTCAGGCATGGCCCAGATGGAGTACTGATGCACCTTTGCTGAGCTGGACCGTCCATCGCCTGCTGACGTGGCACCAGCTGCGGTGGCGGTTCCTGACTTATCCCGCAGCGGATCAGGGTCCATGGCTGACGTGGCAAGGTCGGGGGTAGAGGAGGATGGTGAGAGGCGCGTGTAAGCGAGGTAGGTGACGAGTAAGACAATCACGAGAGTAAGGACGGAGCGCCTGTTATCGGAGTCGAGTGGCCTGAGGAGTGGTAAGTTGAGAAGGACACGGCGAGATGCGGGGGGAAGCGGCATTCGTGGACGCGAAAACGGTCCTAGCGAAGGGTTACGCGATCGCGAAAGCATGCAGATTTTGCTCTCCCGCACGCGACGCGAGTAGGTTCATCAGTTCACAGGTAGAGCAGACGGCGCACGGCGAAACATGGATGGAGCAAACTGTCGCGAAGGAAAGCGGAAGCTGGACCTGCTGGGAAGGAGACTCTGCGTAGCGAGGGAGTCGATCGAAGGCTACGCGCTACACGCGGCGTCGAGCGCGGGGAGACCGGCAAACTAGAGCATCGAGCACGGCGGAACAACTGCGAGGAGGGAGACGGTGGAGGGAGGCGAATGGCGCGACACGCAGACATGCGATGGCCAGGCGAATAGGCGGGGACGGCGGAGAGCGCGGTGCAAATATCGCATGTGAAGTTGAAGAGCCAGGTTACCCACTGAGGCGGTGCTGGTTTGGCGAGAGCTCGCCAGAAGCTGTGCAAAAACTTGAACCAGATTTGTGCACTGCAAGGTCATTCCGCTCCCCCGCAAGTTTTGTTCCCCCACCCATTAGCCGATGTCGTTTCCCCACAACCCTCGCCGACCGTCAATTTCACAACCCCCCCAACCTCCGCCACCGCGTTTTCGTTTCAAAATCCCCCTCATGAGCATTTCGATTTTGCCCTGGGGCTCAGACGCTTCCGCGCGCGCATGATTTCAAATGTCTCCAACACCCCATCCCCAAGCTTCCCCCCTACTCCGCTCCATCTGCCTCAGCTGATTTCAAACTTCCTTCCAGCGTGGCGAAAACAAAAGTTTCCCAACCAATCACATGCTTCGCTCCCTCCCAACTCCCTCGCGAACCTTGCAAAAACTAGATATTAACAAATGTTTCAAAGGTTTCCCAAATCAGAGTGGCGCAGCGGAAGCGTGGTGGGCCCATAACCCACAGGTCCCAGGATCGAAACCTGGCTCTGATAAGGTTTTGCTTTCCCCTGGCCTCCACCAGAGGCACTCTACGACCCTCTGCACCCAGTGCTGGGTCTATGGCTGTGAATCATGAGCTTGACATACCTAAACATATTTCCTTGCCACCTTAGAGAAATACTCCTCCCAGAAGGAGCTTTTGTTACCAAAATCTACAACACAAAACTCCCCTCGCAGTGATGCAGTCAAGTCAAGCTACTCCATGAGAGAAACAGTTGTCAGCCAAGGAGGGGGTCAACACAAGATGGAACGCGCGGAATGAGAAAATCAAGACGGCTTTGCCTTGCGGTGGGGCGGCTTGCCCTTGAAGAGAGCCAACAAGTCATCAAAGCCCTGAGGGGAATGCACGGGGACGCGGGGGGGAAGGAGGCGTTGTTGAAGTGAAGCACGTGTTTAGGGTGGCCAGGATCTAGAGTTGGTGGAACCAAGAGTAAAAAGTCAGCGGCTTCCATCCATTCAAACCACCACATGCGCTCCGAACAACGGTCCACATGTTTTGTGCCCGCACACTTGGCATTGATGCTGCTGACAGCACAGCATGGCTGTGAGGGCACAGGCGCCTACCTTGGTGGCTGTATGGAGGATGACAAAGAGAGAGGAGAGGTAGATGGCCACCGCAAGGAACGTGACCAAGTCGAAGGTGATACTAGCCACCTGGAGGCACACATGGGGCCAAAGGCATGGGGGATTACAGAGAAGATTGGAGTCAGAAGGAAGGGCATGAGGTGCATGCGTTGAGGTGCGTGTAGAGGGAGGGGAGTGCGCAAGGTGTTGCGGTGTACAGTGAGGAGTCAATGCAGACACCAATGCGAACCGTTGAACGCTTGATCAATGCAGGAAAGGGGAACAACGCACGATGCATGGTGAACGCAGCAGGCGCCACACACACCATGCCACGCCATGCTATGCCATGCCCACCTGGTAAATGTTCATTTGCGCATGCGGCGTGGAGTACAGCGCATAGTAGGGGTCCAGCGCTGCTCTCCTCACCTCCACCTTGTCCGCATGCGCTGCCAGCTCCTGGGCGCAGCAAAACAGGCAGGGCGAGAGAGCAAGGGGGTGGAGGGGGTGAGAAGTGGAGGGAGGAAAGCGGGGAAGCAAGGCAGGAGGGAGAGAAGAGAAGGGAGGAGATGCAGACGAATGATACAGAGTCAAGCAGGCAGCTTCTGCAAACCCAGGAAACCAAGGGACGCAGGAAGCGACACATGCAGAAATGCTTTATTTTGGGACGCCTTGGGCACTACAGTACAGATGAATGAAGCCCCTTACTGCTTGCATGGCGGCAATTATTGGGTCGTCCTTGGCCAGTAGCGGGGCGACACGTGGCGAGTGCGAGAGGAGGGAGAGCCAGTGGGAGAGGTAGGGGAGGCTGGGGGAGAGCGAGGAGTTGGGCGGGAAGAAGTCAATGGGGGTGGCGCCTGCAGCCCCTCCGTCTGACGGGGGTGCGCCGCTGCTGCTGCTGCTGCTGCTGCTGCTGCTGAATATGTGGCTCTGGGTTGGAGAGAAAGGGTGGGAGACAGGGGTGGAGGGAGACAAAGAGTGCCAAGGCTTTTGAAGAGTGAAGTTGAAGCTGAACTTGGGCTAGAACTACAAGAATGCATGGGAGGGGAAGAAGGGTAGGTGGCGTGAGAGGGTTGGCTCTCTCACCGCGATGGCTTCGGCAACGAGACGCGTTGCAGCGAGGAGATGGTTCTCATCTACGGACGACCTGCAAAGGGGTTTGGGGTTTAGGCAGATACAGGCAAAGCGAGGAGGGACTTGGAAGGATAGACAAGGAAGAAACCCCACAGGATAGAAAAGGACACGGATATAGCACGCATCACAGGCAGCACATAAAGAAGGAGAATTACAATGCGCAAATCCCCTTTAAAAATAAAAAGGGGGTTTCAAATACCTCGCTCGCACCTGGTGTCAGCCAACCCGCCCCAGTGGCGCAGGAAGCGCGGCGGGGTGGGCAGGGCGGAGAGGGAGGCGGCGACGAGCTTGCGGCGTGAGAAGAGCTCGTGCTGCCAGGGCACGCGCGAGTCGGAGATGTTGACCTTCTTGTGCACCGCGCGCACGGCCACAGGCGGTGCCACCACGGCAGCCGCGGATGACAGGCCCTGCGGGGGAGAGGTGTGGGGGGCAGGGGCACGGGGCGAGACGCCTGTGAGCACCGAGCAGCCGGCAGCTCGATGGTGGAGGCGGATTGGCGAGGAGCGCTGGATGAGGGTCCGCACGTGGGGGTGAGGCGGCGCTTGAGTCAGGAGAGCGGTGAGCATTCCGCGCTCGAGGTGCTGCCTTAAAACGAGCGCACCTGGAAGAGTGCTCGGATGGTGGGGTCCTTGAGGGGCCGCGACACGTGCAGATGCAGGGCCCTGCTTGCCGCCTCTTCTACCCCCTCTGCATCGCCCTCCCCCTCTGCCCCTGCACCAATGGCGCGCAGGCAGATGGCAAACTCGAGGCGGTCCAGCACACTCTGGTCCAGCGACGCCAGCCACTGGCAGGGGGGGAGAAACCAGGGGGGAATCGGCGGACGGAATTCAGAGTTTAGGGTAAAAAAAACTTTTCACAGGAAACGGGGAAATTAGAGTGAAAAAGATGATTTCACGCAAAGAAGTGAAGAGGGGGAGGAGGAGACGGGATGGTGGACTCACTCCCTTGCCCTTCTGCCAACACTTTCGCTCACACTCAATCCCCTGCCGGGTCCAATCCCATCCCATCCCATCCCATCCCACCAGAGATGCACTAAACACGTCGCTCGCACCTGCCGGGTGCCGTCGTAGTTGTAGGGGCCGCCCGCTGTGAGCAGGAAGAGCAGGTGGAAGGGCGGCCGCGACGACGGCAGCAGCGCGAAGAGGCGCGAGAACAGCCGCAGCAGCTGCAGCAGCGCCGCCACCCCGCTGGCGCTGCTGGCAGGCCCGGATGACAAGGACTGGGGGGGGGAGGGGGGGAGGGGGGTGGGGAACGAGAGGTGAAAGGGGCGAGTGGGGAGGGGAGAGTGGGCGCAGGTGCAGCCGGCCCGGCATGCCACCGGCGCTGCTGCTGGGGCCTGATGGCAGGGACTGGGAGGGCAGGGGCGGGGAGGGGAGGGGAGGGGAGGGGAGGGGAGGGGAGGGGAGGGGCGGGGAGGGGAGGGGAGGGGAGGGGAGGGGAGGGGCGGGGAGGGAAGGGGAGGGGAGGGGAGGGGAGGGGAGGGGAGGGGAGGGGAGGGGAGGGGCGGGGAGGGGAGGGGCGGGGAGGGGAGGGGAGGGGAGGGGAGGGGCGGGGAGGGGCGGGGCGAGCAAGGAGAGGGAGGGGAGGGAGGATGTGGTGAGAGGAGTTCCAGCAGGCATAAAGCACCGCGACAGAGACGAGAAGAGGGTGCGAGAGCAGGACGGATGGCTCACAGGCACAAGGCCGAAGGTGTCGTACGGCGCCACCACTGCCACTATGGGCAGCGCGTCCCTCCTGCCGCCCTGCCCCTGTGCGGGCGCGGTGCCGTACAGCCACGCCTCCATGGCGGGCAGAGGCGACGACGCCGGCAGCTTGCGGGGCTCGCCGGCTGCCACCACGAGCTTGAAGCTGATGGGGGGAGGTGGGGGGGGGGCGGAGGAGCGGCTGAGGGAGGCGATGTGGACGGCGGAGGGGAAGCCTGTGAAGCGCTGTGGAGAGTGGCTGTCAGGTGCACTGCAGCCATGCCCGTGAGCGCACTGCAGCAATGCCTGTTCTTTAACGGCGACGGGTCAGGGATATGTCCTGGTAGCGCCCCTCTCACCCGCCATTTGTGGCCGATGCAGGCTTGCCCGCCCTGTCGTTGCTCTCCACGTCAGCCACCAGCTTTGACAGCTCAGCATTGTCAACCGCAAAGTAAACAGGCACCTGGGGGAAAGGCGAGGGGTTGAGGGAGGAGGCGGTTGAGCGAAAGGAAAGTTGGGTGTCAGGTCAGACGCCATAGAGCCGATGACAAGCACCAGCATAGCATGCGGCACTCACCGGTATGTTGGCCTCCAGCAGGCGCTCCTCCAGCCGCGCCACCACCTTAATATGCTCCTTAATCTCCTCCGCATCCCCCGCCGCCCCGGCCCTGCTGACGTCATCGTCAGCGTCGTCGTCCTCTCCCTGGCCGCCATCTGGCAGCGAGGAGCTGAAGTGGCGTGGCAGGATGAAGAGCAGCCCTCCCACCTTGCGGGATCCAGCCACCACCTCTGATGACGTGGCGGGGGAGAGGGGTGAGGAGGGGAGAAGGGGGAGAAGGGGGAGAAGGTGAACACTGAGAGAGGCATTCGAGATATACAAGCAGCACGAAGCAAGGTCAAGCGGGAGCAGGGGAGAGCGGATCGGTGCATGGCGTCTCACCGTCCAGCAGGGTGAAGTTGATCCGCTGGATCGGCACCACGATCACGGCGCGCATCAGATCCGCCTCGGATGCTGCTGACGTGGACAGCCCCGACGACGCGTACAGGCTGAACGACGCCTTGCGCGACCCGAACGGCGCGCCGCCGAGATCGTACTGCGGGGAGCGTCAGCGCAGCACGGGCAGAGAGGGAGCGAGGGAGATGATGGTGCGAGTGTAAGCGGCGTAACGGCAGAGAGGGGGGTCATATCGCGGCACTCGCCTGCGTCACCTGCGTCTAAGCCAGAGCTCGTGAGGCCTATCGCCTCCGTCGGATTCTGAACGCCGATACGCGCATCGTCCTACCGCCGCGTCCCTCTTAGCTTCCCAACACGCGACCTTCACGATCGCACCAGGAGCCGTCTGGATCAACAACAAGCGCCTCTCGTTGCAGCGAAAGCAGGTGGCGCTGCGCCTTGCGGGTGTCGGCTTTCACAACTCACTCTCTGGATCGCCTCTCATAAACCTCCGAATCGCACTCACACTTGCAATCGAACCGCGAACTTCCGGGCCTGCGCTGATGCTTATCACATCCCCATTCGAGGATCCTAATCTCCCAAAGGGGTCAAAACACGCTTTTGAGTCGACTCAAAAGCATCCCCATTCGAGGATCCTAATCTCTCGAAGGGGTCAAAACACGTGCATTAGGTTGAATCTGAATCAGCAGATCCAGGCCGTTCATGGCGGTGACCATGGCGGATCCGACGGACCTGGATCATTCTGTAGACGTCGACAACCGAGGCGGCGTCGGAGAGCACGGGGAAGGCCATAAGCGCGCCGATCAGCGCCACGGCCGCCTGCAAGGCCAGCACCGCCTGTAGCGACGCAGCGGGCCGTGCCCGGCTGTAGCGGGAAAACGGATCCATTGAGCTCTAACGCAAAAAGGCTCGTCACGCAGACTCAAAATCCGTGCCGCAGAATGCCGGCGAACGCAGAATGCTAGGCGACGCTGGAATCGGTGGATCCGTGGTGCTGGGAGGAGGAAGCAGGAAGGGCAACAGGGACTGCAGCAGGTAGGCGAATACGAGGTTGCCCCAAGTCGCTCTGGCGGCAAAATGGGTGGCTCTAGGGCGTGTTTCCGTGCTCTCGATTCGTCTCCCAGTACCAAATTGCATCCCACCCCCCAGGGGAGGCAGGTTTGCTCCAAATGCCGTCCCAACCAGGAACAAAAACGGGCCCTGATTATATTCAGCGATGGAGACTCCTCTATCGCGGACAGGTTCAACTTTTCAACATCGGGAATTTCACAATGACGGTGCTGCAGTGACTGACTTCCTCCAGAAGCAGCTTCTGCAGTTAGTTTCTTACCTACGGCTCGTACTTACTGGGGCTCGTTATTACTCTATGCCCAGAGCGCGCATCGACCTCAGGCAACGACCAGCTACCGCAGTGCCTGTCGCCGCGTGCGGGCCGTCAGCCGTCCGATGGTCAAATGGCAGGGCTTCGCCTGCGCTGCTGCGGCGGCCATCGGGCACAGCGGCATCGACGCCACGCGCAAGTACGCCTCGCAGACACTCTCCTCCGCCGAGCTGGTCACGCTCGTCGGCATTCTCGATGCGCTCTTCCTCTCCTCCTTCATCTTCGCCTTCCGCCTCGTCACCGATCTGCGCTTCGTGACGTGGAAGCTCCTGCAGATTCTCGTTGCCAGCTCAGCAGCGAAGATCCTAGCTGGCGTCATGTACCAGCGCGCGTTACACGTGGCACCCATCTCCACGACTGTTCCGTTCCTCGCGTTCGTACCCGTGCTCCTACTGGCAACGTCGTTTCTTCTCCTGGGTGAAGTCCCGAGCGTACAAGGCGTTGTTGGGGTCGTAGTTGTAACGGCGGGTGGTTACCTCCTAGCGTTACAGAGTAGCAGCAGCAGCGGCGGCGGCAGTCGCGGCCCGAGCAGAGCCAGCAGCCGAGCCAGCAGCCCTCGGCCAGGAGTCGCTGCTGTTGGTAGCGGGAGTTCTTATAACGAGAGCGAGGTCCTTGGTGACAAAATCAAGGCCTCTGGTACAATCACACCCACTGACGATAACGGAGCCGACGTCGAAGCTAGGATTACTCGAACTGACTCTGCCGGGGCTGGCTCACAGGCTGGGGCCGAACCATCATCTCCTGTAACTCCCAACCTGGCGAAACCTAGGTCGTCAATTTTGAGGGGCAACCACCCTGTTCCTTTCTCGGCACCTCCCATTAATCGCACTGTAGCGAGACGGTTGACAGGGAACAACCACCCCGGAATAAATGGGGCAACTGACACTATTGAGAGCCCTTATGGGGTTACTGACTTGAGGCAGAACTCTGATACATCTTTTGGAGTCGGTTCGGATGCAGGTTTGGAATCCCCAGACCTGCGAGCCGAGGCTGACAGCGTGCTAGGTTCAGACATAGCGTTGGATCTGAGTTTCGGGCAGGATATCAAACGGGCAGTCAGTGAGAGAAGTGGGGGCGGCGGGGGAAGGGCAGGACGGAGAGGGGGGCAGGAGGTGGGAGAAGTGAGAGAGGAGGAAGATGCAGGAGGAGGAGCGAGCGGCAGTGCAGCAAGGGAGAGATCAGGAGAGAGCAGGCAAAGAAGTTTCACTGAGGGCCCTAGCAGTAGTGATATAGGGGCTGGTGGTGGATTTGGTGGAGGAAGAGGGTTCTACTCCCGAGCCTCAAGAGGCAGGTTTGGCACTGGCTTGGGAATCGGGTTAGGTTCGGCACACAGCCCTCAGCAGCTGCATGCCTCTGCCCAATCCAGTCCTGCCACGTCAGGAGGAAGAGAGATGAAACGGAAAGGAGAGGCAAGAGGGGAAGAGGGAGAGATTGTGGGTACGATGGAGCAAGGACGTGGTAGCGGTGGGGGAGGGGAGGGGGAGAAGGGAGAAAGTTCAAAGCAGCAGCAGGCAGCAACGCCGCAGCAAGGAGCAACACCGACAGCAGGGGGAGTGCCTTGGAGAACGAGAAGTGGGCGGAGGAGAGGTGCGTGGGGAGGGGGCTGGTTGTCGCTGCTGCAGCAGGTGTGGGGGGCGGTGGTGGGTGGGAAGGAGGAGAGGGATGGCGAGGCGGGGAGGAGAGGGTGGGTGAAGCTGCTTATATCGAGGATGGCTCGCGTGCGCCTGCTACTGGGAGGACTGCTCGCCCCGCTGGGGTGAGTGAGGGATGAGAGTGATGTGCCAAGAATCACGAGCCACCTCAAGAAAGAAAAGCTGCTTCCTCTACCCTCCCTATTCTCTGCCCCACCTGCTCCTTTTCGTTCCGTGCTGTTTGTTTCTTCTTGCCTCTCTCCCTCTCCCAACTTGTCCTTGTATTAAGAAGGTGGTATGGTACAGGCATGGCAGGTCCTTCTTGCCTCTCCCCCTCTCCCCCTCCCTCTCTGCACCCCATCACCGGATCCCATCTCTTTTTGACTCAACTCTGTTTTTTGACACAGGAAGAGGGCTGGCATTGTCTGGCAGTATCTGCACGGTCCTCTGAAGCGGCTACGCATGGTAACCGCATGGGCGAGAGCGCCTCTGCGAGTGGTGCTGCGTGTGCTGCGAGCCCCGTGGGTGGTGCTAAAGGGGGCGCTGAGATGGGTGGGCGCGCAGAAGCGGCACGAGGGGCCGCTGCTCATGATGGGGTGTGCCGTGCTGCTCAGCTTCACTAATGGGTGTGTGCCATGCGGTGCCACACAACACAAGGCAGCAGTGCCTGCCTGCCTGCACTTCTGCGTGCTGCTGCTCCGCTCACCCTTTGACCCCTCCCACCTTCACGCTCCATTGCCCCTCCGTCCTTTGCCAAGCTCTGCTGTCTGTCTCTTGCCCCTGCCGCCCGCAGGTGCGACAAGCTGGGCGTGCACCACTCGCCGTCCGTGGTGGTGTTTGCGGGCCTGCAGCGCCTCTTCATGGCCGTGCCTCCCGTGCTCTACCTCGCCGCCACCAGGTGGGGCTACAGCTGCCAGCAGATGGGGCTACAGCTGCCATCAGGTGGGGCTACAGCTGCCACCAGGTGGGGCTACAGCTGCCACCAGGTGGGCCTCTTGCTGCTCACTTGCATCACTCCACTAATACTGCCAAGCAACAAAACAGCTGCACCATTAGTCTTGGCTTCTGCCGTTTGCGTGCATCCCCGTCATCTTGTGTTCCTTGTCCACTCCCCCCTCAGGCCGTCCGCCTTCCCGCTGCTGCTGCACCACTTTCCCCTGTTGGCGGGCATATCAGCGTTTGAGATCACGGCCATTGTCTTCTACCTGCAGAGCCTGCACTGGCTCCTCGTCTCCTACTCCGTCGCCGTGAGTGCCTCATTCACTTCACTGTGGCACTACTCTCATGTTTTCCCTCAGCATCTCAAGCTCTTTGCACGGCGCACTGAATCTTACTATTCCGTCTCTCATCGCCTTCTCTTCTCTCCCCCTCCCCCCCCCCCAGGCGAAGCGCAGCAACATCCTCATCTCCATGTTCGTCGGCTACTTCCTCTTCAAGGTGCGCCCCTCCCTCGCTCCCTCGATCCCTCGCTCCCTCGCTCACGCCTGCTGCTTCGCTTCGCTTGGGCGTGCCTGCTCCACCCCACCGGCACTTCAGCTCGCTTCTTTCCGCTCGTCCACCTTCCTTTCGTCCACCTTCTTTTCGTCCACCTTCCTTCCTGCCCTCCCTTTCTCCGGCGACCCAATGGCCGTGTCGCATGCAGGAGAACATCTGGAGGAGACTGCCTTATGTGCTGCTCATGATTTCTGGAATGACACTGATTATTTTCGCAGCCTGAAGTGTATGCATGATTGTGCATTTAAAACCCATTGATATACGTACTCTTAGTGCCATGCTTGTCTTGTCTCCAACAATGTTTTGAAGTGATGCTGATCAGTGGTCACTAACAACTCACCATAACTCATCCCCAGGACTGGCAAGGCAAGCAAGCTGCGCCTAGAAAAAGCATGAATTGTCCACGAGCACCAGGTATGGTAGTGCCAGCATGTGACACATTCTGCTTGCTGCACGGGGGGCACGTATTGCAGTTCAAGATCAACAGAGAAATTCTGCTTCGGTTTGTTTCCTTCCTCTGTTGATCTCGAACTGCAATACGTGCCCCCCCGTGCAGCAAGCAGGCAACCCCATGCTCTGGTTTGTTTGACAGATGCTTCCAGCCAAGGCAGCTCAACATTCATACCACGAAGGAAGTTACAAGAAACGATCCAATCCAATACGATGTCTCAAGCTCAACACACGGAATCCAACAATTCAATTTGTCACCAAAAACTCAGCTACACTCCTTGGCCATACCCGCTGATGCAAACCCCCTCGCTATCCCCCAGGACCAGCCCTCTCCACATCCCCCCGTCAGCCCAAACAAACGACCTAGCCACCATCCCCCCTTCCCATGCCAGCCCACATGCACACATCCACACATGCACACATCCACACATCCACACATGCACGCATGCACACATCCAGACAGGCACACATGCAAGCATGCACGCATACACACATACAAGCATGCACCCATGCACTCATGCACGCATGCACACATGCAAGCATACACCCATGCACACATGCAGACACACAACACTCCGCAGCTGTTCCTGCCGCAGCTGCTCCTGCCCCAGCTGCTCCTGCCCCAGCTGCTCCTGCCCCAGCTGCTCCTGCTGCAGCTGCTCCTGCTGCAGCTGCTCCTGCTGCAGCTGCAACAGTCTGAGGGGCTACAACTGTTGCACCAGCCACAAGGCCGGAGGCTACAACTGTTGCACCAGCCACAAGGCCGGAGGCTACAACTGTTGCACCAGCCACAAGGCCGGAGGCTACAACTGTTGCACCAGCCACAAGGCCGGAGGCTACAACTGTTGCACCAGCCACAAGGCCGGAGGCTACAACTGTTGCACCAGCCACAAGGCCGGAGGCTACAACTGTTGCACCAGCCACAAGGCCGGAGGCTACAACTGTTGCACCAGCCACAAGGCCGGAGGCTACAACTGTTGCACCAGCCACAAGGCCGGAGGCTACAACTGTTGCACCAGCCACAAGGCCGGAGGCTACAGCTGCACCCCCCTGCCTCCACTACCTTCAAGAACAATAACTCCTACTTTCACCACCAACTCTCGCTTTCACTACCAACTCCCACCCTGCTGCCAACAACACCACTCGCTCCCCCCTTCCCACTCACATTCTCACTGTCTCTCAATCACTCCCACTCTCACTCGCACTACGCTGCTCACTCTCACTCCCACTCTCCACGGCCTTCTTGCCCCTCCCACTAGTTTTCGCGTCTCTCCCCCTCTCTGCATGCCTCCCCTTCCCTCCTCGGTTCCTCCTGTCCCCCCCCTCTGTTCCTCCACTTCCCCTCTCCGAGTCGCTATCACTCTCATTACTCCCCCTCTTGCTCTTGCTCCCACCATGCCTGTGCGTATCCGCCACCCTATCCCCATCCCCACTCTCACTCTCACTCCCCTTCCTCCCCTCCTTGCCCCTCTCCTCCTCCCGCCCTCCAGCACTGGCCCTACCACTGCTCCTTTCCCGATACCTGGCCTTCCCACCGCCCCTCCTCCCATCGCTGCTGCTCACACTGCCTTCCCTATCAGCTCTCTCCCGCCCATTCTTGGAAGGCGACTGCTTCTCCTTCCTCCCACTGCTCCCCCTTTTCCTAGAGCTCCTGCTGCCCTCCCTCCCCTCATCCTCGTCAGTGCTTTGGTCTTTCTCACTCTCTGCCCTTCCACTCCTCTCACTCCCACTCCTCTCACTTGCGCTCGCCTCCCTCACCTTGTGCTTTGCCTTCTCACTAGACTGGCTGCCCGGCTTTCTCTTCATTGCACTCCCCCTATCCTCCTGCCTTCCCTCTGCTTTCTTCGAGCCTTTCTCCAGGCCACTATTATCCTCTTCGCCTCGGCTATCTCTCACCCCCCTGCTTCTTCTCTCGCTGCTCTTACTCCTGCTCCTGCTCCTGCTCCTGCCTCTGCCCCTACTGCTGCTCCTGCTCCTGTCACCTCCCCCCTTCCCATGTCTACCCCCCTTCCTATCCCTCTCCTGCTTCCTGCCACCTCTCTCCCTCTCCACCACCCTTTTGTCACTCCTTCTCCTCCCCACCCTCCTCCCCTCTTCCTCCCCACTGCTGCTCTCGTCTGAAGCCTCCTCCCTCTGCTTCCTCTCCTCCCTGCTCCCTCCCCTTCTGTCCTTCTGCTCTCTCCCGCTCTCCTCGCTCCCGCTCCGACTCTCACTCGCCATTCTCTTCTTTGGAGTGATTCGCTCCTCTAGTTCCTCCTTCACCTTCCCCTTCTTCCCCCTCCTCCCCTCCTTCTTTCCTCCCACCTCACCCCCCCCCTCTGACTCGCTGTTCCTCTCAACGCTTGGGCTCCTTTCTCTCTTCCCTCGCTTCCCATCTCTCCTCCTCCCCTCCCTATCGCTCTCTTCAACCTCACGAGAGCTCTCAGGGGTGTCGGGCCCATAGCGCTGTGCCACAGCCTTTCCTTTCACCTCCTTTTCTTCCTCCTCTCGTCCCTCAGTCTTCTCTCTCCCCTTCGGCTTCTCCCTCTCCTTCATCGCCTCTTCCCTCCTGCCCTTCCTCCTCTCTCCATCACTGTCGTCCGACTCACTGCGACCCCTCTCTCTCTTCCGTCCCTTTTTTTCCGCATTCCCTCTCGCCCGCTCCCCGTCCTCATCGCCCCGACCTTCCCTATCCTTCCTCCCTCTCTCATGCTTGCTGCCCCTCCTCTCCTTCCTCCTCGCCTCATCTGCATCCTGACCCTCCCTCACTCTGCCTTCTCCCCTCTTCCTGCCCCCCCCACCCCTCTCACCGCCATCACTTTCCTCCTCTTCACAGTCCCACCGTCCCTCCCTTCTCTTCCTCTTCCCATCCCTCCCACTCTCCTCCCTTCCCCTCCCCCTCGCCCCTTTCTTCTCTGGAGTCTCCAGCTCTTTCTTTTCCTCAACTCCCTTCTCCTCTCTACTCTCGCCTCTCTCGCCTCTCTCGCCTCTCTCGCCTCTCTCGCCTCTCTCGCCTCTCTCGCCTCTCTCGCCTCTCTCGCCTCTCTCACTGTCATCATCATCTGAGAAACTCTCTCTTGCCTTCTCCTTCCGCTTCTCCTTATTCCAATCCTCCTTCTTCCTACCACCGTCCCTGCCGCCCCTGACTTTGTCCCTGTGCTTCGCGTTCCCGCTATCCTCCTCCCTGTCCCTCCTCCCCCCCTTACTCCCCCTCTCCTCCCCACCATCACTGTCCCCGTCGCTCTCTGGTTTACAGCCATTGTAAGCCGTGCTCCTGTCTTCCCTCCTCTCTCTCTTCTTGTCCGCAGTGTCAGAGTCATCTCTCTCACCTCCTCCTTTCTCGCCCCTCCTTTCATCCTTCCTCTTCGTTTCCTCTCCTCCTGTTCTCCTCTCTCTCTCCACCACCTCATCATCACCATCGTCGCTATCCGAGTCAACCTTTTCTCTCTTTCCTCTACCACGGCCCTCCCTTTTCGAGTCGTCTCTGTGCTTCTCCTCCCACTTCTCATCGTCGTCGTTTCTCTTCCCCCTCTCCTCTTCCTCTTCACTCTTCCCCCCATCCCTAGTTTTCCCGTGCCTCCCATCCCTCGCCCGGCGGTCCTCCTTGCCTTTCTCCCTCCTCTTGTATCCTTTCCTTTGCTTCCTCTCCTCCCTTTCCTCCCCCTTTTCTCTCTCCTTCCTCTCATCTCTCTCCTTTCTCTTCCCTCTCTCCTCCCTCTCTTCCTCCTTCCTCACCTCTCTCCCCCTACCTCCCCTCTCCTCTTTCTCCTCCCTTCTCTCCCCATCCTTCCGGTGCGCCTTCTTCCCCTCCCCTTCCTCCCTCTCCCCATCAGCACCTCGCTTTCTCCCGCCGTCGCTCCTCTTCTCCCTCTCACCCCTGTTCTCCTCTGAGCCTTCGTCCTCCTGCTCCCCCTTCCCTGTCGCACCACCCCTCCTGCTCTCCGTTCTCTTCTCCCTGTCCTTTCCTCCCTCCTTCCTCTCCTTTCTGCCCATCTCTTTGCGCTCCTCTTCCTCCTCATCCTCGTCCTCCCTATCACGCCCCTGGCTCTTATGCTTGTGCTTGTGCTCATGCCTGTGCCGCCTCTCGCTTTTCTCTCTCTCTTGCCTCTTCTCGCCCCCATCCCTCGCCTCCTCGTCCTCCTCTTCTCCACGCTCCTCACTCGCCTCCCGCCTCCGCTGCCGCCGTTTCTCATCCCTTTCATCCCTCCGTTTCTCCTTCTCCTTCTCCTTCTCCTTCTCCCTCTCCTTCTCCCTCTCCTTCTCCCTCTCCTTCTCCCTTTCCTTTTCCTTGTGCCTTTCCTCTCGGCTCTCCCTGTGTCTGTGTCTGTGCTTGTGCCGCGTATCCCTCTCCTCCTCATCCTCCTCCTTTTCTTCCTCATCTTCACTCCCCTTCCGCTCCCCCCTCTCCTCCCGTTTCTCTCTCCTCCTGCACTCGTCCACCTCCTCCCCATCGCCACCGCCCTTCCTTTTCCCTCTCCTCTCCTCCGCCTTCCCTCGCCTCCTTTCTTCCTCGTCCGCCTCGTCCTTCTCTTCCTCCCTGCTCAAAACATCCGCCTCTGCGCCCTGCCCATCCACACCCCCACCACTCAGCGCCACACCTTCTCCCCCGCCCTTCCCCACATCCCCTCCTTCCACCTCATCCTCTGCGCTCTCTTCCTTCCCGCGCCCCTCCCTTCTCTTCTCTGCGCCATCACTCGACCACCCATCGCCGCCTTGCTCCTCTCCTCCCTTCTCTCCCCGTTCTCCCTCCACATCCCCCTCGCGACCCCCCCCTGCCTGCCCTCCCGTGCCGGCCTCCACGCCATGCTCCTCCTCGTCCTCTCCCGTGCCTCTAATATCTCCTCCCAACTCGCTCTCTCTCTCGCCCTTCTCTCCCTTCTCCTCCTCCTCTCTCACCTTCACCTTCACCTCACCGTCGTCCCTCCCCCGCTCCTTCTCCTCCTCCTCCCATTCTCCTCGCTCCCCTTGCCCTGTCGTCCCTTGCTCGTCTGCTGCCCCATCTCCCTCCCCTTCCTCACACCTCTCCCCCTCATCCACCTCCCTCCTCTCCTCCTCCACTGCCTCCTCCCCACCCTTCTTCTCCTCCCCATCCTCCTCCTCCTCTTCCCTCTCCCTTCTCCTCCTCCTCCTCCGCCTATCCCGCCTCTCCTCCGCCACGTCCACCTCCTTCCCATCATCATCGATCACCCCGGCCTCCCGAAGCTCGCCCTCAATGCTCCGCACGTGCTCCCGCCACAGCTCCTCCCGCTCGTGCCGAACCAGGTCGCGGTACCGGTCCTGGTGCCGAAGCACGCTCTTTGCATCGGCCCACGCCGAGGCGAGTCGCAGCCCGTCCTCGCGGGCCTCGGAGATGGCGGCCACCGATAGCTCCTCCTCTAACAGCTCGCGGAATTCCCGCTGCACGCGCTGGTGAAGATGGGGAAGGGGGAGGGGAGGGGTTGGATGAAGGGGGCAAGGATCTCGCGGGCACGATTCAAAGACGGCGGCCACCGACAGCTCCTCCTCAAGCAGCTCGCGGAACTCCAGCTGCACGCGCTGGTGGGGGGAGAGAAGGGAAAGGGGGAAGAAGATAAGGGGAAGGCCCGACGGTGTCAAGGATGGAGCAGTTTCTAGTCAAGGATGGAGCAGTTTCTAGTCAAGGATGGAGCAGTTTCTAGTCAAGGATGGAGCAGTTTCTAGTCAAGGATGGAGCAGTTTCTAGTCAAAGATGGAGCAGTTTCTAGTCAAGGATGGAGCAGTTTCTAGTCAAGGATGGAGCAGTTTCTAGTCAAGGATGGAGCAGTTTCTAGTCAAGGATGGAGCAGTTTCTAGTCAAGGATGGAGCAGTTTCTAGTCAAGGATGGAGCGTGTCAAACTACCCTTCGAAACCTGCAAGGCATCCAAACTTAATGGCCGGTGTATACTTGTTCGCTGTGCCACATTAGCTTAGTAAGCCTTGCCTCAGTGAGATGATAAGTCAAGGCACCGCACCCTCACACGCCATGGCACCCCACCTTGATGAGGCGCGCCATGTGCTCGTAAAAGAGGTCCTGGCGGTCGCGGCTGGTGAGCTCCTTGTTCCAATAGCACGACGCCTCGTCCTCCTCCAGCTTCTCCCGCGCGTCGATCCACGAGATCTGCACGCACGGGGGGCACGCGGGAGATGGGGCGGGCAGTAGCGGATTGCAATCAGCACCGAGGGGGAAGCATCAGGGAAGCACAAGGGACCCGCTTCATGCTAAGGTTTCTTATCTGCTGGCTTACATTGGGCGTCTGTATCTCGCGCCTCAGCAGGTCCTCGAAGTCCTCCTTGGCTTCTCTCCTACGCACCCGCGCCCGCTCCCTCTCCTTCTTCTCCTCCTCCCGCTGTCGCCGCCGCTTCTCCTCCCTCTCCTGCTCGCGCTTTCGTTCCTGCAGACAACAACGGGAGGAACATGCATTGCCCCTCGTGTTGCTATCTTCATAAAGACAACCCCGCGCATAAACCCACAGTCCGGATCGTCCAACTTCTGGGGTTTGTTAAAGAGATGAAAACGGGAAACCCAAACTGTCCTCGCAAATGATATGGAGCGACCAGGGGAGGTGGGTGACAAAGTCACTGTTCCCTGGACAATACGGACTGGAGTTGCAACGAGCAGTTCGCTTGCGTAAGGACGTGTTCTTTACGCGAGAAAATGCCAACTGAAATCGAGTGAAACAACTTTCGCCCGTCAACGCAGATTGTAACTCAGAGTTGCGCAACGTTGTGTCGTGTTGGTGAAAATCCCCTAAGTACACACAACCCAAGAGAGAGTCAGCAAGTTCAGCAACAGTTGGCCAATCATTTTCTTCCCCCCACTTTCGATTGTTAAACTTTTGGACAATCCGGACCGTGGGCTTTAAAGCAGCAGCAAGCACAGCAGCAAGAGACGTGCTGTTTCCCCACACTCACCTCCTCCTCCCACCGCTTCCTGGCGTCCCGCTCCTTCTCCTCCTCCTCCCTCTGCAGCGCGTCCATGAAGCCGTCAAACAGCCGCTCGCGGTCCTCCCAGTGCGGCACCGCACTGTACCGCTCGTCCTCCTTCAGCTCCTCACGCAGCTGCATGGGGTGATGGGGGGGGTGGGTGGGTTGGGTTGGGTTGGGGGCACAAAAGGCAAAAGCCATCAAGTGAATTGGTTTTAACTGAGTGGAGTGAGCACGGCTGGCTTGCCATACTGATTTCACGTGGTATCAGTTGATTCGTTCCGTCTCGGCCCTAGCAGCAGCACCAGAGCACACAAATTACCCAATCTTTGCAGTGAACCAAGGGCCAGGACTTTCAAGCATCCAAGCATTTGCTGTTGTCGTTGAACCTGCTACACGTGCCACACACACGCCAACACAAGCATGCAACGAGCAAAGGCGAACCTACCCACACCACCCTACGCACAGGTTTGTATACCAATCACCACTCACTTTCTCTTAGATTCTTCCCCACGTTATGAATTCGCATGTGTGGTGCATTGCGTTTGTTGAGCGGAAAACGCACGTTTTATTCCAAGGCAACACTATGATGCAGCTGTGACTGAGAAGGAAATTTTGTTCAGAGTGTCTGCCGTTGAGCTCATTAAACACCGACTCATGACCCACTGGCTACCCACCTCGGAATGCGAAACAGCAGTAATAGCAACAATATCAGGATCAATAGAGAGCATCAGGATCAGCAGCAGTAGCAGCAGCAGCAGCAGAAGCCGAAGCAGTCCTTGGTTTGCTGTCACAGGCACTGTGGCAACCTTCTTAAAACGCTTCTTATTTGGTTTGGACTGTACAGCAGCTTTTCTGGGTTCACTTTCCCTACGCTCCCAAATGGGCAACCCTGAGTTTTTGCTCAGAGCGCTTGCCCTTGAGCTCCTTAAACACCAACTCACGACCCACTGGCTACCCACCTCGAAATGAAGGTGGCAAGAGAGGGCTCTGCTGGAAGGAATCAGCGTTCTCAGACCCCCTTCAAGCCACGTCAACCCAGTTGGAAAGGCACAGGGCACGGCACGCACCTTGGACCAGCGGGAGGAGAGCGTGATGTAGCGCTTGCGGCGGTACTCCTTTAGCATCTCCACAAACGCCTCCTCCGCCGCCTCCTTGCACTGCTGCTGCCGCTCCTCCTCCTCCTGCCTCAGCGGCACCAGCCTGAGAGGAATGCGGGGCAACGCACACACAGGTGGGCAAATGAAACCGAAACTGCGCGGTGCAAAGCGGCGGGTTTCTTGTGAGGCCTTAAAAGGCTCAGTCCATCCTAATGGCTTAGCAAGAAAGTATTGCTCGCCTCGCATTGCCAGAAACACCCAAAGCAAGCAAGGCAACACAAGCAGATGGCAAAACAAGGCTACGACTATCAGGGTGCTACCATCACGATCACGGGGGTCAGACGGCTTTGACAGTGGCTAGAGCAATGTCTCTGCCTGCAGGCCTGCACGGGAAGAGAGGTGCCGGCAGGAACTGATAAAGCGACAGAGAAAGCATTCACGCAACTACATCAAGTTTGTTAACTGGATTTTTTCCCCTTCGACTAGTCTTTCCAAGTACACGCCTTCAATGCAAAAAAAGAAACATCACTTGAAAAAAAAAAAAAAAAAAAAAAGAGAACAGAAACAAAACAACGGGAAGCAGAACAGGCAGCTTCAGAAACGTGGAATGACAAGGCTCAGGTGGTACAAGGACCGATCAACGTTATTTCTGTTAGAGAAGGTACAATCTCTCCGTCAATGCAGGTTCTTCTTTAACTGGAAACACACAAGGTTGCTCTGTCTCGCAAGCTCATATTTAAATAGGAACGGACAGGAGGCAACAGAATTCATGGGTAGAGATAAAAAGCGCTGGAGTGAAACAAGAAAACTGAACATAGGGAGCCAACAAAAATCGGCAAGGAGGAAGACAGTAGCTTTTCCATGGGAGAAGGAGGCACTACATCCATTGCAGACTTACCACACATGCCTGCTGCCTTCCACCAAACTGGCCTTTGCAGACCTGAGTCACGTTGCAGTTCCTTTAAAGGTTTGACGCGGGGTTCAAAATCACTCAGAGGGCGAAGGCAATGAAACAAGTTCCACTGAGCACAGCAGAGAGGCATTCTGGTGCTTGTTCTTCAAAACAATCTCACACTGAGTTCACAGCCTAATCAATCATGTTCCCAGAGCTCAACACAATCTAAAGGACTTGTATGTGGTTGAAACCGTACCATTCATTGAGCATGGGGTGGGGTGGGGCGGAAGGGAGGGAGGTGCGAGCGGAAAAAGGGGGGCCGGGGTGGTAGATGTAGGAGACAGAGAGGCGGCATACCGTTCGTTGAGGAGCGAGAGTCGGTCCTTGTCCTCAAGAGCAGCGGAGCGCAGGCGCGGGTCCGAGCCCCACTTGCTGTGCTCCAGCAGCGTGGCTACAGTGGAGTCGTGTGCGAGGTCCTGGGGGCACACAGAGGGACAGGGACCAGGGCGGAGGGAGTTGAGGGAAAGAGGGTGAGTGGTGAGTGGAAAAGCTCCGGTGCAGTTGCTGTGCTCGAGCAGCGTGGCGACCATGGAGTCGTGAGAGAGGCCATGGAGCTAGAGGAGACGGAGCCACAATGAACAAGCAATGCAGCCCCCCGTCACACGTCATGCATGCACGAGCCCCGCCCAGCGATCTCCCCACATCCAACCACCACCCACCCCTCCCTCCTCCATCTCGTCCAGCAGCGCCTTGACCGCCTCCACTGCGCCTTGTTGTGAGTGAGGGTAGCCAATCAGCTCTGCTCCCCCCCTTGCAAGCACCCCCCCATCCCTTTCCATCCCCGCCCTCCCCCCCTGTCTCAACTCACCTCGCCCTCCCCCCCTGTCTCAACTCACCTCGCCCTCCCCCCCTGTCTCAACTCACCTCGCCCTCCCCCCCTGTCTCAACTCACCTCGCCCTCCCCCCCTGTCTCAACTCACCTCGCCCTCCCCCCCTGTCTCAACTCACCTCGCCCTCCCCCCTGTCTCAACTCACCTCGCCCTCCCCCCCTGTCTCAACTCACCTCGCCCTCCCCCCCTGTCTCAACTCACCTCGCCCTCCCCCCCTGTCTCAACTCACCTCGCCCTCCCCCCCTGTCTCAACTCACCTCGCCCTCCCCCCCTGTCTCAACTCACCTCGCCCTCCCCCCCTGTCTCAACTCACCTCGCCCTCCCCCCCTGTCTCAACTCACCTCGCCCTCCCCCCCTGTCTCAACTCACCTCGCCCTCTCCCCCTGTCTCAACTCACCCCGCCCTCCTCCATGTCGTCCAGCAGCGCCTTGAACGCCTCCACCGCTGCTTTGTGCGCCGACCGCTTCTCCTTGCGCTCCGCGGTGGCGCGCGTGCGCACAAACTCCTCAAAGATGACGCGGCGCTCGGGGATGGTGGGGATGGCCTGTGCGTGCACCAAGGGGGGGCAGGGGAGGGGACCAGGGGAGACAAGCATCTGCATGGTGTGAGCCCATTGGTCTCGCCCGCGTGCGCACAAACTCCTCAAAGATGGCGCGTCGCTCTGACAGCGTGGGGATGGCGTGTGTACAAAGCAAGGCAGGACGGTCACCGAGGGGGAGGGAAGCATCAGTGGTGCGTTGAATGCAAGCGTCGGATGCAAGCGCTTTTCTGCGGGGCGAAAGCGCACAAACTCAAGCTGGCCACCCTTTCCATCTGGCCGCCCTGTGTATTTTGCACTGTGCTGCTTCAAACAAACATACCTTGTACCGTGCTGTCTGAACCCGGAGCGCACCTTGTAGCGCGGGTCGAAGATAAGCTTGGGCAGCTCCTTGTCCCACTTGGAGAACGGCGCCACGCCCTTTTCCTTCAGCAGCTCCTGCCAACACCAGATCAGCAGTGTTGGTGGGGCATGAGAATTCATATCACACTAGGACATGGACCGTACACTGCATGCACAAGACCTCATTCCTAATGTCATGATGAAACTAAGCAGAAAAGCAGTGAACGTCTAAGTTCTTAGTGTGATCTGATGTGAGTCTTGTAGTCTTGTTCATCGGAAAAAGGGCAAAGTAGATGTGATGTGAGAAGACATGGGACCAACGAGAACAGAAAAGAGAGGATTGCAGAAAACGAGGAGAACCGAGAAACTAGGCTAGTGGGAAAACCCTGGGGAATCCCCCAACTACACAGTGAAATGAGAGTCTAGTTTTGAGGCGCCTCAAAACTAGACTACCAATTACACAGTGAAATGAGAGTCTAGTTTTGAGGCGCCTCAAAACTAGACTACCAATTACACAGTGAAATGAGAGTCTAGTTTTGAGGCGCCTCAAAACTAGACTACCAATTACACAGTGAAATGAGAGTGCTAGCCCAGACATGGAGTGCACAGTGCAAAAGGGGCTGTGCATGCCATGCGATGTGATGCGTGTGATGCCATGTCATATCCCACCACCTGGCGTCACACAACGCCACACACAGCGTTTTGCCGTGCCGTGCCATGCCATGCCGTAATAGCAACGTACTCGGAACTTCACGGCCCTCTCTTCCATACTCAGCTCCTCCAACGGCACCTCCCCACCATCCTTCTCCCCGCCTCCCTTGCCCCCCGACCCTTCACCTCCTCCCTCCTCCCCTCCCCCGTCCTCTTCGCCCTGCTCGCCCTCCTTGACCCCGTTGACTCCGTTGCCTTCCTTCCCCTCCTCCCCTTTCGCCCCTTCACCAATCTTCTCAGCCTTAGTCGTCTCAGCAGCACCAAGTTTCGGACCAACCACAGCAGCAGCACCACCAGCAGCAGCAGCACCAGCAGCGGCAGGTGCTGGCAAGCCAGCCTTAGCCTCTTTGTCGGAATCCTGTAGGGCAGGGGGGGGTTACACGTGAGTGCGTTGACATGACGAGGAGCACACACGGGATAGGGAGGGCGAGGAGGCGTGGCGAAGGGAAGCAGGGAGAGAGGGACAGCAAGAACCTGAGACGAGAAAGGATCTCCGCCACTTCCCATCCTAATCACGCCTGCGCTCATCCCCCACCCGCCCACCTGCAGCTTCTTCTACACCACTTCCGGCGCCGTCGCCTTCAATCCACTCTCACCCACCTGTCAACATAGCCCAATCCCACCCACCCACCCTCCCACCCTTCCAACGTACCGCCCTTTCACCCCCCCCCCTCACCTGCAGCTTCTTCTTGACCACTTCCAGCGCGGTCGCCTTCCCTGAGGCTGCTCCGCCTGCCTTGCCTGGCGCCGTGCCCCCCCTCCCCCCCAGCGAGAAGGACAGCTTGCTGGCCGCCCGCGCGCGCTCCTCCTCCTCCGCCTCGTGCCTCCTCCGCGCTTCAAGCACCTCCGCTGGCACCTGCCAGCTCGTGTCCTGGCGGGATGAGAGAGGAGGAGGAGGGGGGAAAGAGGGGGGGGGAGGGGAGATAGGATGACAATGATGGAACGATGAGAGCACAGTGCGGAGAAATGAAGGGAGAGATAGAGGAAGGAGACGCCAGCCTGAGCGAGGGAAAGCACTGACCTGCGTGCGTGGCGGAAAACACCGACCTGCGTGGCGGAAAACACCGACCTGCGTGGCGGAAAACACCGACCTGCGTGGCGGAAAACACCGACCTGCGTGGCGGAAAACACCGACCTGCGTGGCGGAAAACACCGACCTGCGTGGCGGAAAACACCGACCTGCGTGGCGGAAAACACCGACCTGCGTGGCGGAAAACACCGACCTGCGTGGCGGAAAACACCGACCTGCGTGGCGGAAAACACCGACCTGGCACCCTGCGTGGCGGAAAACACCGACCTGCGTGGCGGAAAACACCGACCTGCGTGGCGGAAAACACCGACCTGCGTGGCGGAAAACACCGACCTGCGTGGCGGAAAACACCGACCTGCGTGGCGGAAAACACCGACCTGCGTGGCGGAAAACACCGACCTGCGTGGCGGAAAACACCGACCTGCGTGGCGGAAAACACCGACCTGCGTGGCGGTGTTGTAGAAGTACTTCTTCCCATCGCTCGTCGACACCAGCGCCCAGTCGCTGCCCGGCACGCGCTCCCTGCAACACAAGCAAGCACACGCACACACACGCGCGCGCTCAGACAGAGCACTCTCGTATGGCACACCGCACATGCGCGTAGCTGAGGAAAGTGGTGGGCATAACAATGACTGCTGGCCCGCATGCTGTACAAGCCCACGTGGCGGACGGCTGCATGCGGCTCAAGCTTACCATGCCACGGGAGTGGGCTGCTTCTCCACCTTGTCCTCCTGCACCACACACACGCACACACGCACACACGCACGCACGCACGCACGCACGCACGCACGCACGCACGCACGAACGCACGCACGCACGCACGCACGCACGCACGCACGCACGCACGCACGCACGCACGCACGCACGCACGCACGCACGCACGCACGCACGCACGCACGCACGCACACACCACACACACACACACACACACACACACACACACACACACACACACTCATTCAAAGTCAAACAAACATCTAGGGATGAGAGAGGCCGACAGCATCAGGGGCGAGAGAGGCAGTGGGCGGAAAGCCAAGCGGGCTGGCTCGCACCTGCAGCTTGAAGCCGGGCGGCTTGTGGTACGTGGACTTGCCGGTGACCGTGTTGTAGTAGTACACCACGCCCTCCTCCGACTTGTGCGCCGTCCACGCCTCCACGCCCGAATCCGCCGCTTCCTCCTTCTCCTTCTCCCCCCCCTCCTTCCCCTTCCCCTCCTCCCCCTTGGCCGCTTCCTGAGCCCCCTCCGCCTTCTTCTCCAATCCCCCCATCTCATCTCCCTCCCCCCCTACCCTGCCCCCACCGGCTCCCTCCGCTGCCTCCCCTCCCTTCTCCTTCTCTTCCTCCCTTTCCTCCACCGTCTCCTCCGCCTTCTCCTCCCCTTTCCCCTGCGCCTCCCGGTCCCACCTAGATTTCTTCCCCCCTTTCCCCTCCTTTCCCCCCTTTCCCCCTCCGCCCGCGCCCCTCCCCGCGCCCTTCTTCCCGCCCTTCTCCCACGGGAGCTCCTCCCCCGCGGGCAGGGGGGGCCCGCCGCCGGAGATCACAGCCGCCATGGCGGCGGCCGCCTGCAGCCACGCGGGGGGAAGGGGGGGCTGCGGGGCGAGCGGGGGGTTGGCCTTTAAGCTGATGGCGGTGGGAGGGGTGGGGGGGGCTGTAGCAGGCGCAGGCGCAGCAGCGGCAGCGGCAGCGGCTGTAGCAGCGGCGGCAGCTGTCGCAGGCGCGTCAGGAGGGGCGGGAGCAGCGGCAGGTGCGCCAGGAGCGGCGACAGGGGCAGCAGCAGCAGCAGGGGAGGGAGCGCCTGCTGCTGCCGTGGCTACTGGCTGGGCCTCCGATGCTGCTGCTGCTGCTGCTAGTGCTGGCGGCATGCCGCCTTGAACCTCCCCGGCTAAGCCTCCCACAGCGCCTGCTGCGGCGGGAAGCAGCGGGGGCGGGGGGCCAGGAGTGAGCGGAGGCGGTGCTCCCGCGAGCTGAAACGCGGGCTGGGGAGGAACCGGAGGTGGTGGAGCGCCGAAAGGAGCAGGCGGCGCAAATGGAGGAGGAGGCGCAGCGGGAGCAGGCGGCTGCTGGAACTGCTGCGGGAAATGCGCCCCCTCCTGCTGCTGGCGCTGGTACTGCTGCTGCTGCGGCTGCTGCTGCGGCTGCTGCTGCGGCTGCTGCTGCGGCTGCTGCTGCTGCTGCTGGTGCTGAGGGGCGGAGCCAGGGAGTGGTGGGTGCGGCGGCCCATGAGGCATGGAGTGTCCGTGAAAGGGCTGAGGCCCCGGCGGTCCCTGCCCCTGTGGCTGCATCCCTGCCGCTGGCGGCGCCGAGCCGTCCGTCACTGCCGTCACATGCCACACGCCTGGCGGCGGCCGTGCAGCCACCTGCTGCTGCTGCGGCGGCGGATGCTGCTGCGGCTGCTGGAACTGCTGCGGGAAATGCGGCCCCTGCTGCTGATGTGCCTGCTGATACTGCTGCTGCTGGTACTGTTGTTGCTGCTGCGGCGGCTGCTGCTGTGCCCCCTGGAAACCGCCATGCCCATATCCATGTCCGGCCGCTTGCCCTGCCGGCGGCCCTGGCAGTGACGGCCCTCCCCCGCCTGGACCTCCCCCAGGCGCTCCTCCCACAGGAGGGTTCGCCCCGTAATAACCCCCGCCAGGGTGTCCTCCCCACGGCGGCTCCCCTCCCCCTGGCATACCTGGCGGAAAGCCCGCCTGTGGGTTATGGGGCGGACCTCCCCCGAAGGGCGGAGGGGCTCTTGGATTAGCGCCATGCGCGGATGGTGGCGGAGAAAAGGGGTATCCGCCAAGCGGAGAATGCGGCGGACGGGGGGGATGAGAAGGACCGGGGAAACGTGGCCCAGGTGAGTTCATTCCACGTGGAAACGGCATGCCCGGTGGCATAGTTCCAGAAGGTCCACGTGGCGCAAATCCGGAAGAGCCATGCCCAGGAGGTCCACGCGGCCCGAGCCCAAGTAGCATGTGTTCAGGAGGGCCACGTGGCCCTGGTGGTCCAGGAGACAATCCAGGTGGTCCGTCAGGTGGTTCAGATATTCCAGGTGGGCCCGCCCCAGGTGGATCCATTTGCGATAAACAATGCCACTAAAGCCCTAATGTAGACGACTGACGAACGATCTAGAAGGATCTAAATGATGATGCAGGCGGTCGATCAGATCTCGCTTCAAGGAGCAAAAAAAAGGCAAGGCGGGGCGCAGTGCCTCGCGAAGCACTGGAACGCGGAGCGGCGGGGGACGGGGAGCTCGAAATGCGACGAGCGATCAGATCCGGCGAGGACGGTGGTGAAGGCGGCGAGCTGCGAGCGAGCTGTTGACGGAGCTGCGACTTCGCGTGGCGACGCGGAGAAGACATAGTAATGCGAACACCGAAAGGTCGCTTATATCACCTTCGAAAAACACGCAACGGGAGCGCACTTTTCCTTCGTGGGAAAGCCTAATCAGCGCACAATCCCTCTGGCCGTCTCACACATGTTGAGCTTCTATTTTCCAAAATCGAAGCGGGGAGAATGAGAAGGTGGGGAGGGAGGCACAGGGGGGTTGTAGCGAGGAGCAGCTGCCGAGCCAGCAGCAAGGCGGTGCAGCCACGCCGACACCATGCCTTGCTGGCTTCCACTCAGCGCAGCCGACCAATCGCTCGCACCTTATCCTCCAGACCACATTCCAGGCCTCGCTCCCCCAAGCGAAAATGAACTGTAACAGGTTCGCCAATTGACTCGGGACTGAGGCAAACTTGCAGCCTAGGACCCGGCCTGGAATCCAGGTCCCAGCTCCGGCGAATCTCGCAAACAGTAATGCTGGGGTGGAGACTCGCTACTGCAAGCTTCAGAAAAGCCTTTGCGTATTGCGATGTGCTCTGAGATCACAAGGGGAAACATTCTGCTAACACATCTAGCATACGAAGGGAAAGATTTGGCTTCAATTTCTCAACTCAACATCTTTGCTCATTTCCTATATGTGGCAGCAGCAGCAGCAGCAGCAGCAGCAGCAGCAGCAGCAGCAGTAAAAGCAGCAGCAGGCAAGTAGTAAGATAAATACTGGGTGCAAGCAAGCCAAGTTATTTCAAACTTTGAACCCTCCTCAACTACTCGCATGCATTGTCAAACATATCTTTGTATGTTGTTATAGACTATATAACGTTGTGTCTTAGGGAGCACAACCCCCTAGGTTATATTCCCTTGTATGTCATTGTTCTAGTCATTCGTTAACTTTGATATGGTATCATGAGTAGGTTAGGTCCCTCCCGCCTACTGGCACTTCCGCCAAAGGTCCTAGCCGCCCCTTCGCCATCCCGCCCGTGCTGGCCCGTCCCCTAGTGCCCCCCACCCCCGTCACCTAGCGCCTAGCTGGCCCATCTTCCAGCCGGCCCAATCGCCCAGCCGGCCCCGTAGCCCAGCCGGACCCGTCCACTAGCCGGGCCCATCGCCGAGCCGGCCCCGTCGCCCAGCCGGCCCCGTCTCCTAGCCGGCCCCGTAGCCCAGCCGGCCCCGTCGCCCAGCCGGCCCCGTCGCCTAGCCGGCCCCGTCGTCCAGCCGGCCCCGTCGCCCAGCCGGCCCCGTCGTCTAGCCTTCCCCGTCGCCCAACCGGCCCCGTAGCCTAGCCGGCCCCGCCTCCCAGCCGGCCTCGTTGCCCAGCCGGCCCCATAGCCTAGCCGGCCCCGTCGTCCTGCTGGCCCCCGTTGCCTAGCCAGCCCCGTCTCCTAGCCGGCCTCGTCGCCTAGCCGGCCCTGTCACCTAGCCGCCTAGCCGGACCCGTCGCCTAGTCGACCCCGTCACCTAGCCGCCTAGCCGGCCCCGACACCTCGCCGCCCGCAGCCCTGTCTCCTAGCCGCCGCGCGGTCCTGTCTTCCAGCTGCCACTCGGCCCTGTCTCGTAGCCGCCGTTCGGCCCCTCTCCACCGCACTCTACCGTCCAGCACCGCACTGCACCACAGCCTACCGTACTGCACCTCACTCTATCGCAGTCTCCCATACTGTACCGCACCGCCCCGCACACCACTGCTTCCCGCCGCGCTCTGTCGCTCAGTACAGCCTATTACCGCCTTTCTGCTACTGCAGAAACCATGATGGCAGACTCGGTGCTGCGCTTTGACACGGAGGGTCAGCCAGTTGAGTTCGACACGTGGCTCATCGACCTCCGCCGTCACCTCATTGGTCAGCGCCAGGGTGACCACTCCCTGGCCGTCCACATCGACGGTACGCTCCCCTGCCATGACCCCCCTGCTGCTCTACCCGCTGACTGGTCTGCTGACTGTGAGTCCGCTGCCGCTGCTGCCCTTGCCAGTGTTGTCTGGTTCTTGCGTGACGCTGTCACACAGCTCGCGAATAGTCATACCCTCCCCCTGTCTGAGTGCCCCCACTTTAGGTCGGTCTGGACTGCGCAGGAGTTCCTAGAGGCTGCGCGCTATTCCACCCCACCCTCTGCCTCCGTCGGACGCCTGATCCTGTCTATGCTCTTTCTTGATCTCGCGTCCTTCCCCAGTGTTGCTGACCTGGCCGCCCACTTGCGCACGCTCGACGCGACCTGGCATGCTGCCTGCACTGAGGCCCAGCTTCGTGTATTTCAGCCCCCTATCTGCTCTACCCTCTACCTGCTTGCCACCCACCACCCTGACCGCCTTGCTACTGCCCGCGATCACTTTCTTAGTCTCCACCCCGCTGACCTCACCCCCACTGACTTTGTCGACACCCTGTCTGCCGTAGAGAACCGTCAGCGCTCTATCGCCCAGTCTAGCGGTACTGTGCCGGTCACTATCTTTCAAGGTTGTGCCCCCGCTCAGTGCACTTACTCTGACGGCTCTACTGCTGTCGCTTAGACGGCCCCTGCTGCGGAGACAGTCGCCGCGGCTGCCGCAGTGCAGTTTCATCCGGGTAAGGGTCGCCGCCCCAAGGCTAGGCACGGTGGAGGTAACAGAGGAGGGGGTGGAGGCGGTGGAGGTGGTTCGCCAGCCAGTAGTACTGATAAAGGGGATGGGGCTGGTGCCTCGGAGCAGCAGCCACAGCAGCAGCAGCAGTAGGTGCCGACGCTGGACCAGCAGCAGCAGCAGCAGCCGCAGCAGCGGCGGGTCGGTCATCTCTCGCCCGGGTGGCCTAGCGCCGGTGGTGGAGGTGGTCGTAGTGGTCATGCGCGCAGCGTGTCGTCGGGTGGTGGTCCGAGTAACGGGCGCTGCCAGTACCAGCTCCAGACTGGTCCTCGCCGCGGCCTTGTGTGCGGTAAGTCCGGCCATACCCACACCCGTTGTTTTAGTCGCTAGATGACCTGTTTCGTCTCCGCTTCGGCCCGGCGCCAGACCTCCCCGACTGGCACAGTCTGCTCCGCCGTGGTGTTAGGATATTTGATGAGATTCGCTCTGCTTTGTATCTGCTGTATGTCGATGACTCTAGTGTGACTGGTTCCTATTACCCCGTGTTGCCTAGTGTAGGCGTGCCTAGTATGCCTAGTGTAGGCTCCCCTGCTGCATCCGACGTAGGATCCCCTGCCTTGTTTAGCCTTGGCTCAACCCTCGCTCCTCCGACCCCTGCCGCCACGGCCGCGCTCTCCTTCACCTTGGACTCCGGCGCTTCCCGGTGTTTCCACTACGCTTACGCCGCTTGCCGCTCCCGCCGCGATTGCCCTTGCAGACCCTTCCTCAGGTCCTGTAGTTGCCCATAGCTCCACCACCCTTCCCTTTCCGGCGGTTCCTTCGGGCTCCCTTACAGGCCTGCACATCCCCTCGTTCTCTAGGAACCTAGTTGGTGACGGCTGCCTCCAGGACCTTGGCGTCACTACTACGTTTCCTGGTCACGAGCGTTACACTGTCTGTACAGAGGCTGCCACTGGTGCTCCCCGCACCACATTCCCCCAAGACCCGGTGTCTGGCCTGTTCACGCTGGACATCGCATCCCCCCTAGTTGGGACGTCTCCCTAGGTGTCTGCGTCTACCCAGGTTGCTACGGCTTGCTCGTGTCGGTCGCTTACTCACCCCACGCTTCTGTGGCACCACCGTCTAGGTCACCCTGCCCTCACAGGTCATCGTCACATGTCTCAGCATGGTCTTGTCTTAGGTCTCCGTGAGTCGTTCCCCGCGCTACCCTCCTTACCAGCGCCGCCATGCATGCTCTGCGTCGAGGGCCGGCTCCGCCGTGCTCCTCACTCCTCCTCGTTCCCCCCCACCGCCGCACCACTGCAGACCCTGCACATGGACGTCTGGGGCCCCGCCCCCATCCATGGGCTGCATCGAGAGCGTTACTTCCTAGTGCTTATCAACGACTACACGCGCTACACCACGGTGTTTCCCCTGGAGCGGAAGGCGGACGTGCCTGACGTTCTTATCCCGTGGCTTGTCTCTGCGCGTGTTCACCGAGGTCTCCCTGTCTTGCGTCTTCACTCCGACCGTGGTGGCGAGCTTGCCTTTGGCTGTCTTAGTCGCTTCTGTCGTGCGGAGGGCATCACCCAGGCGTTCACCTTACCAGACTCCCCGCACCAGAATGGGGTCGCTGAGCGACGCATCGGTTTGGTTATGGAGGTGGCTCGTGCCTCCATGATCCATGCCGGTGCACCCCATTTTCTGTGGCCGTTCGCCGTTCGCTACGCAGCTCACCAGCTTAACCTGTGGCCGCACCCTTAGAAGCCGCAGGTTTTCCCGACCCTTCTTTGGTTCGGGTCTCGTGGTGATGCGTCTGCGTTCCATGTCTGGGGCTGCCTTGCTCATGTTCGTGCCTCTGCCACGGACAAGCTCACTGCCCGCACTGTCCCCTGTGTTCTTCCTTGGTTTCCCCCTCGACTCGTCTCACTAGCACTTCTACCACACGCCTTCTCACCGTTTCTTTCACTCTTGCGACGTCACCTTTGACGAGTCCGTCTCCTTCTACCACCGCTTTCCCTACCGTGGTCCCCCGGTCACTCTCCCCCAGTTACTGGTTCCCCCCCCTCCACCGGTAGCCCCTGCTCCTCCCCCTCCCCGCCTTGCCCCGTCTGGTGTGTCTCACGTCACCCCCCTCCCATCGGTTGTCCCTACCAAGGAGTCTGCTGACTCTCGCGGCTCGGCGGAGTCCCTTTCCCCGCCTGTCCCCACCCCGGTCTCCCCTCCCCGATCACCACCGTTGCTGTCATAGCCGGAGCCGCCTCCGCAGCTGCCGTCGCCACCGCAGCCGCAGCCGACGCCGTCACCGCCGCTGGGGTTCGTGAGTTCTGGGGGTGCTAGGGTGCGTGCTGGAGCGGGTGCTGGAGCGGGTGCTCGAGCGGGTTCCCGTTCTGGGGGTGCTGGCGTGGAGCTTCTCGGAAGGAGTCGTGCTGTCGCTGGAGGTTCTGGGGTTGGAGTCGGGCAGCAGTCGCCGCCGGTGTCCGCTCTTCTCCTCCTCGGTCTTCCTTCCCCTGACCGCCTGCGGTACCTCCTCTGTCGCTGCCCCCTCCTCCTCCGCCGGTATGCGGCCCAGTGTTTCCTTCCCCGGATTCCTCTCCGGCTCGTTTCCCTCCCTGTTCTACTCTTGTGTCCCCTCCCCTCTCTCCTGACCCGAC